CTAAATCATAGGGAACGGTTCCCACTAAGAAGTCCCCGGAAAAGCGTGCATGTCCGCACCACATGGTCCAACCCGTCACAACCCAACCAATGCGTATTTGTTCACCTGTGGCTACGGTGAACCTATGCCTTTCCGGAGGTCTCCACACCTTGAGCTGCAGCCTTTGGACTAATGAAGATTCTTGAAGGGCCAGTGGCCAAGAGAGCCTAACATGGACTCCCTGCCAGCTCAACAAGAAGCACCGCCGTCGCACCCACATAGCACAATGCTCCCCCTCTGTTGCAAGGCTCCTTTGCACAAGTTTCCCGCCACCAGTGCGGCCCAATCGCTATTACTTCTAGCCTGCAGCCTTCTTCTGTTACCTCTGCAGACTTCCTGCTGCTAGCCGTCTTTGCGCCTGGAACCTCCTCACTCAGGATCGTCGCCGACCCAGACTCCCACTGCGTTTCCGAAAGCGGCTGAGCCCCTTCCGCGTGCCCATCGCTCGTGTTAGTTCCTTCCGCAGTGTTGAGTTGGGTTCCCCACTCAAGGGAGACTGGAATGGCATTGGGGCGTGTCTCTACCGCACACATCATCCCTTTGCCATGGCTACGAGACCTAGAAAGCTCGTCTCCAACCACGCCTTGGCCCCCCTGTTTAATCGTTCCGTCTTCTCAGTGCTAGGACATGTGGGCTCCCTACTGCTCCCTTCCTCTGGCTCGGTCCGGCCTCATTCGTACGTAGGACAGTCCCGTGCTTAGTGTCCCACACCGCCACACTTCTTGCAGGTGCCCCCCAGACGCTTGGTAAGTTCTTCCTTGCTGCGAAAAACGCGTGACGCGTGTCCGTGACTCTGACACTCATATCAGTTTCCGGTGTTTCCCCCGGGCCGATTTTCGTTTTCCTGGCGCTGACAGGGTCCATTTCCCTGGACAGCAGCTCTGATGACTCGACTGGCCCTTCCTCGTAGCTCTAAAACGCTCTGCTTAGGCTCGTAAAGGCGCGCTTCGGCTCTTGCCGCTTGTTCACAAGCGGGGTACTTCACAAGCCCACTATTTGTTATGAGGAGATGGAGGTCCGTTGGTAGCGTGGCGCAGTAATAGTCAGCGAGTTCGTCGGGGGCGACCCCCACGCCACGCCGTGCTACAGCTCCAAAGTGGTCCGTGCATTCCTTAGGGTTGCCATTCCACCTACCCTAGCCAACTCCGTTAAGAACTCCGTTAACAATTGACTCTGCGACATTGTTTTGTCGAGCCGCTCTAAAAGCCTGCGCTGTACCGTCGCCCAGTCGCTTAGGTCGATAGCTGGCCGTAGATACATCCAAGAAGTTAGAGCCGGGCCAACAAGTTGGACCATAAGTGCGCTTCCCCACTTGAGCGGCTCCAAACCCATCTGCGTATACAGACGCTCGATGCGCGGCAAAAGGCCTGCATAATGCTGCCGTCTTCTGGTAGTATGGGAAGCGTTGCGCCCGATTCCCCGGTCCCGTCTACAACACTTCCTATCACACTCATAGTGGACTGGAATTGGTCCCACATGGCGAAGGGACTGTCCCATGGAATAACATTGGTCATAGGTATCACCTGTGGGGCGTCTCCTTATGCGCATGCGGCCGCTCTTTCACGGTGGGCTTCGGAGTTGCATGACGATGATGGGCCGGTCCCCCGCTCGGCATTTTGCGTACTGACATTGTAGAACTCTCCTGCTGTGTGGGGCCGATAACGCGTCCAGTTGCGGAGTTGCATCCCTTATCGAGCGAAGATATCTAGGTGTGATTCATTGAAACATAGTATTTGTACTCCCAAATCCGGAAAGAAAAAAGATTTCATCCCGGAGCAGCCCCCAAATGTAGTGCACATCACCTACTTCTGCGACTAGGCTTGTACCTGCCCCCTAGAGTAGGGGCCTACGATAACCGTCTACCTTCGGAGCATTTCCTTGAAAAAGTGGTCCAAATATCACGATATACATTTATCCATAATTTGTCAAAATCTGGTTTCTTGAAAATCCCCTCCACTCGGGGTTCTCGCCTCCTAGGCCCTGTGGGGAGGAGTCCTGCACCGGTGCCGGCGCTAGCGCTATCGCCAGCCCCAATCTCCAGGTATTTACAGGCACGTCCAGTGTATACATGCTAATTCGCCGACAAATTGCCATACTTCGATCCTAGTAAGAGGGTCCTGTCCTCGTTCAGTGTTATGACTTCTTGTGCGCAGCCAGCTAGCTATCTTCTATAGGTCACCAGCAAACCCTATAGTAGTGCCTGTGCACTACAGATGATGCACTCGTCAGATTACGTTCCCTGTGCACCCTCAGCAGTTTCTTTGATTTTAATTCCGCCTGTTCCAATCTGGGATTTTACCATTTGCAGGGGAATGTCTATTTGCTTGGACTGTCTTGGGCAGAAACGTCCGTTTGTGTCTTTTTCCTTTCCGTGGTGGAGGCGCCAATTTCACTCCGATTGTTCCGTCGAACCATCCTTCGCGCAAGCGCCATTGGCGCAACCGTTCTCCTGTGGCTTTATCATGTGTTGATGTGCTGAGGGTATGCTGCTGTATATGGAAATATGTGAGAGGGCCCGCATATTTTGGAGCAATTCACGAATTGCAGCCTCTGAAGCCCTCGCTACACTTTAAGACGCCGCAAACCCAAGACAAGCTCCCGCTGAGGAATTGGCTGGGTCTAGCCGCTGTAGAGCTCTCTTTTCGTGTACGCGCTTCACATATTCCGTGTTCTGGGTGGGCCTTTTTCAAAGTACATGGTCTCCTAGAACGGAGTTGTTGTTCCAGTTCATAACACAGCGTTAGTACTACTCAGCCCCACGACTACCTTTTGCTGAGACTGATCCACCCCTCAGGCATGCTTCCTCAGTGTGTTTCCAACATCCAAACTACCAGCTTTGATATATTGCGCAAATTGGACAAAAGTGTGGTCCACTTTGCTGCCTTCCTCGGGCTTCTTAGTGTAGTGCCCAGGTGTAGTGAGTCGGCGCCTACACTGTCACTACGTATATTCTCGGACAAGTCTGACTCTCTACACTTAGTCTCACATGCACTACTCAGGATCGCAAGCAATTATTTGAGCATTCACCTAACAGTTCATGACAGTAATACTCAACACTAGCACAGGTTAAAGCCACGTATTGACACAAGCCAATTTAAAAGCAAAACTGGTCCTACCGGAAAGTGCACTGGAATTCTGACACTCACAAGCCTGCAGTTGTGCAGAGCGGCGCATCCTCCAGTAGCATTGAAGTATCGAAATATAAGGGCTAATTTTACGTAAGGCTCGCGCTGTTTGGCTACACACAGCAACAGCTGCAACGTAAGGGCACTCTGAAGACGCTGTACATCCGAGAGAGCACTATGGCCCAGTTTCTAGCTTGTAACACTGTACCTTTCTCTGGTTTTATATTTCAGTGCTTCATATCACCAAATTGGATTGCTTCACGAAGCAGAACCGCCACAATGCGTGGATATGCCAAAGCAGATTTGACTCTGAAGAAAGCCAACTGCCAGTACACTCGAGGAGTTCCCCGGGAAAAAGGGAAAGAGCGGCAGTATTTTCCGCAATTCATGTGATGTGAACGTCGAAAATATTTCTCAAAGACAGGGCTATTCCCGTTTTCTTCACGCAGCGCTCGTTAATTTCGAAGACAAACGCCACGCCCACTGGTAAAAGCCACTGGAAAACTTTGCATGCAGTAGCTCGTATTATACGTACTTTTCACCCGCATTTAAGTCAATAAATACGTTCTCTCTCAGAATGAGACCAAACCATGTCCGTAGTCACCGAAACTTTCCCTGGATTTAAAGAAGACTGCGGGAGGTACATCCCGCTTGAGCAGTTTCACATGACCTTTGGATGGAAGTGGTACCTTCCTAGCCTCTCCAGATTGTAAGCCCGGCTTCCCTCTTCATTCTGTTACTTTAGTCTTACTTATGTATAAGAGCCGCAATACTGCCCGTCTGCAGACACACACAGGAGCTGTAGGCCCCGGAAGTGCAGCAGTGGCATCACCGCAGTGCGAGAGAAAAGCATATTGTTGGGGATTCGATGCCTGACCCTCCAGGTTTTTAATTAAATGAGTTGATCTTTCCTATTGAGGTCTTTCAAATGAGAAATATGCGAAACTGCACAGTTGCAAAGCTCTTCTTCGTGTCACAACATGGTTGAAGCTTTACTTACCGCCAACTGAGCTTCTCTGCGTTTCCGCTTTTATTCGCACATGATCAACGCCACATCTGCGTCTCGTATGAGATTCATGCACTACAGGATTAAAGGCAGTGGCCAGGAAAGTGTGACGAATCCATGGCTGCTTTTCAGTGTTCTGAGAGATGTTGCCCATTCATTCTCACGGCCGCTACTTCTCCCTAGCTTTCACTAAATGAACGATTCCATTATTTCCCTCACATTGAATGTTCCAAACCTTGCCAAAACTGAAATGAACTGTCTTCCGTGTCTGTTCCTTTAGTCATACGCGGAAGCATCTCCAGGTTGCAGGGCAGTTTCCACGCCCTTAGTTTAGTAGCTCTTTTCGAAGCCGCTTGATGCGCTTTGCCTGGGCGTTTCACCTTTCTCACTTCCAAAGCATATTCACTTGCGTTCGTCATGTTGTGCCGAACCTGCTTCATGTTTTTTCACCTCACTGCCATTGCAGTAACTCCGCTGCAGAGCGCGCAGCCACACTCTTTCAGGTATTATTGTTGTGCTGTGTGCTCCTATTCCTTCATTTCACTGGAGGGTCATAGTAGGGGCTTCAAGCTCTGTTGTTCGATCTCCCTGTGTGTGTTTCCTGCAGTCACAACGTGTGCTCGTATTGTCCGCCGTATCGTTTTTTTCGTCTTCCGGAGGAGTCTTCCTCCTCTGAGGCCGCCCCTCTTTGCATCTGCACACTTCGGTGCATGTCAACTCGTGGACTTGTTTGCCTACGTGACAGAAGGCTGGATTTGTCTTTGTGCCATGCTGGTTGTGCCTGTTGACGGCGTCTCGCAGCACGGGATATCAGTCGAACGGAGAGCATAATGGAGAAACTTCCTACAATCATTTTACCTGGGGCTGAAGTACCGTCGTCCAGTCCGAGAGCGGGTGGGTGTAGTCTAGCAAGCTTGAGCAGTAGATCCATTCATGAAACTGCCCAGTGTAAATATGCTGCCTCTCTTCTACCTATTTTCTTGTATGCAGCATGCCACTTTGATTTTAGTGCGTTCCATGTGGGTGCTTCGACCTACTTTCTTGTATGCAGCATGCCACTTTGATTTTAGTACGTTCCATGGGAGTGATGTGAAAGGTCTCGTTGTCGCAACCCTTCGAGTAGGACTGCTCTTTTTGGTGTTGCACATCGGCTCCATATAGCCGTCTTTATGCATTCTTGCTGCTGATCACTCCATTGCTTCACATGCTGTGCTTTTTTCAGCCAGCTCGTTAGGTTCTTTGGAGAAGCTGCAAACTAGTATTAGAAATTCTCCGCTACGCCTTGGCGGAATCCGTCTGCGCTGTCCTCGCCCTCAACAGTTGGTGGATGAGTTTTACGTAAAGCGTCTGGGGATGCAGGAGCTGGCGCTGAGCTCTTTGGGAAACAAAGCAGGCTGCGGCGGGGCATTGGGGTTCTCCTTTGTGCTCCCACCGAGGTCTCAGCTTCACCAAGTGCTGCAGCAGCTGTCACTTCGCTCCCAACACAGACGGAGCAGCAGCTCTAGTAGCAGAGCAGACATAGCCAGCTCTTTGGCGGATGAAGTGGGGGGGAGTGGAAAGTTGTCTTTGAAGGAGAACGAAGTTAACCCTAGCGGGGTTTCCAGTAGACGCACTAGCTTTGGGAGCCAGTATTCAAGCAGGAACGTCGGGAATTTTCCAGCGTTGTCGGGAAGTCGTTTCGCAGCATTTGAGTTCTTCTCGCCGGCAGAAATTGATAGTATGCTTGCCGAAGCATCCGAATCTGCAGATAATCACCCATCATTGAGCAGTACGCATGATACACTGTCGCTGTGAGCGGGAGCTAATTTGCCTGTTGAGCAGTCACGAGCAATATCTCGCAAGTGTGTGTCCTCCAATAATATGTGTAGCCGCGCTTGATGGGCATTCATCGCGAGCTCGAAATTAGTTCTGCTCAACTCTCTTTACATGTTATATCTCTGTGGCCCCTTCTGAGCAGTCAAGCCCAAGAATTGGCTGAGACATCCTGGTGGTCAGTTTGTGCTGGAGTTTGTCCCGGTGCAGAAGGTGGGGGGAATGTATAAGCCATTCGAGAACCACGCGTGTGACGCGTTTACCCACTTGGCCTTCAGCGTCTGCGTAAGGCACATCCCTTCGTTGTTGCCGCAACTTTCTTTTCAGCTTCTGTCAGCTTTTTGGGGCTTACTGCCGCCGCGTAATGGCGCGATTATAGCATTTCAAAGATATTAAGTAACTAGGGTCTGCACGAAGAGTGAAGCGTGCACAAAAGGTGCCTCAAAAATAATTTGGATATCCTGCATCTGCTTCTTCTCAACGTGGCATTGCGTGGACGCTGTCCACGATTCTTTGTCTGCAAATTTGTCTGAGGAGAGCAGAATTGGAGCTGTAGTTGCGTTTTGCTTCCCTTTCGTTGTTTCGACTTCAGGACGTTGATGCAGTTGCAGTGGATTTATCGCAACATATGGTTCGCGTACAGCCAGCTGGGCAATTCTTGGATATGGCCTATGCTGCCAGTTTCACAGACCCTCAAAATTTTACTGGCCGCCTACTGCAGTACATGAGGTAAGCTCGAAAGTTACAACTAATCTTTGGTGCTAAATGGGGCTCATGAGCACGGAATGTTAGTTCTTGTTGGTGACAACGTGTCTGTAGAAATTCTCGAGAGTTTTTGGCTCCGTATTGGTTCTGCCACTTGGATTCTTTTGTTGGTTTCTCGTCTGATCCAGTGAATATAAAATGGCCTCGTTGAAGGCACTTTTAAGTGGGGAGTCACGACATTCTTCTTCACCAGAACCACCGCCAGATGACCCTGAAGAACGCAGGAAGCTTAACCAGGGGCCTCCTGACACATCAGTAGGATCGAAGGATGAGGCGGACACTACACATCCGTATCCGTTTCCGTCTCCTCAAAGCAGCTGCTGTTCATTATCAGTACCGGGTTCTGTTGCGTCTTCTTTCTTCTCTAACGAACGAGATGGTGAGTCTTCTGGGAAAGGAAACAAGCCGTGCATGATCGGTTACGTGAATTTCCTAGCAGTTCTGCTTTGAATCTTTAAGTGTCTAGAAGAACTTCATCCTAGGTCAAAGGCAATATTTGAGGCATCAGTTTGTGGCACCACTGTTCGATCGTAGGCTGTTTGCCAGCACCCACACCAGAGGAGGTTAAAGCCGTCGAGTTATCGGACAGCTCTTCGCCCTCTTTTCGCTTTGATACGCTTCCTCTGCAAAAGCTTCCCGTCCTCCATCACATTGAGATTTCTGTTGCGGACGTGAAGAAGACGCTTGCATTTTACGAAAACGTAAGGGGCTTGCTGCTGTGTACATATTCCGTTGTTGATTTTTTTCGATTACTACTTGGCAAGAACACAAGGGAGCATATGCTTGCCATTGGCCGGTAGCAGCTTGTGAATCCCTGCTTTTGTCCCTTGTTGGTGTTCCCTCCTGCTTCTTGGACGAGCCGCTGTAGGCTTTTCTCTATGAAGCTTTCTGCCTCTGCTTGCCTCAGTTTTTCATTTGAATTCCTTTCATTGCCTTTTCCGACATGTCACAGCAAGTTGTGAACGTTTATTAGCGCGTGCTCGTGCATAGGTGTGTTTCTGTGCATGATTTTTGTGTTCGTAGGTGTTGGGAATGACGCTGATAGACAAGAAGACAGCGCATGGCTTTGGTTTCACTCTTTACTTCCTTTCACTTGAAGCCCCAACAAACACTTCACTTCATTACTGGTTGTGGACCCAGCGATTCTCTACAATCTGCATTAAAGTACGAATAACGAGGATGCATGGCCACCTACATCTGAAAGAGATCGTGTCTGAGTCACCTAGTGGTTTTCTCTCTCTGCGATTGCCTTGTTGTTTGCTTTTGTATTCACTGCCTTTTCCTTAATTTTGCCTCTCGGGCTTACCTTTCTTGTTCTTGGCGTCCAGGCCTCGTTAATATTGTCAGCGCAGGGCTTTTTGTTGATGCATTTTTGTGCTGCTGTTTTCCTCCCAATGTGCATTCGTCTGGATTGTGATCTGCCAGTGTTCTCACTGGAGAAGAGCAAGCTGTTTGCACCGTTTGCTGTTTTTCAAAGTTTTTCGATGGGTGCAGTTATAGAACTCTGGATGAAACACGGGAGTCGCTTGACACTTCTTTCGTTTTTTCTGCTTTCTTTGCATTGTCTTCAGGTACACACAGATGGTACTCCGGTGAAAGACTACGAGGACCTCCAGCCACATGAGTGCGGCTTTTTGGGCATTTCATTTCTCTGCGCAGAAAGTGAAGGAGCGAACCTTCTAAAAAGAATAAAATCATACAATATTGGAGTTGATACTGTCGATGACGAGGTATATGGACAGCAAGTTCTGTTGCTAAGAGATCCACAAAATATTCCAATACGTATTGCACTGACGAACTAACACGAAACTATTAAATTCGCGGCTAAATAGTCAAAGCATACTGTAGAGGCACTGTATCTCTGTGGGAAACACATAATGTCCAACACTCGTATTTGGCTTCATTGTTGAGGGACTGTTCTTATGCAGTAATTGCGTAGAGTAATATTACGTTAATGGATGCCTTAATGTACGTACTGTGTACTTTTTAGTGTCGACTTACGTATGTTTTCAACTGGATACAAAACTCAGCTCGCTGCTTAGCGAGTTCTTCGCGTGTCAGGATCTGCCTTCTATATAAATTTTTGTCCGTACCGAAAACACATCCTCTTGTGGCACAGAACAAAATAACGGGCATTGACCGCGTAGTACAACTGGCTGCAGTGATTATTAGAGGGGCAGAGTGAAATGAATAAAGGTACTCACACATTGATAGCTGCCCAACAATTGCAAGATTGCGTCTAAGTTACAGGCCCTCTTTGCCTTGGCCTTCACCGTTAGGGGGGCTACCTCGGCAGCGGGTGACTACACTGAAGAAGGTGGATTTTTGGATCGTCATTGCTTCAGATCCGTTACAGTGAGCGAAGGCCATATGCTCTAACGAGCCTTGACCTAGCCCCCACATTGAATCCCACAGAGTGGGGTCTGTCCAACAGCTAAAAGTAACAGAAGTGGGCTGACCGAGACGAGAGCAAAACGTAACGTTCAAAAGGAGCACCTTTTGCGCACGGAAGGGGCATGCCAGTATTGGTTTCCACTTTTGTGCCCCACTTGCACCGAGGTTGAGAAGAGTACTGACGCTTTTGGTCTCGAACTGATGCTTTTGGTCTTTTACATTCTTCGTAGGGTGTATCCCTTAAAGTGAGCTCCTTCGACGAGCTGAACGGCTTACGCACCTCTGTATATCAATTGGGAATTGGGCGCGTTAGATGAGGCGACCGTTCCGTAGCTGGTGTAAAATCCACTTAGCCGCACCTTCTGTTGGCGCTCAACGCACGTGACTCCTCTATCACTTTGTTGCATATTCTACAGAGTAAAATTGGAGCAGCTCGGAGGCTTCGGAGGCTTCCTGCAGATGATCCGATCCGTGGAAGGGCATGCATGGTCCTCTGTCCACCAGCTGACGCTAGCGCTTCGTGATGCTGTGTATTGTGCACCCATTTTAGCGGCCCGGCAAATGGCGCCCTTTTTAAAGTGTAGTTTTGCGGCATGCAGGATGACGCCAACGGTTCAACTGCAGAGCGAGTCTCCTGCAGACCCTAAGGTGTAATTTCTCATCTGAAGCTCACTTTTTCCGTAAGAGAACCGCTCGAGCTCCTGACGAACGCTCACGTAAATATAGGAATAACAACGTCGTGGATCACTGAAGTACGTTCTGCACGCTGGAGCTGAGCTCCAGTGTGCAGAACGAACTTCAGTACACCTTCAGCTCAGGCTCAGAGTAGCGAGCTCCTACTCACCACAGCAGTAAATGCGTGAAGTATGACGCTTCATGGTCCCAGCTTTTAAGCCAGTCTTTTACCTTTGGCCAGTCCAAATAGCGTATGGAGCCGGAGAGTGCGCATGCAGACGGGAAGAGTTGAAACAAAGGATACTTTCCTAATCAGCTTCTCAAGTAACCGTAAGAGTTTTCAAATGCTCTCTGCGCTGGAGAGCTTTTCACTTAGAGGCTGCGTTCTGCTAAAGATGCAACATTAACGAGGTCAACAAAAAATGCATCGCGGAGTTTTTTCGGAGAACAGCTTAAGTCTATTCAATCGCCATTTTTGCATGGATAAGCCTTGGTAATTCTACGGCTGAAATGCAACTAACGGCTTCCTGTAGAGCCCTTGTGGTTCACTGTAATCGAGCGGTTCTCAGTAGCTCCTTTTGGGCGGGTCATGAGCCTGTCCAAGTTTCTGACCTATCAGCTTTCGACGATATGCTATTGGTCTACTGTGGCAGTGGCAGTATGTATTGTGTACAGAGCCAACACACTTTTGTGGTGCATTGGTTGTTCATAGTTACTGAATAAATCGCAATTGGTTCTTTTGGGCCAGCGGTGAATCATTAAATTGTTTGACCAACCAGCTTCTGACGGTATTCTAGTGGCTTGCCGTGATATTGACGAGAAACGGTAAGACTTCGATTCATGAGAGGAAGCCTCAGAAAGGTCTACCACAACTAAGGAGCATGGCAAACACGTAGATTACCCAGTGAAAACATTTCCGAGGCACTGGAAGAACAAAACAATAGTGGACATTCTATGTTTCATAGTTGGAATAATGGGAACCTACCACCCGTCGCCTGTATCGACTGTAGGGCACGACTGGTTCCAGTAGCCGCAGTAATTCGAGCTCCTTCAGTGCGTTTTAGAGTTGTTGCAGTTAGAAAGGTTGCAGTTGAGTAAGCCGCCTCAATGCAAGAACGCGTTATAGAGTGGTCCGTAAACTAGCTCTAGCAGACGAATTTCTAAATACTCGTGCATGCTGGCCCTCTAGATGAAACAGGCTCTGCGTAAAAAGAAAGCACCTGCATGGAGCAGTAGTTTGTAGCGCATCTCAGAACAGGCGTATTCTGTGCATCTGGCGAGAACTGCTATAGAAGCAACGGCAACTCTGTTCCAACCCGTATTCGACGGCCCAGGCATGCATTGCCAAAACACGTGCATATCTTGGGAGAATACGGCACTTCTTGTCCCTATCAACCAGAAAGGCTGTGCCATAACAATTCTTTTGAAGCAGTATGTTACGTTCAGCAGGCTGGTTGCAAGTACCTCACGTCTCCCGAAGAGAGAATACCCATCGCCCGAAAGTACGTCTGCATAATACACATTTATAATAGTAGTCCTGTATCTGCGGTTAGTCCATTATTGGCTACTAACGAGGACGGAACGGAAGACAAGCCGCAACAACAGGGCTCGAAACTCGTTCGAGACAGATGTGTTTTCCGGAACAGAAATGGGCCTTAACGCTCGTTGCTCCGCAATCAATCTACATATTGGCAAATTATGCACTGCAAATCAGCGGCCATCGCGTGAACGCGAGAGCCAGTGTGCATTATCAAGTATTGAGCGGTGCGGCGAAAAAAATGACCAACCACTACAGAAGTGGGTGACGCGTAGTCTTCACTCAAAATCTGAATTTGTCAGAAGAAGAAAAGAAGGGCAACCTCGATCTAAGTGTATTTGCGCGACGGGGCAGCAGCGTACTAAAGAGCCTGCCCAAGACACACAGCCGCCAGTGGCTCAACATATGAAGATCCATGCATTACACTGGACGTCCATATTTGCAACAACAATAGTATACAAGGGAACTGGGAGACGCATCACAATATCGTTTACAAAGAAACTGGCAGATGCATCTAAATATTTTGGCATGCTTGTTCTCGCAGCTCCTCAACGACTCTGGCTCTTTCCGTCAACCTCTCGCCCGCAGCACTACAGCACGTGCTCACTATAGTGTTGTACGGGCAAGGGGCTCCTTCAAGTGCAGGTCGCTCCTGATGCATGGTCTTCCAATTGAACGTACTTCTGATAGCATTTTCGTCCCAGCGTGCAGCCCGTGGTGAGGCGGAAGTTACATATCTCTTCCCCAACACACAGCAAAGAAATGCGGCGTAGAATTCCGCTTATCGGAAATATGCACAAAAGCTCGTCAAGAAAAGGACCTCGCTCCATTATGCTTGCTGTTCAAGCCAGTCCAAGGCTTTCTTAATGTCTCTTGTGATCTAAGAACATTTGCTTAGCCAAAAAGACGACATGGTACTCCAAAACTGGGCAGTTGGAATGACGTCTCTTCGCTGCCCTCATGCGTGGTCACCAACTCCTCAAGTCTCTTGCATAAAAGGAAAGCAACTACAGAGCAGAAGCAAAAATAATTTTTCGGCGCCTCCGTGGAACACCGTGGATAGTTTTTTTGTTAAGAATTATCCCTTTTGCGCAGAGTTCCTGTTGAGGCGGGTGATTGTTCTGGGCTCCAGAGCAGACGGTGGCTATATAGGCTACCTTCTTTCCTTCTCGGGAGGGCTTGTCTACGTGCCCTATAGTCATCTGACGCAACGCGCCGGAGTTCTGGCTTGTCTCCAGATTCGTGCTCCGTAGGACTTCGGTTTCGTGCTGAGCCAAACTTGATGCGTCCAGGCAGTGGTGGTGGTGCACTCGAAGATGCGTTGCTTTTATTTTCCTCAAGAGGCGCTTTAGATAATCCGCCGGTACCGTGCCTATCTGGCGTGTCTAAAGGCTTTGCAACGCCTTCGCCTTGAGTTCCCGAGCCTCTTGGCTGGATTGACTTTGATGAAGCATGCTCTTCAGGCGTGGTAGCTGCTAGTGGAGCTGGCACCGTGTGTGAGAGTTGCATTTTCTCAACCGAATCTGAAGTGTGGCTGTGTGCAACAGGTTGCTCACTTGTGCTGGGCGGGGGCACTGGGGACATTTCTTGAGTTTCATTTGACTCACTGCGTGTAGCCAGCTCTTGCGCGTCTGTGTTTTGATGTTGACTGTCTTCTGCCCGTTCACCTGAAGTAGATAAATCGGTTCCTTGTGGCTCACTGAGCTCCTTCTGCCTAGTTGGCACATTTACTGCCGTCTTTTGTACAATCTTATGCGGACGATATTCGTCTACTGCCTGTTCAGGTTGGCCCTCTCGGTATACGCGCGGTGGAGGTGGGGGTGGAGAGCTACGGGGGTAGGTGTTTTCATCCTGCTGTGTGGCACGCGTTTGTCCTGAAACACAGAAAAAGAGTCTGCCAAAAGTGTCGCCCGCGCTTGTTCGCAAGCAGAGAGCCAAGCGGGCGCGCATTGCAAAAATGTGTTTAGTGAAACTGTGGCTTTTCAGGTCCTTTTTGCGGAACGGAAAGGACCAATAAGCACTGCGGAGTCACGAGGGACACTTTTTCTGTCAATATTTGGGCATGATAGCTAGTACCTTCCTTGGGTGTTTCCGAATTTGGGTCTCCGTGCACGTTACTGCTGTCAAGTTCTTCTAGTTCTGAGCGTTGTTGCCGGTTAACGTTGCTATCATCACCACTCCTGGAATCATTGCCTTGAGACAGGGGCAGTGTGTACATCGAAATGAGCGCCTCTTCGTAGGTTTTCGGCTCTTCAAATAAGGGCGAAAATTCCTTCATATGCGGTGGTCCAATGTTGCCACAGTTCTTCGCTATGCGCTCCTTGTCGGGGTCTGTTAGCAACCTGCTATCTTCAATGCTCTTCACTGCTTGCAAAAGAAGCAAGTGAGATTTCAAAATTTGGGGGAGGCTTGTACGTTCCCAGCTTAATGACAGTGCAGCTCTCACGAGACTAAGAGCCTTTTCAGAATTTCCCTGTGCTCTAACTGCACAAGTCAGTTGTTCTTTAAAAAAATGTTCGGAGAAGGCCATGCTAAGCGCCGCCCAGACATGAATCTGAGCTAGGCGCTCCTTTGATTCGTCTCGGCATCGCGCTAGCAAGTATTGTGTAATGCGGGAGCTGAAAGAATCGCATCCAGATTCTGAGACGTCCAGCAGGTTATTCAATGCATTGCCAGGAGGCACACTGCTTTCATGAATTTCAGTGATGGCGCGCTGGGACAGCATCTGCTGCAGAACCAAGGCTGCAGAAAAACAACAAAATTCGATAGAAAAATTGATTCGTTGAACCACTTCCGTCGGGAAGAACAACTTATGTTTACGGAGTTACTGCCTTAGAAGTGTTTAGCAGCACATCCAATCACAATACCTTACGCATGTTTTCATGGGTTTACTTGGTCAGCCTACTTGAGTCGATGCACCATTTCAAACATTTTTGCAACTCCCTGTCTTTTCCGACGGCTGGGTCCTCTTCCAGCATCAGGCTGAATCGCCCGGACATCCATGCAGCGCTGTCCTCTGACATGCCCGCGTCTGAATCCTGTTCCCTGTAAAAGTTTAAGTACGCCCTCCGTAGGGTGCGGTAAGTATCTAGAAGTGCAGCTGCCTGCGTGCAAGCAGCCATCACCTGGGGTCCTCCAAGTGCATCGTCAGGATTGCGCAGACGAAACGCTTGCATGAGGGTCCTTAACAGGTGCTGTCTATAGTCCAATGTGGACGTTTTGGGGAGGAAATGATTTTGCGAGCAGCCTGAGCAGATCAAGATGAAGCAATTCGAATGAAGGACCGTTGAATTCTTTCAGTAATGTAGGCGCTGCTCGAGAGCATTACTGCAGAAATCTCGATAGTTGAAGGGACATATGCAAGGCCCCCACTTCTTCTCCAGGAAAACTTTATCCATAATGTAAAATGTTACCTGAAAATTTGACAAACAATGGCCTTGCCGGCTGTCCCAGAGTAGCTGCAGAGACGGCGCAAAACGTCGCTATAAGCATTTCCCGGGTAACGTTACTCATAACCCTCACACAGTCAATACAAAAGGGCAGTGTGCCTGCAGTAACGACAACGTAAAGGCATCTCATGCAGAAATGCAAGCTTACCGACAAAACTGCTTATCACCAGGATCTCGACAAGGAGACAGTGCCTGGCCATCGTCTGGAGCAGGACAAAATCCGTCTGCAGATAACAGGAGCTTTTCAGTTCAGACGTGATGCGTCGTCGTGAGCACTGCAAGAGTAGGATGTGATTCCGATATGAGTCATTACAGTCACCGCTGTCGGATGGAAGCAGTGCCAGGCAAGGGTAAGGCTGATGGCCTCCTGGATCCGTTAGACCATTGGACACTAGCTACTGAATTGTATGCTGTTGCTTCTGGTTTGTCCTATCCCTGATGGTTTCAAGCGCTGAGAAAATATACGTATACTACGGAGTACTTCCTGGCCGGTTTAGTGGTTCTTCAGCTGAGAACTTCCAGTCTCCCCAGACGCTATCAGTAGACAGTGTCATCTATCGGTCCGAAATTTTGACAAAATTAAATTTAAAAAAATGTGGGATCGAAATGCCAAGGTGGTCGCCGCAAAGCCCATTTCTGGTGGTCAGAGGCAAGAAAGGACCAAGACAACTTCTCCGGACGGCCAAACTTGCGATGGTCTCTGCATCAAAAGATCCTCTAAATAGAATTATGAGCTATAAACTTTGCTAAGAGATCCAAGATTAACGGTTTTTCACCTCTGTCTGCCAAATTTTCATTCTTTCAGCGCTGCATGACTTGTTGCTTTATGCCTCGCGTTCTGGCCACGCAGCGCCAACGAAGGCGTTCATTTCGACTCTTATCACTCTTCCGCATCAAATATAGAAATATCAGCATTTTTCTTGCTTTGAGGTAGCTTTCAGTTTTTTTATATATTGTGTGGTCTTGATGACGAGACATGTTCGATGGTGCCTCGGCGAAGTGATCTCTGGCGTTTCCTCAACACTGATTCATGGATACGAGCTTATTCTTCATATATACACTTACACCAGCAGTGAATTGCTTATATCATCATCAGCGTCTAGTGTACACGAAGGATATGAAACTTAGAGCTGAGAAGCAATGTGAAGTCTTGACTGGCAGGCGCCCATCCTAAGAAATCTGATGACGAGGTCACGAGTGTGCTAATAGAACATGAAATAATCAATTTTGCTTTGAAACGAGGACATGGATACTTGCAGAATTCATTAGTTGGACATAGTAGGACATAGTAGGGCATTACGTAGTGGCATTGTTGGTATTGCTCCTTTGAAAGTGCGTCAATTTGCTAGAGGAAGTCATTTGATGGAAAATGATGTCATAGTTGGTGGCAGATATGCAAAATGCTTGGCGCATTTCTGCAAAAACACTGAGCAGTAAGCGAGTCCGGTTTTTTACCGAATGCTGCAGGGATGCTTCACCTCCTTGCCCTCATTCTGGAACACAAGAGCGAAGACTCTCTGCATCCCAGCGCTAAGGCAATAAGCTAAAGCCCACAATACTGGTTTTTAGTGCCTCGCTTGCGCTCTAAACATCAAGTTTTCCGTCCCTTGCCTTAGCGCTGGGATGCAGAGAGTCTTTAGGCGAAAGTCTGGGTTGGAAACCACTAGAAAATATAAGCCCTCGCCATTTTCTACACAGGACAAAAAGGCGTGCCGGTGAAGGAATGCCCTGACAAAAGCTTGAGCTATCCAGTGCGGATCCTCTGTAGGTCCTTCAGAATAAATATCAAGCTAAAATTAGATTACATTTCCTGCTCATCATTCAATTTTTTTCTAGAATCAAAAGAAGGAGAGTTTTCGACATGCACCCCGCTGCGCATCTCCCCAAAAGAGATCCGCCAGCACAAGGCTAGCTTGAAGATGACCCTTCCTGCAGGATGAGAAATCTTTTAGCACGGATCAACGGCGCCTCAGCAGCAAAAAAGTGGTCATAGGCATACAGTAGGAAAACGAAAAAAGGAACTTCTTTTTAGTGAGCAGGGAAACCATTTCATGCGGCTGCTCCATCTCGGCCAGGCTCCCACTGCACCGAAAAATAGGCTAGAGCCCTCCATATTGTATCTACCGATGGTTAAGTGCTGTGCTGTCATCAACTGTTTGAGCTGACATACTGGCCAAACCGTCCTAATGTGGCGCCTGTTACCCCGTGCTTCTAAGCAATCACTGTCTAGTGCTGTGGTTTTCCCTTCAGTAATTACTCCTGAATACAAGCTATTGAAGAATGTGGGACTATTTTTTCAGGTTGTGCCTGACCTATATAAGGCGGCGCGTGGTGCTCGTGGGATTCACAAACACGCATCTTGCCTCAAATATGCAAAAACCTACGACGCTGGAATGCACGGGTTCTTAAACTTGAAGTTGTATTATGTAGTGAAGGCTTTCGCCTTGGCTAGCAATCAAGTGCTGATACTCCTTGTGGTATGCAGAAACCACATGAAGTATCAGCACTTGGCTGCTAGCCATTTAATAATAATGCTGGTTGTCAAACTTTGCTGATTAAGCATTCATTAAGCTGCGCAACAAAGACCACAAGCAAGTCGAAGCAGCAACTATGGCAAGGATATCCAACGAAGATATATATGAGGGTTTTGGTGCAGAGAATACCTCAGTGGAGATTTACAACGATATTAAGCAACGAAGCCCATGGCACGGCGTCTTTTTCCCTTTATTAGAGGACAAATCAGACAAAAACACAAGGTCCATGTATCTGGTTGTTCTTTAGAGTCGTAGTGCTGCACATTACGCGAATAGTGAAGTGTCTTTTATCCTTTCGCAGGAGTTCCTGCTTGATTTATAGCATGATGCTTGGTGATCAAACGCCTCTGCGGATTCCTGCTCATGCAACCGAACTGTGGAGCTGCATTACCACGCTCACAGCAAGATGTCTGACTAGTATTTCTGCTCCATTCATCCCGCCTGCCAGTGCTCTACTTCCCTAAGTAAAGCAGCGCCAGAGCTTTGCGCAGGTACACACATTTTTCTGTTTAAGAGAGGCGAGGGGCTTCATCTTCCTATATTGAGTACCTTAGTGCGAGGTTGCACGGATTCGTTAGTTTAAAAGACTCACTAATAAGCTGGGAGAAGAGGACAGATCTCCTCACCTGAAATGATAAATGTTTTCTACAAGAGAACAGACTAATGAAACAGTATCTGGATGATTGGGGTGATGGGATACCTAAATGGACAACGAAATGAAAGCTCAGGCATGTCTCGAGAAATTGAATGACAGATCTGACTAATGCTGGCTTGTCTAAACCCACTATATCGAGCGAAATTCGCGCGCCCTTTTCACCTCAATGCTCTAATAATTCACGAAATGCATGCTAGGCGCCCCTTTTGCCAATTTAATTGTAAAAACTACGTGGAGAAAAAGCGAAAAAATGATATGATTGGGAGAGTATGTCTAGTAACTCAGCAAATCCTACGGCAGCGCAAGTTTCTGAAAGTACGTTCAATGAACCATACAAAAGGGTCTCATTATCCTCACCTCCCACGCGTTGGTCTCAAGAAACTGCGACAACTCATTTTCGTAGTCCGTCGTCAGTAGGTACGTAACCAAGATATCTCTTTCTAGTAACATTTTTTTTGCACTGAGAAGCTTTTGCATAGCAATAATAATAATAATACGCGCAGGGTTGCAGGAGTGGTGCTATTCCTACGAGACAAATAGGTGTCTTGGCATTGCGTTGCTGCAATTTGTTTTATTGGGCAGTGCGCTTCACTTCATAAGTGCAGAGCTCACAGATGGATATGGGGGCGTGAAGGTGCAGAACATTTGCAATGCCACCTAATACCCGCTAGGATACTCTCCGATGGAATGCTTCACCCGCTTGCTGGCGAATGATTGTCTACGTCTTCTAAAGATGATGAAACGATCTAAGCAGGACCTATTGTTTCCCGCTGCATCGCAACCGAGTAACCCTATTCTGAGTGAGTCTACTGGCTCTTCGCGCCTCTTGCTAGCCCCTGGATAACAGGTCTCACTACCTTTGATGGGACTCTGCTTGTCACCTAGTTGCTATTTAGGTTGTGAAGCTCAAGAATGCTAGCGAACGGGGTCACGCTAGTGCCATACTGGCTGCAAGAGGTTGTTGACTAATTCGTGTCTAGAGTGCTGTGGTCAACTTAGTTCTTGTAAATTTGCTCAGTTGAAAAATGCCGACTAACTTAGTGGGCATGCGACTGTGTACATGTGAGCTTGGTTTCCTCTGAAACAGTGTAGAAATGGCATCAGGTACTGTGTTAGGAACACAGATTCCACTGAACAAAAGCAGCAGACTGGGTACAGGGTCACTGTCACTTACGTGCATGGGCTTTCAGCGGGTCTAATGACAACAGCAGGCTCAAGTGACACGGCGAGTATCTCTAACAGCTGCATGCTCAGCAGTGCACGAGGTGCCCGTGATGGATGAGCAGTTGTTGCAGAGGACTGTCAAATATGTAGCATGAGTGTGCAAGGAGATACGGCATTCTACGGAGTGTGCGATCCCACGACGGCAGTGAGAGGCGTTATGGACTGCAATCTAAGGCGCATGGAGAAGCACGAGCAGTTACACCGGGGAAATAGGCTGCAATCATGTAGAGTCTCGGGATGGAAAGGAGCCAATATCGCGGAGATGACATGCATAATGACGGGGAACTCGGCCCGCGATGCTCCGATTCCATTTTATGGTCCTTCTTGCCACTGTTGTTTGCTTTAGAGTACAACGCTACCCCATCAGTAGTTAAGGCTTTAAACAAGACTGAACTACTGGCGAACAACGGAACTGCTAGCCTAATGTAAAAAATGCTTAAGGACCACGGGTAGTAGCTGCGGCCCGATGCCATGCTCGATTGCAGCTAGTTCGGTGAGTGGCTGGGACCAGTATGTTTTTAGACAGTCGCAACTGAGTCAGTAGATGCAATACATGGAGACTGAATTACGCTCAGAAACGGGTTTCGTCTGTTTGTGGTTGAAACGCCTTCAGATCATCTCAGCTTGCTATCGCGTGGCAAGCCTTCCCTATGTACAGTTGAAATGACTGCCAAGGAAAATTCGTGTGCAAAAGATTAGTTACCTTCCCGCATCTCTGCATTGCTCACAAAAAATTCGAGTTGACTTCTAATCCTGAGTAGCTTTTGCCATGTGGCCCGCATGCAACAGCACTGAATTGGTAGCCCTACATTCGGATATGTGAAATCCAGGGAAATTCTATTGCAAGGATGTGAGTTTTGCGCTTGCTACAGAGTAGCTTAGTGGATTATTAGAGCATTTGTTCCTTTATTTCAATGTGTCGTAAGACATAGCATTAGGATACCATTTGGACCCCTTCCATCGTTCTGATGTGCACGCGCCCTTGTCATTCGAGCTTTATTAGCTACAGGAAATGCTTAATATTTGTATAACTAAAGTTTAATGAGCTCATCTATGTTCACTGGCCCATCGCATCAACGAAAGCTCAGTCAACCCCTCTGCTGATAGAGTGGATTTACAGCGTCGTCCTCTATTGTGTTGAATGGGTCTTGTGCGCATCCTCATTCCTGAGGCAACTGTTTCTCCATCTAAATTTCACACAAGGGACAACGGAACTACAGTACTCATGTGAGATGGCATCTTCCACCCCTTTTAAATTACTGAAAGCCCCCCCGGTGCCTGCGCCAACAGGTCGTCGCCCAATCGGCTTTCGCGGTACGCGCATTCTTCACACCCCAGGAGCCAGGAGTTTACATAAAATCAGTTGTCCCTTGCACAGTTTTGTTTTCTACTGGAGTATCTGCCTTTGTATTACACCAGAATCAAACAAAACGAGCCATTTTTACGCTTGTATCCCTTTGCAACTCAGGGAACCATCAACATAAAAAGGCTCTTTATGATCCCGTATTCAAAACAACAAAAGTGAGACCACTCTGAAGCCGTGTGTTCTATTCTTGTAATGCCTCATATGCGGCCTGTTAACGTTTGCAAATCACGCGTCTTCGGTTTCCTTTGGTACGGCTTCTTGAACGTGAAAATTTGCACGAAAACGTTGTTGCCAGTCACACATGCACTTCTAAGTGCCCCATATTTTCGAATTGACAGGCATATGACTTGATGCTCGCAGGTTCCTTCCAATTTAGTGCCTCGGTTCCCTATAGATTGGCGCAATGGGGGCCGCGCATTGTTGGTGGCTGCTCTCCACAAGTTGGAGGGAAACTACCGTATATTACAGAATCAGCAGCCTCTGCTGCATTGCCAGGCCCCTCTAGATCCAGGTTCACTTGCGGCAGCAGGCGATAGCTCCTCAGGGTGCTGCTCGCTGGAGACGCTTACTTCTTTGGGAAGGCGGTGCAGCGCCAGAGCAGGCGCTGCTGCTGGGGCGGCTGCTAAGCGACTTGTACTGAGACATAAGAGGTCATTACAGTGGCAAGAGGGAGGCTTTTGCAGCAGCAGGTGCGGCATGACGTGCAGCAAAAGCCCATGGAGGTGTTTGTGCTCTTGGAGATGTAGAGGCGTACATCAGCATGCGAACCGGATGGACGCTATTTTGATGAGTCACAAGGGACGAGTAGAACCCGAAAAGCCTCTTTTTGCTGTGAAGAGGGCAGAAGTGGCCCCTTCTAGGTAAGACATGTGCGCGCATTCTAGGTCTATTGAAAGCTGCAGCCGTGCATCTGACTGGTGCCAGAAGATGTAAAGAAAAGTAGGCCTAAACTCCCCGCATCTGCTTCTTGTCCCGTAGGCTGCCGAGCGAGGGCATGCTATTTTGCGCCCAAGGCGGCGGATTTGTTTCAACTAGTGAGAAACTGCATTCTGCTTTCGCTGAATATGATGCAAAAGAAGAACGACATGCAACCGCGGAGCAGCGGTCTCGTGCAGTTGCTTTCGGGGGAGAAGACTCGGACACTGACAGCGATCATGAGGAGTGCACAGACGAAGAGGCAGAGGAGTTGGTGAAGTTTATGTCGGGCGTCGTGTAAAGATGCTCCTCCATAGTGCTCGCGCTTGACATTGCATGCACGCATCCATTGCCAGTTACTCAGAGACGGCGGAGCATACGGGAGCAACCTGCCCTATATGGGTGCCCTATATGGGAGAATGTACCGCGAGGCAAATGAGCACCCTTGTACGTGTAATTACGTCTATGTGCAGTTGATCCTTGTCTAGGCGGCAAGCCAGTAATTTCCGAAGTGAGCTTTTTAAGCGTGGTTTTTCCTATCCGTGCATCCAGTGTAGTGTCTTTACAGTGGGCTTAAACGCATGCCTTCCACACGCCAACCCCTTGAAAATATTTTTAGCTTTAGTTGCATTCAAACCGAATGCCAACAGTCTCCTCAGAATGCAACAAGTTCAAACGAACGCGTTGTGTTTGTCCTTAGTGTGCTCACAGCGTGCTCTTACTTCATGTAGGGCTATGATCGTCACTAGCTAGCCCCTGTCAAGAATCCATCAGACGCATCATGTTACATGTATTAAAAACGGCGAGTTCAAAAGGTGCACGTAGCTCTCATGCTACACACAGGCTTATTATAAAAACCTTCCGACTGCGTACACGGCATAGCGGTGGCCCTTCGTTGTGTGCTCAATGAAGCATTCCAAATTTTGCCCTTTGCCAATGATGCACGAGAAAAATGGAAAATGAAGTACTGGCGTCACTTGCGGCGGTTGATTAGTAAGAGAAATCCAAGACCCAGCAGCCGGTATCTGCACAAGCAAAGCAGCTCTCCAAGACGCACTGGTCTGCCTCCACAGAGCAAACACTCTGTGTACCGTACACTCGAGGCGCATGACTGGCAGCGTTTTGTCTTTAAAGTGCTTACAGGATGATCTGTATCAGAAGCATCAAGGCGCTAAACCAGTACGAGTCCTGATCTAGGGCGTAGTACCGCAGTACCTGTGTACGAGAAAACGAACGAAAGACCGTGCAGGAAAATGAGCAAACTGGAAGATTGCTGCAAAGAGAAAACCTGGTACAAGCAGAGCAGGAAACACCTGGAGATTTTTGAGCGACAGCAGTGCATCGATGATCATTATGCTTGTCTGCACATGAGTAATGATACGCTCAGTTCTACGTAAGAATTTGTGAAGTCGGAGACCTGTTCGCCAGTTGAGTAGCACTGGGGAGGGAGAACTTCAGGCGGACACGGATCCAACTCAACTCCCTCTGTTATGACAGCACAAACAGAAGGAATTACATGCCTTTCACGCTCGCCCATGGACGTGTACTGCTATGAGTGTCTGCATAGGTGGAACCGCCTGCAGGCTGAAGTCTTTGCAGTGGCAGCTTACCCCAAACTGCGTGCATCACGCCAGACCACCCCCACCGGAAAGGCGAGATGTACTACACGGTCAATGCCAACGCACGCAAGCAGCCAGTAAAAGTTCTTCAGTTCGAATCGCACACTGCCTCTCGTCATCTCCAGTAGTTAGACCAGTAGTTAGCCCTGGCGCCTTCACATCTTATGATGCCCGCTAGCATCAAAGGTTCAACAGGGAAGATCCTTCTAGGTGCATGTGCCATAGGGCGCTCTCTTCGCTTTTTTCGGCAAGCCACGTAAAGTTTTAGTTTGCTTACCTGTAGCCAAATCCAAAACCTTGGCATGTTAGATAAAATAACCATGAATCCGGACATGAGGACAAGGGGCATGAACAGTATGGGTATCATTGTCGAGGCGAACTGCAGCTGTTGATAAGCACGCAGTAGCAAGCGCATCTTCACGTGAAGCTGGGCACTTCTACCTAGGCAATTCCCCGCATTTTGCATAAATAATGAACGCGCAGGGCCGACTAAATAAGTAAGGAAGGCATTTGCTGAGGCACGAAACTACTCTGCCACTTCAAGGTCCGATGAAATGCGTCCACGGAGATTGGGGGGAGTCGTACCATGCAGTAAACACGAACATACTACGGCAACTAGAATAAAAAGCGCAAACAAGTCATTCAAAGACGCGACCGTGTCGTTCTGTTGCGGGCATGTCCACTGTGTGTTCGCTGGGCAGTACACATACGAGAAGCTAATCTTGCAGATAATATAGCGCGAGACTTACAGTAGGAGCCACACTGGATATTACATAGCCAATTGAAATGGCACTATTGGTTGCCAGCAAGATGAACAGCAGGCCCAGTAGCCAGCGCACTGGTGCATCGTTCAGGCCAACCATATACCACGCAATGCTGAATCACAACACGCAGGACGAAGACTCGACAGTCTTGAGTTATACACTCTTTCCCATCTGTGGGCCACTGGGCCTTTATATATATAGGGAGCACGCAAAAACGCATCACTAAGTTAAATATGAGATACAGCTCAATTTATTGCTTGCTGTACCTTTTCAAAAAGCGCGCTAGGCAGGCAAAAATATGGGCTATGTGAAAGGTGCCTTCACAGGCAATTTAGCGAATTCTTACGTTGCGAAAACTATAGGAAAAAGCATCTGCAGAGAGAAATCGGCAATAATTTTACCGCAATAATACGAGGTAAGGCGGTACAGACCGGCCTGGTACTCTCGTACGGCCAACACCTTGTCGCTGGTGAACGTTTGTAGCACAGAAACCATACCAAGGCTTCCCTGCAAAAAAGAAAATTCGCTTGCTTCTCCAGATGGATGCAAATAAATTCTCCTTGAGACGCATGCAAATGGAATGGATAGGCAGTTGTCAGCAACTATATTCATACTGAACTGGCACTAAAAAGCATCGCTGCATCTGAGTCTCTAGCGTGCGCTATTGCTTCTGTCCCTAATCCCTTAGTGACTCTCAGCGTGTTGTCCTTGGAGTGGTCCTGTTCCCCGCACACTCCGACGTTACGCCAGGCATATATACTTCGGCATACCTGATTTAAGACAATGAAGATTGTGGCGCCGTTTCTAGACAAGTAGTTGTTTGGCGCTAGCCGGAGAAAAATCAGGCCTGCGATGATCGAAAGCGCTAGAGTCTGCACCACTCGAGCCTGAAATACTCTCGGGTTTCGACTATTGCTGATAAAGCTTCGATGAATCAAGGTACATAATTCCTCGGACCTTCAGTGGCATAACAGAAACAGCACAAGCTCGCAATCAACACCGTCCCGGAAGCAGCGCTACACATGCATTCGAAAAGATTCCACAAATGCACAAAGTATCAGGAAATGTTCACAAACTCAAGCTGAAGTCAAGCTGGTTGAATAAATCGCGCTTTGCACACTGCTCACGGCTCACCAGCTGGGCTTATACTTGTCGGAAAGCTCCTTCGCCGGCTCTAACTCCATTTCGACGGGACTTCGCGTCTCTGTAGAAGTTCAAGGAAAAACAGCACGTACGTTCAGTTACACCCACTGGGCAGGAGACGTGTGAATGCAGCTGAGATCCTTTGCTCCACCAGTGGCAGGCTGTGCAGACTGCATGCATATTCAACACTGCATATTTTTTTGCCGGCAGAGCGCAATCTGCCACACAAGCCCAGCAGATGAGTGGCGTAACACATTCTGCGACTATGATCTTTGCTAGCCGCGCAGGTCATAGAAGTGATGGATGGCCGATTAGCAACTGGAAGCGACGTTTCCGATCCACGATAGCATCAAAACGAACAAAGTAGGAAGAAAAGTGCGAACAATTGACCTGTCTTGCTTATTTCAGCATCCTGAAGCGAAGAGGACACAAAAAGAAGCAGCCAAGCAAGAGCTCAGCTGCGCCCTAAAATATATAAGACTTCAGAAAGGTCTCTTCCGAAGGTTTTCTGCTGCACCACGGAGTTAAGAAGAAGAGATAAACAAGAAGAGATTAATGGGCCTTGTGAAGCGATGCATTTTGTGAAGATAAGAGCATGCAAACTCCGCAAAATATTGCAAACTGCAGTGTTTCCCTGCTGCAAGTGTCACACAGCTACACACACAGTGCGCTGTCATGCCAGCTGTCCCATTATAAGTTCATTTGGAATAACTCGCAAGCAAAGCGATGGGATGGATGCTCTTGAAGTATATCGGACCGCGCAATATAACTTCACAACGCCCCCAGCTCGTTTCATGCGCTGCCGCTTTTAACTAATGCTGTTAAATGTTGTTTACCTGTCCACCGTGGCCGCTTTGAAAAGCTCCAGCATCCTGCATTGCCTGGATGTGCTTCTCCCGCACATTCGCCTGAAGAACGAAGAGCAGTGCAGAGGGAAGCGCAGAACAACCGCGGCAACGGACTCTGCCTAGGTGCACATGTACTTCACCATAGGTTTTCCTTCTACCATTAAAAAAGAAGTGTCGTACACACATGTGCGCGTCTACTCACCCACTCAGCAACAAAGGCAACGCCTGTGTGTTTCCACCGTTCTGCCAGTCTGCAAAGTAAGCACCACAGATACTATATCACGGTCATCACTTAAGACAGGGCAACATAAACGTACAAAAACGAAATGAGTCGGTCGCACCAGTACGTTTGTAGCAGCGCAACGCACGCTACTCAAAGTGCTGTGTGTCGGCAGCATGAAGCTGCTGCGAGTGTGAAATGTGCGTAACTGAGTCCTGATAGGCCTAAATGCTCCAACAACACAAATTTAGCACGTGCCACTTAAATAAGTTTATAACCGACTTCAGGTAAGTTCCTGCTGGGGCGAATGCCGTAGATAAGCCGAATGGACCAAAGTTATCGCCTACAATCATGTGCCACTAATGAATACGTACTTCTCAGGAGTTAATTCAATTGCATCGTCTGGTTGTTTGCCTTGTCTAAGCTGCTGTTTCACGAGCAACTCAAGAAGGAATTCTGGGACACTGGTGAAAGGTGGGCACGGGAGGCCCAAACGCGAGAAGTACAACAGAGTCGCCTCGCGGTCTCCGTAGAACACCACACGGCCTTGGCTAAGAAGAAGCACTTTTGAAAACATATTGAATATATTCGAGCTCGGTTGATGAATCGTGCATATAATGGTTCGTCCTGTACGAAGAGCAGGTGCAAACAAACAGATTAGCATTTATAGTGACTGCACAGGAACTAGGCACGCAAAAAGATAACCCTTCCGATTATCATTTTTGCGTGCGTAGCCCGATATATCACACAAAATGTGAAGAGAGGCTTCGGCTTCGTTCCAGCTCAAAAACTTTGCTTCCAAAGTCCACTTGAAAGTAAACGCACGAGCGCAGGCGGTCTCACCTCGATCTGCTAAGTGTCTGAAGATACGCATAACATTCTCGGCTATAAACGAGTCCAGGCCGGTGGTTGGCTCGTCCGCAAATATAACAGACGGGTTTGTCATCATCTCCGTAGCAATATTCAGACGCTTCTTCTCCCCTCCACTGATGCCCCTAAAACCACGTGAATGATCACAAAAAATAAAGCCAAAATGCTGCAAAAATGATGAAACACGCTTGTCTCTAACACCTCTATAGAGTAAACAGAAGAGATGTCGGCAAAAATGGGCGTACGAAGATCAGAGATATATCATTGCACCTGCAACCTCACAAACTTACCTCTTTGCCGCCATCTGAATATTTCCAATCCTCGAGTTTCTGACTTTGGTCAGGCCATAGAGCTCCACCAGACGATCAACAAGCTTCGACCTCTCTTCCTTTTTCCATCCAGTCCGCAGTCTTGCCTGTGCCATTCGCAGATGACAGAAGCCTCAGATACTGTGGAAACGCAGCAATATCCTACTCAAAAGACTATACCGGGGGAGACAAATAACAGCGCCTTCGACATGTCTCGCAAGTCCTTGTCAAAGCGTGCACTGCCTCCTGCTAGTTTGTGGAGCTGCATGCATCCTGGAGAAGGCTTCAGATGAAATACAAGGAGATAACATGTAGGCGTATTAAGGAACACAAAGAGTGCCCCCACTCAAACCGGCGAGCTCAACCCACCACGCAGTCTAGATGCTCCTCTACTGTTAGGAATCCGTAGAATATATCACTTTGTTGTATGTAGCAGCAGATTCGCTTCACTTCAGCGGGCCCCAGCGTCTTGCCGTTGAATAATACAGAACCCCCATTTGTGACGATTCGACGACTCAAAACTGCACGCACCCCAAAAAAAAAGGACAAATATTCTCTGCATGACCACATACACGCAAGTGAGCTCATTAAACGGTTAATGACCGCTGCTTGCAAGCATGCAAGTTCAGCTGTGTGCAACCCTCGGTTTATCCACCTGCCATGCTGGTATGTTTGTTAGCCAAGATGAACTCTTATTATTAAAGCAGCCCCTCTTTCGCAAGGTGTAACAGAACGCACACAATAAAGTATACGCACCGTTGAGAAGAGTGGACTTGCCCGCTCCGCTGGCCCCCATAAGTGCCACTGAACGCAAAACGTCACAAAGGTAAATGTCACAGTGCCCAGGGCGAAGCTTGTCTGCTCTAGTCTGAGCTAGAGCCTCAATACCGTTAATGAGCTTCAATATGAAGTGTCCCCGCATCAGTAGTTGCATAGCCAGCGTATTAAGCTAACGAACAATTGCTCTCACCCATCTCTCCGGGGTGCACAGTCCCACTGACATCCATAAGGAGCGTCTTGCTCTGAGAAGGAGTTACAGCACGTGCAATCTGATTTACAAATGGGAGAGCGAGCACTCCGGTGAACCTCTTGTGGACGTTCACTTTCACTGAATATCAAAGCGCAAAAGACAAGAGGGCATGCATCCATCACCCCGTCGGCAAGGTTTCCCAGAGCAATCTTACAAACACAATGGGAGGTTTCTATTCGGATGGGTTTAGACTGTCCTCTCTGCAAGCCAGCTTCTCCCTACCACGCGTTTAGATACCCTGAAAGCGGAGCTTGCCTCCTCAAATGGGTCCCAAATGCCAGATAGTTGCCATGTACACTGTGCGTGTTGAAAGCTTCAGACTTACAAGACAGTTCGTCGAAAGATATTGTCACAGGCGGACACGGTCGAAGGTTTTTTAGACGCTCGTACGTTAGGTTCTGCTCATCAGCATCAGAAGGAGGCGTAGTTCCACTCTCCGTGACGGCTGGCACTTCTCCATCGCCGCACACCGATCTCCTGTCTACAGAGCTGCGCCCACTCTTGAGGCTCTGCATGCTGCGGCGACGAAGAAAAACCTCGGATGCCGCTGCATTTAGAGCCTCGCAGCAGTCCCCAGCTCCTGCTGGAGGCATAGCATTAGATATGTGTCGTAAGACCTCTTCCTGAGACGCTGGCATCTCCACAAGAAGACGACACGTGAACAAGTGCCTTTTTGGCGTTTTTTGACAAACGCAACACACTGGGTTTGATGCAGAAGCTCAAAAGGAGACAACCTTAAAGAGGCCCAGCCAACCGCCTCCACGGCGACACGGAGCGTAGCAGGCTCCCGCGAAAAGCTTCAAACTCAGGCACTTTCTCTGCAATGAGAGTTAAACTACAAAATTAAGAGTCAGAGCCCCTTACTGTGGGGCTGCAAAATAAAAAAATGCCAACGACCCAACAGACCACCAGGACTCCGGAAGCCCCGGACGGTGACGCTGAGAAGGGGCTTCTCCTGAGATGCCAACGTTCTTATGTGCCAGTTGTTTAGAGCCTCAGCACAAATTTTAACCTATCATTACGCAAAGGCTGCTTAGCTACAATCCAAACGCACTTGGCTTGAACTCCTCGTGTCTTTGCAGACTCGCCTTGTATATTTGCTGGGTCATGCTGATACCACTGCCCGGTGGTAGGGAAGATCTCTACCTGCGAGTCTTCGAATAATGTCTTTTCAGCTAGATTTTATTTTTTGTGGTGGCCCGGAATCCAAATGCAGCTTACCCCGGATGCGCACTTCCAATGTAAGCTCCGAATCATTTTCCAGGGTTCCACATCGTCGGCGAAGCAGGTAAAGGAACTGCACTGAATCATACGTAGGCATCTAACTGCCTAGCTCAGAATCTTGGAGCAAGTCGCATTAGTGCATGCATTTCGTTGTACGATCCAGCGACGTTCAATGCTCGTATATCTTATCTTTGTTTGACGTTTCTAGAAGCGGCAGACTTGCCTGAATGCAGTGTACTTAGCTCTGCAATAATAATATGGCATCACTAGCCATATAATACTTTCATTTAGGTCATCGAAAGCGAATTGTGGGACCGTGCTGCCAACCAGCATGAACGCCACAGTGGCTGGTGGCTGGTCCAGCACACTACTCGGTTTGTCTTGCAAACTGCCTTGTTCATTCCACATAAACAGAATAGTGGTGTATTATTAATATAAGAGTACAAATAGCTGCATGGATTCAAGGGAAAAGCTCAGGCCCTACAGGCGCACTACAGAATGTCGTGAGGATCGGAAATTTTGGATACTCCAGCGCAAGAAAAATTGAGCGGCAAAGTAGCCGCAAAACAGTGCTACGGGAAGATTCAGAGGATATGCTGATTTCTTGCGACCCATAAGACTGGGCGCAATGCAGGCAACAATTGAGAAAACTAGGTCTGAGGGGACAAGGACTTCGAGCTTAGTCGCTCCAGCAAATTCTTCGCTGAGACAAAGTGATGGATTGCTAACTGTCTCCTGGAGGCGACAAAGCTCGACTGGCCGCCCTGGCTGTCTGCACAGTGTAGCTTCCGCCTCTTATTAGACGAACATATTTTAGTGCTGACAAATCTAAACAGACACGTTGTGTCCTCTATCTTGCAGCTTAACTTGCATCTGCGCGCTGCCGGAGGCTAGGCAGGGGTATTTCTCCACTACCTAATATTTTGCAAATAAGAAGAAAAATATCTTGGTGTGACTCTGATGCTACACCAAAGTAAACTGGCGGCGTGGCGCTTGATTCTGCTGTGTTCGTTGTCTGTGATCCTGCGATGGCGAATACTTGTTTGAGCACGTAAGGACCGTCACTATGCGGCTGTCACAATTAGGCGAAGGAATAGATGACATACTAGACCTAGCAACTCCTCTCGACCAAATGAAGGAGGAGTGGGGCTGGCTTGAAGCAAGCCATTTCACCCAGTTTGTTGCCCTAAAATCACTGCCTTCAACGCTAACCAGATTTGCCTCCATTCCGCCTCCACTAGCACCACGCACACCACATCAATCCGGTCAAGTCCTGCCGGAGAGTGTCCACATATATCCTGTCTCTCCTGGTGGTTCGCTTCATCACCAAGCCGGCTGTCTACTTGGTAGCCTCGTGTGCTGCAGACCGTCTCTTTTATGCCACTAGTCAGCTTTGCTCCTACACATCTCACCCGTACTCGCTATATAGACCCATGAGTAACAATGTCCTCTCATGGCACCTGCTCTGCATTGGAAGGGCTCAAAAATCATCAATCAAGCTGTGTGGTATCTAGGCGTGTATTGCTGTGCACGATAGACTACGCGATGATGCCCCCATCCGGGTGCAGCGGGTTTTGCGTTACGGACAGTTTGCTATGAACTTCTGTATTCCTTTAACCTTGTTTGGGAAAGTTCGGTTTAAACTGGAGCTGGTGGGCCCCTCACTCAGCTGGGATCTGCCTGGCGCTCAACAGAAAAGCCGCGGAAGATACTCAACGTAGCCGGCAAGCCCGATATATGTATGCTATGTACTTTCATATACAATTTGGCTCCCATAATTGTCCTGTCAGTAAGCTAGTATTCCCTAATCCGGAGCGTTGGGCCATCCCCGCGCCGTGGATCCCGCTTTCCCCGACGGGCATGCCACCTGGTGTTTTCCATTTTGTCCCAATGCTTTGTTATTATCCAGCTCTTCTACTGGAAGGATATTTTGCAAAACCATGAGCTGCCTTGAATTTGGGAACGCCGATAGATGCATAAACTTCCCCAGTTCAGCAATGTCCATATACCAACAAGAGGCTGCTGAAGGTCCAGCGGTCCAGGGGGTGCCGGCTTGTGCGTTGTAGCAAAATACGCACCACTACAATGCACCCCAGGAAAAACCTTCAAGGTGATATAATTTATTTCGCGAAGAATGACGACAAAGACCGAAGCAACTACCGTGCATAGATATTTCGTCATCAGTCGGTCACGCGCAGTGTGTTCCGCAGTCCAACGTGGGTGTTGAAGCTTGCAATCGGTAATGAAGCTGCATTGTGCCGCACTGCCACAAACGGAGGGAAAAGCATCCGGGGTTATAGAGCTAAATATCTAGGGAAAGCGTACCTCCACTGGAGATGCTTAGACACTTTCAATGCCTTGATAATGTCTGTAGTCAGCAGTGCTAGCTACGCACCTCTCTTGGCTGAATAGCAGAGAGATATGACTCACCTACATTACTGCCGGCAAAGCCTCTGGTGCTGCCAACAGCCATATGCTGAATCTGAAAATGGACAAAGTGTTGTTCAAGAGCCTGGGTCTATGAAATAATGACTTTTTATGCCTCAGTACGTGTATCTTTGCCTTCAGTGAAGACAGACAGAACAGCATCTATGTGACCAGTCAGGGAGGAAACGTATTGGCGGAGCTGAGCATTATCCTAGCTGGGTGCTCCTCACTACATCCCCCGCACCCAGAGTCGCCCAAAGACTAGTTACCAGCGTCCAGCCTATAGGTAACTGACCTATGGCACAAATTTCATATGAATCACCTCACCTATGCTGGAGCAGCAGATACAATCCGAAATAGTCATCTTAGCTTGCCCCAGCACAGATTCTCGGAGCTCGCTACACTGCGCTGCAGGGTGGAAACCCGTTGCAAGGGGCATGCCGCACCAGTCTGGATCCTTCCACACTAGCCTGAAGAGAGATCTAATAATATTTCCGCAACAAGTTTCGTTAGGCTAATAGACAGACTGCTTCGCGTGTCCAAGTAAGTCCCATTTGCTGTTTTATCGGACAAGTGAATTGGCTGGAGCTAATTCGGGCACTCTCCGCGGCGGACACCAGTGGCTGTCCAAGCCAGTTTCTTTTCCTTTTTTCTTCTGTAGTTCCTCACCTGAGCACTGTGCATTTGATGAGCCGTCGTCTTAGGCACTAAAATTTAGTAGACACCGCATTTCATGTCAGAAACGTTAAGGGTAAGCTGGCCTTCCGCAATACGTGAGTTTCGGCGGTGCACGCGCCAAACCGGCATTAGCAGTTGATGGCGTGAAGCTCAAGGCCCCCTGAATTTCCGCCTTACTGGCATTTAAACCTGGCGAGCATAGGAGCTGGCGAACGTAGCCTTTTTGTGGGCTGATTGCTCGAGGGATATTCAACGAACTTCTTTGTCTTGGTAGTTTCTTGGTGCCTGCCTTCCTCATGGTCGCTTCTTCTGACTATCTGTGTCAAGTCCTCCATTTTAGGCTTGTCAAGTCAAAAGCTGGGTTCCCTTAGAGGCAGAAGGTCAGGAAAGGTAAACATATGCTGCACTGGCTCGTGCCTCCCACGCCTCTCCATTATGGCTGGCTGTCTTCGCTTGGCTGTATCCAACTGCATGGCTTCAACACCGGAAACATCACTAGTCAACCATATACCATACCTCAAATTCATTCGTAGATGAAGGACTCCCTAGTAAGAAGGAAGCAACAAAACTACTGCTGATTTCCCAAGTAGGGCGTCAGATCAGTATCCGAGCTTCAGACTATTATCATTTGCCTACACCACAGAAAGATTTTAGGATCCATAAGTACGGATTGGGAGGTCCGTAGGTGCCGGCTACGGGTGCCGTCACGTAAAAGCCGCCAGCAGAAATTTTCCTGCCATATTTGGGGCCCAAGTTCCCTTTTCGAAGTAAAGAAAAAGCAGAAACAAACAAGGAACAACTGTACCGGAGCAAAAGAATCAGGTCTTTTACAACCGTCCGCCTGCTCTGCCCCACGACCCTTCCCAGCCCGACGAGCCGACTGCCATGTTGAGAGTTCTGGCCTTGGCCGCGACTGAGACGATCTTGCTAGTCGACAAGAAGTACAGCTGTATTGTAATAATACTAGGGGGCTTCACTATACCCTCTGAGCACCTGCGGTCGCCGCATATGCTCTTAAAAGAAGTACAAGCGCTTTTCTGTGCAATGTTCAAGCACTATGTACTCAGATTCGTATGCACGTGTGGTGACTGCGATGACTACACGAGCCTAAAGAGGCACGTGCTTGGAGATCCTCATTGGATTCCTTTTTTGTTGCATGGAGAGTATTTAGGCGCAAACTATTTCGTTTTGGCATTGTGTAGCGACCAAAGGCGCTCAAGACTGATCTATTTTGGGTCTCTACACACGATTTTCTGTGGTTCCAGTGCTGTCTTCCCCTATCCCACTTGCGTGAATACTGGTCAGGAGGGGGTCCGAAAAAGGATAATGCATGCGCTAGTGCTCTTCACGCAATTAAAGAGGAGCCCACTCAGGGTCTTGAGATCTACTCTCCCTCTAGCTAAGTGCTACGAGCACGAGAAGGATACAGTATTTACCTGCACTTTGTCGCAGCTCATGGTATATCTCAGTACCCACGTGTAACTCTACAGAAACAAACCTGAGCACTGCTCAAGCCCCGGATACCATGAATAGGAACGTATAACACGCTCACCAAATAAAGACTCCTGAAAGCGCATATGCTGTCCTTTGAGGATGCAGGAATATGTTAGACTATGAAGTAAAATTACAAATTTACACCTACTTGTCCACTTTATACTGCTCTTAATTTCTTCCGAAGCATTGTACGAACCAAACACGAATAACAGACTGGGGGCTGGCGATTGGAAGCCATGTGGACCAGCCGTTAATTTTCTCTTGACGCTTAATAATAGCTTATCTTTTCCACATTTGTTTTAATGGCATTTTGGGTCTACGTGAAGTTGGCATCTAAACCGCCTTCGGCGCTGGATTTGTTCGGCACCTCCAGCTGTGCAATATATGCATGACAGCATGCGTCAACCAATCATATCCACCACAACCAGCGGCACGCGGACTGCAACGAACTCTGAATAGTATTCCATTCGTATTATTCTTGTATTTTTCAGCTAATTGATCTCCAGGTTTCCAGTTGACTTTCCGGCCACGTGCCGTTTTTTGATTGTCGCCTTCTTGGGCCTTCTGTCCTGTCAAGTGGGAGATCTAGCACGTGAAAATGTCGGTATATATGGACTACCAGAACAGAGTCGGGCACAAGCTCGGCTCTGGAGCTCCCGCCACATGGCAGGTGAGTTGAAGCCAGCAAAATCGTGCCGCCATTGACCTGAACAGGTGGAAGATCCTGTCGAGCAGGCTTCTGCATCTGTTCAGATCAACGGCAGCAGGAAGGATACGGTTGCAGCTGCCTTTGAACAATTTGCTGTTGAATTTTCACCGCTCATGGGCTGTAATGGGTGGACACCCCTAGGTGAGCTATTGCTGTACTTTTTTTTGTCGACAGGAGGTTAACCTTGAACGAAAGGAGAGGCTCCGCCGGCTGGCTTTGGAGACAATAGACCTCAATAAGGACCCCTATTTTATGCGCAACCACTTGGGTGAGCAGCCGCATTATTGCGAACGGCTACAACTACTGCGGCAGTGACGCTAGGAAAGCCTGCAGGAAGCCTAGAAGCAAGGGGAACCACATTAGCGAGGGGATTAGGTATAGAAATTCCAATTCAACAGTTTCAGTGCGTTCCAATTTTGGTTGTAAGGTACTTGGCTACAGCCATGTGGCTGGTGGCAATCTATGAGTTGATTCTTATGTATCCCTCTATTTCTCAACCGTTTCGTCTCAGGTCAGTTTGAATGCCGCCTTTGCCTCACGCTGCACACAAACGAAGGTTCGTATTTGTCTCATACCCAGGGGAAAAAGCACCAGACGAATCTGTCAAGAAGGCTAGCAAAGGAGAAGGCAGATGCTGTTGTGGCTCCGATGCCGCTCAAGGTAGGAAGCCTGACTCAGTGTGGAGAGACGTTGATGCCATTTCTTTTGACCTTCATGGGTTTCTGCCTTTGTTTTTTCGCTGCAATTACTTCCTAATTCTAGTTCTGTCATTTGCATTGTTCCGACAAGTCCCTTGCTTTCTCCAGCAAGCGTTTGCCACGTCTATCTTTTGCTTTCTGGTGCAATTTCTGTCGTGGGCCCAACTTCAGACAGCCAGCGGCCCCGGTCGTTCCACAGACCGAGTTCGCATTGGCCGACCAGGTTACCGCGTGACGAAGCTCAGGGATGAGAGAACGCGCCAGTTTGCTCTGCTTTGTGAAGTTGAGTATCCGGAAATTGTTAGAGGCACGAAACCATACCACAGGTGAGTTTGAAAAAAAAACTGCTCGGCATTCTTATCCACCTGTGCCCGAGGGCCTGCATGCATGCGGACCTTGTCTTGCATTTACCTGCGAGCTTATTCCCGTATGGAAGCAAGTCTACGTATGCTGATAAGTGCGCGCGTGCGCAGTATAGTAGCTCACAAGCATTTCGGGTGTATGCCTATCGCGCTAGCTGGCGTCGATGCGTGGTTGACACACATCAGCGGCCTGTTCACATAAAGAATCCGGGGGTATAGGTAAATGTTTGAGCTTGTGGTATCAAGCACCCTCAGCGAGCTCATTGTGAAGTTTTGCTCAAAATGCTGTGCGCTGTGTCGAATTTTTCTGTACTCTATTTACTTCATGATATCGGAAGAAACCTGTCGAGGCCTTGTGTGTTTGGCGCGCATAGAAGAAGTCTTTGTGTTGAAGTTCTGCCTAACATGCACAGATAAATTCCAAAATTTGCTCTATTGTCATACCCGTTTCTTTTGGTCGACTTGTTGTTATTTCTGTTTTCTTCATAGATTTATGTCGGCCTTTGAACAACGTGTTGAAACACCACCAGATGGGAACTACCAATTCCTCCTGTTCGCCGCCGAGCCGTACGAGACCATTGGTCCGTCAATTATGCTTAGGTTTTGGGCTACGGGGGCTCCTGGAGGGTACAGTTGATGAGTCTAGCTCGCCAACACGCTCGTTTGCTCATGAGTTCATTTGTGCGCTGACTTGCGATTGCACGTGTTGCGTAACTTGCTCTGGTGTGTCCGCACCGCGTCTGCATACTTTTGTTTTCGGTCTAGTGTTATATTTCTTACGCATGGAATTTCACTGTGTTTTCTTATGGTCGCTCGCACAGCTTTCAAAATCCCCAACATGGAAATAGACAGAGATGACCCCAGGCACCACGCTGCCTGGGATGAGGAGAAGAAAGTCTACACAATGCAAATATTTTTTTCAGTACGCGCTTTATGGGTCCTAAACAGTAAAATGGATGTCTTGTCAACATGGCCTTCAATGTTGGTTTCAACATACTGGGAACGATTCGTCCCCTCGCAGCATTTTTGAGGTGCCGTAACGCGTTCCTGTGTTTATACATCAATGAACACATCATATGTATTGCGGGAAATGCTCCTTATTCAGTATTCTTCCGTTTGTCCGCAGAAGCGACAGCCCAGGCCGCTACCCGCGTTGCCTCAGCGTCCAACAACTTTCCTGCCTGTTGGAGCCCGATGGTGAACGGAGGGAGCTCGCAAGGTGCTCAAGAAAAAGGGGTTTCGAGGCTGGGAATGGGCTTCCATCGAAAATACACTACGCGTATTAGCACGCGCTAAAGTGCTGGTGTGTTCACATGCTCTATGCAGACATTTCTGTATCCACACGTCTTCGTGCATAACTTGAATCTGCACTGGCGCTACCTGGCTCGCTGATGAGAATATCTATATGGGGTGGATGCGTACATTCGTTCATGAACCCACGGGCTTCGAGCATACGTGCCAGTATCTTCACGTAACGGTGATATGCAAAGGCCCATGCGCATATGCATAAGCAAGAGAAACTGCTACCGGGATAGTGCACGCGTAGAACGTCGTTGTGCTGCTGATTTTCGTCATAGTATAGGAAGTTAAGGGAACGTAAGCGCACAGGCGAAGCCAAGTGAAATGTACTGATAACTTGCGGAGTTCATTACTCGCACAACCGCTTCCAACGGAATGAGAACCTGTGACCTGCAGATTCGTGTCTCTTTTGGGGAGGAGTGAAAGAAACGATTTAGCCGCCCCTGCTTTATGAGGGCTCTGAAGTAAGAAAAATTCCCGTGCTTGGCTGTGCCGAAACTGTTTTCTGAAGGCCTTAGTCCAACTTAGATCACGGGACCGCTAGTTCCTGTTTTCAGGCTGCTAGAGTATCTGGGGCAAGATACAGCCCAAGAACCGCTAGTTCTGGTCGCCTGGTAGCTGTACAGACAACACAGACGGAAGCAATAAGGATAAAGTGCGCGGAAGAAAGTGCACGCAAAGCCAAGGTGAAGTTGGGGAGCGCGATAAGCTCAAGGACTGTACCATGGCGACAAACACACTATCTTGGAATCCCAGGAAATAAGGCATAAGGTCAAACAGACACAGGGACCGCGAGCCAGTAACGGCTAAGGAAACGGATTGTCACAGAACAGCTTGAAAGTGGAGGTGGCACAAAGGCAAGAAAGTCCCAGCACAAAAAATTATGGTGCTGGCTGTGACAGATGCGCATTTTGGGGCCAACTGCTCGAGGCAGGCAGACGGCAATATATGGGTGCAGCTTGGAGTAGCAGGATAGGGATAAGAACCGATGTGAAACTCCTGGGCGGGGTGGGACGACCCTCAAGCGACCCTAAAGGGGGGCACATGTCTTCCACTGGCGCTGAACCACGGTGTCACACGTGTGAACGGTTCTTATCCCACTAGCGATGAGCCGTGGTGCCACACGCGTGAGCGGTTCTCATCCTAGACTGCAGCAAGCGAAGTGCAGCTGCTAGTGCTGAGCAAGGCACCCTGCGAAACGCAGCAACTGGGCCTGCTGAAGAGTACTTTGTTCTTGCAACTGTTGGCACTATTCTTGTTAATTTTGCGATTCATAGTATTGCCTGATTTGCTGCGAGAGCAACTTTTGGTGGTGCTCCACACGCTGCTTCTGCGAAATGCCATGGTCTTCCTGTAACCGCCGCCTACTGTCTGGCTTTGTTCGTGGCTGCTGCTGCGCTGGGCCAAGCAGCTTCTCCGCGAGCTTCAGTGAGTCGCTAATCAACGGATCTTCTTCTGATATCTCCAGCTGCTCCTGATGTTCCGGCTCTGCTTTAACTGCATTAACCGACCCTGGGGAGGACAATGTGCTGATTGAACATTTATTGCTGGGCCTTTCTAGCAGCAGAAGCAGCTGCCGCCGCTGATCTGCTGCGTCACGCAAGTTCCCTGTATGAAGCAGTCCTAGAAGTTTTAGCGCTGCAACGCGAACCCTCTGTTCTAGTGGAATGTGTTGCTGGGAAAGTGCAGCAGCAGCTCTTGCTGCAGCGGCTGTCGCAGCCGCTTTGTCGCCGCACGGGGAAGTAAGAGGAGAACATAGCTCCGACGCTTCCGCGACACTTTGCGCATTAAAAGCAGCGGCTGCTGCAGCGGCTGCTGCGCTCTGTTGCTGGACCTTTGGGGACTCGAATTCTGCAACAACTGAAATTAACAGCTGCCAGTCTGCTGCTGCTGCTGCTGCTGCCATAACCTCCGCAAATGCGTTCAAAGGGAATTCGGGTGGTACTGCTGCTGCTGCTGCTAGTAGACTGTCATGCTGGCCCTTCTGCAACTGCTGCTGCAAGTCGAACACTTGCAGCTGTTGTTGGTGTCGCTGTTGCAGTAGCCTCAACACGCCCAGAGCTTCCCTTGGCGCTGCTGCTGCAGCGCAGCAACGCAAAAGCGTCAGATAGGGAGCAACACTGCCAAAGGGGGGAAAGGCTTGCAGTAACGGCTGCAGTTGCTGGAGCTGCTGCTGGTGGAGCTGCTGCTGCGTGCCGATTAAATGTTGCATTTGCTGAAGCGTCTGTTGCTGCTGCTGTTGTCGTTCCGCGTGGGAGTGGACAAGCAACTGCAGCCCTTCCCTCCACCTGCCCCCCACTGCAAGCGCCTCTGCAGCTGCAGCGTACACAGCAGCAGCATCAAGGGGCAAAAGCTGTTGCTGCTGACGTTGCTGTTGCTGTTCTTCAAACTCACGCAGGAGAGCGTCAACCGTGCTGCTGCTCTGCTGCTGCGCAGCAGCAGCAAGCAGTGACAAGAATGTCTCAGTAGTGGGGGCGTGCGCTTCCGCAGCACTGAAACTCCCGAAAATTTCATCGTTCAGGTGGTCCTGACCGTGCTGCTGTTGCTGCTGCTGCAGCCCAAGCAAGTCCCGCTGGAATATGGACATGGCCAGCTGCAGCCGGCCTGTTGCTGTTGCTGCAGCGATAGCAGCATTCACGAGTGGCGCCGTTGGCAAGTATGAGTCCCGCTGCAGCAGCTGTTGCAGGTGTTGCAACATCTCAGGCTCCAGCTCGCCCGAATCTTGCTGCTGCTGCTGCGGCTGCTTCTTTTGCTGTTGCGAGGACTGCTGGTGTTGCTGTTGGGCTACGCGCTGCTGCAGCACTTCTTGGTGATGCCTCAGAGCACAAAAATCCGCGTATAACTGAATCGCCTTTTCATATCTGCCTGCTTTAACACAGCAGCAAATAAGAGCCGTGTAGACACTCGACGGAAGGGCCTGCTGTAACGCTTCTGCTGCTCTTGCTACGGCTTCTCCTGCATGCTGCAGCCCAGCTGCAGCTGTAGCTACAGCCGCTGCCGCTGCTGGTGCAACCGCAGCAGCGGCAGCACGAATTCGTCGCTGCAGCTGCTGCGCTAGCTGCAACGCAGCAGAAGCAGCTCCTGCTTTGCTGCAGGAGCTAACAGCGAGACTGAGAACGGCCAAAGAAGGCTCGTGGCCTTCCTCCTTGATGTGTTCCAGCAGCTGCACAGAAATCGGAGACTGTAAACGTATACCCCTAAGACCGCGAACCATGGAGCGGCTACTTATGCTGCTGTACAGTGTGGGCAAGAAAAACTCTAAAAACTGCACTCAAGCGCTTGACTGTACCTTGAGCATCCCATGGTACTCTCCAGCCCTTTCCATCAGCGAAGCAATACTATGGAAAGTTGCGTCATCCGGTGGTGCTCCTGATGCTCTCATCTGTTTATACACCTCAAAACCACCCAGGGAGTCTCCCTGTCTCTCGCACGCATGCAGCATGCAATTGAATATTACAGCTAGCCGTTTCTTTTCACCCATGCCCTGGCGCTTTGGGGACCCTGGAGGGTTCTTAACACCGGACGAAACCCATAGCGCCCCTACTTCGCCGATGGGGGGTCCTCCAGTGCTTGCTGCCTCGAGCAGCTGCAACGCACGTGCCAAATCGATCTGGGGTGTGTCGTCGGCTTGCTGATGCTTTTCTTGCTGCTGTAGTTGACTGCTGTGTGAATTGCCGGCAGTCGCTGACCTTAAAAAATGACTTGAACTTTGTTCCAAGTGTCTGTCCGTTGCACCCAAAGGACCTGAACTACCAGAGTAGCGCCTGCAGCTTTCGAAAGTCTCGTTTCTAATGCAACATCTGCTTCTGCGGTACACAGGGACTCCCCACTGCACCGCTGGGGACAAAAATCCAAGTGTGAGTCCCCTTAAGGTTTGGAATCTCAAGGCGCCGCTGAGAGTCGGGCACTCTAGTCTTGCTGCTGTTGCTGCCTGATACTGTTGCTGCTGCAGTTGCAACAACAATAAAAGAAGCAGGGGCCTTGTTGCAAGTGCAACTGAACAACTTTTGCTGTGCATGATCCAATAGGCAGGCGCTTCACACGCCAACGCAACGGCAAAGACGCCGGAAGAGGAACGAGTTCACAAACTCTGAATTAGGGCCTTCTCACATCTTGCTAGGCTCATGCTGAAGAGTCCTGTTTCCTTAAGGCCGACCAGTGAAGCGGGGAAGAAGTCCACGAAGATGCTCTGACTGTTACTTACGCTGTTCTGAAATCTGGGAGGTGTGGGGGCGCCCACCAGTCACACGGCTGCCAATTTAGTCAGTGTATTCAACTCTGTAAGCATGAGGTTGGATAAAGCCATGAGACACCTGCTCTCACAGCTTGGGGGTCCAAGGAGCGCCGTTGCTGCAGGACACTGCTCCAAGCCCTGAGAACGTTTGTGGGCTGCCACTAGAAAATCGCCATTCAACGCCAAAGTGGACGAAAATAGGACATTTAAATCTTTCGCTCTATACCGCCGTTAAGATCATTAAATGGATCAGCGGAGTGACTTTCCAGCGCTTCACGAAGTATTATGAGAAGTGTGGGCCCTGTTTTCCAAGGTCTGCATCGACACATCGGGAAAGTGAACTTCTTTGTCAAGCTTAAGATAAGAAACTGTCAAAGTCAAGCTATTCTGACCAGTCCAGGGCTCTACAACTGGCTGTGTGAAAGCTTAAGCTCAGCACTCCTGAGTGTCGGCCATCGAGGATGTATGGATCCTCTGCCGAATTCCCTGTTGCTGGGCCTCTATTTGGCAAAGAAAACTGCAGGGGGCTGGCCGATAAGAGCTTCGAAAAACGTAAGGCTGCAGCTCATGCGCTACAGCACGTTATCAAGCAGCAAGTCTCTACTGCTGTTGCTACCGCCAATAATGAGGAAGCGTGTGCCCCAGCAGACGCTCTCACAGGCGACTCCGAACAGAACGAAACAGCCACTCCTTCCCACCGGCAGCGACAGCAACAGAGACTGCAAGAGAAGCATCGGGAAGCAACCCAGTCAATCGTACAGCAGGCGACTTCCGCCCTCACAGCTGATTTCTTGTCGAGCCCCATAGCCAACATACGCAAAGGGGGTCTCTTGGGTGTTGCTGCAGTGGGCCTAGCTTTTGAGGTAACAGGCTCACGACCCCATAAGAGGAAAAGAGCGCTTGAGCCCATGCTGGAGTCGAAGCGTTACTGCAGCACGCGTTGTGGTCGTTCCTTTGCGAACACTTCCGACTGTTCCCCAGATATGCCCTCATACTTTCACACTGCTCTACCCCGTAAACGTTTATTTGCGCAAAAGTATATGCTTGCATAAGTGTCTGTCAAAGCGTCCGTGTACGTAGCAATGTGTGGGAGCGCCACAGGTTAAAAATGCCACATGTAGATATGAGACTATCTATATTTAGGCACGTATATTCCTGAAAACGTGCGTGCATCAGATGCACCTGATAGCTGAATAGGCACAAGCATTTGTAATCTCCCCAGCACTTAGCCGCTCTGAGATTGATGAGTGTATTAAAACAGGCAACTGTGGATGCAGTCATCCCCCTGTTTTCGCCTGTAGGAATCTGCCGGTTCCCTTTGTGTTCTTTGTGTTCTTTTGGTCCAGCGTGGTTTGACTTTGCCAGTGGAACATCTTTCCTTTCCAGCGTTTGCCACCTTGTATGACTCTGCTTTTCCCTCCCTGTGTCCGAGGGCGTCTCCCTGTGCTTCTCCTTCACAGTCGCTGTGCATTGTGGCACGTAGTCCTTGGCCTTCATCTGTGGTACCAACCAGCTGGCAGTGCGGCCATGTGGCCTTGCCCTTTTTTCAGATCGTTTTTGGGTGTATGTGCAGTCAGGAGGGTTGGACTGTTGCTTACAGCTGCTGCTAAGGCCTCTGCTGAAGTCATTTGGGGATCCCGATCCTCGCGTCAGATATTACGCCTGCGAGGTGATCAGCCATTCTCACCAGCTTTCTCCATCTGTTTCTTCTTGTCTCTGTTAGTCTCTCTGTGGCGTACCCTACCTCGCTCCACCGAAGCTGCTGCATGTCTTGTTTCATCTGCGGTGCTCAGTAGGAAGTGCATTCGTCAAATTGTGTTTCCCATCGTTTTCCTGCATTGTCTCTCTCCTATGTGCGTTCGTCTCCGTCCATAGGCATGTACGCGCCGTTTTCTGTCTCTATTCTGTTGACTTTCCGTCTCTTCGCAACAACAACTGCAACAGTGACAGCGGCTGCTGCTGCTGTCTACCTGCCAAGTTGCTGCACAACGCGTTTTTCTTTGTGAGCCCACCAGCTTTCCGCCTCCTGCTTTTGCTCTGCCGTTTTTGCCTTTGCCTTTCTCATATAAATTGCCAGAGCCTTTTCAACGTCCTTAAAGCCGCAAGAGGTCTCTGCCTTCAGTTCCTACCAGAGCTCTTCGACGGGTTGTGTAAGGTGAAACGGCTCTCTAGGCTGTACATTTGGACAGCCGTGCATCTGCGCATCTTTATATCATCGTTACCATGTACCATTTTCTCTACTGGAGCGCGTATCCATCTTTCCAAGCGCATACATGCAGCTTGCGATTCATCTTGACGCACTTCCTCAACCATGGGGTAGTTCAGGTTTGTGATGCGTGCGCAGTTGTGTGGTGACGTAGACCGAGAAGTGCGGCAAGGGGTTGGTTTTGTCGACAGCCTGTTGAAGGAAGAGACAGCAGCAGCAGCAGCAGCAGCAGCAGAGGCAGCAGCAGCACCATCGCTGGCGGAGCCAGAGGCACTAAAAGGACGAACAAAAGCAGTAGAAGCGCCGGACGGGCCCATAACTCCCGCTTTCGTTCACCTGCTCGTTGAGCGTCTGCTGGTTCGCAACCCTTATATCAAGCTTCTAGCGGTAAATCGGCAGCTGTAGTTTCAAAGGAGCAACAGAATACTTAGACAATATGCCATTACTATTATCATTATCTTTATGGTCGCATATAGCGCCTCTCGGTAGGAAAAACGGTGTGCTTGTTTGCGAACTATGGCATGGAATTAAGATTCTGATTTTTTTGCTGTGTGGCATGCAGCTATCGTGGATTTCCTTGCTTGAATCACACACAGGTGGGTCTTTTGCGGTTTTTTTCCCGTTGCTTCGGGCAACGGAAAAAGTGGTTCTTGGCGCCGTCTTCATTGCCCTTCCTAGTTTCTTGTTTGGACAGCAGCAACTGGAGCAGGACATATTTCATGTGTATTGAGCAAACATCCAAACGGTGTGCTTCATGTGCTTCAGCTACAGTTATCGTTGTGTCTCCTGGTACTGTTTTTCTCATGATCATCTGTCACAGGAGTCGATATGCTTCAGTATCTGCCGTTATTTTTGGGGGGATTGCTGCAGCTCCTTGGTGACTCTCATCGGTGGGTGTTTCATTCTTTTCATTACAGCGGCACCTAAACACTATTGGTGTCAGCATAATAGGGCTACCAAGTTAAGCATGGGAAACGATGATTATGTGCAGCAGTAGCAAGGGCAGCAACACATCCAGTTGGGAACGCAGTGTGCTTCTGCTGCAGCGATATTCGCCAAGCTGCAGACTTATGCGTTACGAACTTTTTAGAAGATCTTCGGTCGGTCCCTGTCGAAAGTAGGTGGTGCATTTCCAGTCATTGCTGCAGTACACGTATGACTACAATCTTCGGTGTTGTTACCTCAATCGCCTTTTCGCGTGTCATTCTTGTCGCGCTTGTCGGTCTGCTTTAGGGTGCAGCCCAGTCATGCTATGCTGTCACTACGCTGCTCGCTTGTTGGACCCGTTCACCGATGTGCTTTCGTTTGTTGCTGCTGTGTTGCTACAGCTGATCCAGCCGTCGTGAAACAAACTGCTGAAGTGGTGCTGCAGTGCAGCGACAGCAGCAACAGTTCTTTTACACAGCTCACGTCGCTTGTCTGGTTGCATGAGCTGCTCCTGTTATTGCTGCCGGATGAGGGGCAGCAACAGCAGCAGCAACAGCAGCATGATCTTGCTCTACCGGAGACTCCTATCATACGCTGGCACCTGGAGGTGCAGAAACAGCTCAAGGTAAGCCTTGCTGCTCAAACGACAAAACTGCAGTCTGAATACGTAGGTCAGGCAAAGGCGTGGATGTACGTGAACGTCCATACAGCTGTCTGCTGGGACGTTTTGTGGAGTTGTTTGAGAACCTGACGGCGCAAAAGTCAGGGTTTGAAACATAGGGTTCTGATCATCTGTGTTTATGCACTTGCTTTGGCCGCGTTTTCAGCCTCTGGGCTGCAGGATGCTGCAAAGCATATTGCGCTGCGCCGCCGATCAAGAAGAAGGTGATGCAATCCGCCAGCTGTCGACACAGCAGTAGCAGCAGTACAGACAGCAGCAGCAGAACCTACAGCAATCAACGAGATGGAGACCTTAATGATTTGTGCAGGCTCTGGGTTTTTTCCATGTGCTTCTTTGCAGAGATCGCACGCTTGGGGACAGAGGTGCACGCGCACGTCATAGCCCGGGTACAGCATTTCCCTTGCGGCCCATTAACAGGATACTCCTACGATATTTTTGCGATCTGCTTCGAATGCGTCTCGTAGTGCATCGGCGGTGGTTCTGGTGGTAGCACAAGTGTTACTTCCGTGCAGCCGGCTGTCCTGTTGTACTATTTCCTCAGGTTTTGGTGTCGACTGCTGCGCTTGACTTGTCGGACTTCGTAAGCAGCGCAGCACGGTATCTTCGTACGTACACGCCACCAGGGTCTATGGGAAGTGCAGCGCCCACAGACAGTGCAAGCACTACTGCTGCTGGCCAAGGGGGCGATGTGCGCTCGCTCTGCCTCCAGTGGATGGAGTTAATGCTAGTTGAGAAGCCACACTTATTGCTCGTGGGTAGTCCACAGGAAGAGCAGCAGAAGATTGGCCAGACACAACAAAGGCACGAAACGGCTTTAGGTGAAGGCCTTTTGCAGACGCAACAACACGAGGAAGGCTGCAATGAGGAAGATGCAGAGAGTTTTCTGTTGCAGAAGCAGCAGCCTCTAGTAGCCGCAGTGCTGTACACTTCGTTGACTACTGAAGGTACAGCAGGTGTGGCCGCTGCGGCTGCAGCAGAAGAAGGACCAACAACTGCAGTGCAAGTGCAGGAAGCTTCAGGCCGGCAAGAGTCAACAACGACCCCAACGGCAGGTTCCGCTCCCTCCCGAGCAGCAGCGACAGGAGCAAGGGCAGCGGCAACAGTGGCAAATCATCTTTTGCGGATGTCGTTGTCCATCCTCAGTCGTTTTGTCCAACAAAGCGACACAAACCTTAAAATTGTAGCGGAAGAGCTACTGGCCCTTTTCAAATCAAATCGCAGCCTCCTTGTAAACTGCATGTCCCAATCATCAGCTTGTCAGACTGCCTTGCGCTCCACATGTACTGCCTGCCATCCTTTGAACATATCCTGCATTTGGTTTAATGCTGAGGACAGTGGGTTAACGGTTTGCGGCACAGGACAGCCGGGGGCACTTCGTCTTGCGGCAGTTGTGCACCATGAGGAATCCATGCGAGGTGTATATCCATTTGTCGAGACAAATCGAACGACTTTATGAAACAGCGAGACCAGGACAAAATAAGGCAGCAAGAAAGGAAGCATCTGGAGAAGGCTGTGCAGCGCAGAACCATGCGATGAAGGTAACAGGAAGCAGTGAGGAGGCAGATGGTGTGCAGGCTGAATTGTCGGACGACTTTCTTGAGCAGTCAGTACAATTTTCGCAGCAGATAGTCCAAGCCCTCAGCATCGACCTGTTGAGTGCTAAGGTAAGCCTCACAGCGTTGCGGGGCGGCATTCTCCGCGCGTATACTTCTCACAACTTTGCTGATATTGGCGGAGACGAGATATAATCGGAATTTCGCAAACTCAACGTAGGGAATGTTTGTGACTGTCATTACAACCACTAGTCAAAGGAAATGAGTCCACGTGGGTGATGGGTTGGTGAAAAGATGTCAACAGTCTTATACTGTACGCTTCACAGGAAATGGAAGCCGCCCGGCAGGAATTACGGAAAGGTAAGTACACGTGAAACACGAGCCACAGCCGCAACAGCACACGATACAGCGACTGCCCACGTTTATGCAGCTTTAACAGTAGCAACAAAGCCGCAGCATGTTTGAAGTTTCTGGAATGGGAGCATGATTCGACTCCACTTGACAACAATAAATGGAGACCTGATGGCACTTTTTAGGGCTTGCAAGTCGAGCGCCTACGGTTGAACAGTTGTATTCTAGCGCATCTCATGTGCATGAGCCTTATTGGTGCCTCTTGCACAGATGACAATAGGATGTTTGAAGCTCTGTTGCCAACGTGGTGAGCTCCGCAGTAGCTGCAACAGCAGGGACAGCGGCAAAAACTGTGTCAACGCTATGGATAGTAGCAGCAACATGCTGTACTTGGGCTGCGCCATAATCTGGCATAGAAGGTGCAACAGCTGTACCAACAACCATACGCAAGTGTTTGCTAGAGCCTAAATGATACAGCTCTGCCGCGCACAGTAACTCCCTACAGTCCACTCTTTACTCATCAGTATCTGAGAATTTGAAATTAGCTGCGTTTTCAGGGTGCACGGGAAGGTTTGCTGTAGAAATGCTTTGCTTCTAGAATTGCCTAGCTGTGAAACCGCCTCGCCTAAAGCTAAATTTTGCACAGCATGGGAAAATTTATTATTATTCATTGCTGATTTTTCTGGTTCCTTTGCTACTGCTTTTGGGTTTTGCAGGGCGCACAATTCGATTTGGTTGATAGCACTGTCATTATATTCGGGCAAGTTTCAAGTTGCTGAAAGCCTTGTCGTGATGCTGTAAGGCTCTGGGAGCTTTTTGAGATGCACAGTATTGGAGTTATATGCCAGTGTAAATGGTTTGCGAAGGTGCCCATACGAGGCGATGCGTTTTCGTGCCCGCTTCAATGTTTCGTGTATATATCTGTACTTGCATGCGCACGTGCACGTGTACGTGCAGTTAGCTAGTAGGTAAATGCAGGCGTGCTTTCACATAGGCGTGCATGTACACCACTCGCATGCACTTTATATGCGCATCTTCATTTTATATGATGTGCAGGTGTGCCAACTAGTGCGTGCGTGGACTGCGTACTGAACTGCGTATTCATGCGTTCATGCCCGTCGTGCTTTTGCCACTTCTTTTCGTTACATCTCAGCACGAGTGCGCGAAGCGTGTGTTCGCGTATAGCGGAGGCAATGTCCCTTTCCGATCTTTAAGTGACCGCAATAATCTTGTTCGCTTGTCTCCGACTGCAGCAGCAAAGAAGACTCTCTCCCGGATTTAGACATACTGCAGCTTGAACAGTTGGTACTTCTTTTGGAGAGCAAGCCCTTCGCTCTCCTCCGAATGCAACTACTGGAGCAGCCAGCAAATCGGCACCTTGTTACTGCGATTAAAGGTTAGTGCTACCTGCGTTTGCTGCATTTGACACTACGGCGCATGCATCGACAACTTTTTGCGAAAAGTGAACCATTGCAGCAGCAGCAGTCGAAACTGATTTCAGGAGAACCACAGTTTCCTGGTGATTAGCGTTTGTGGCTACAAATACTTCCCTCAGCAGATGTAATCTTTCGACGGCAACACATTTACACATAAGCAATGGCAACACATTTACGCACAAGTATATATGCACGTCGACTTAGTGGTTTTTTCTGCTGCTCGTCAGTGTGTCTTTAGATGCGCTACGTTTGTCTGTCTGCTCGGCCACGACCGTTTATTTCCTGTGGACTGTTCAGGCCTGGGGATGTTGCTCCCTCAAGGTCCGGCATTCTCCTTGCTCCGTCGACGGCTGCAACTTGCCTCTCCTATGATCGGCTGCTGCTGTGTCTCGAGCTGCCGGTGCATTTTTACCCTAATGACGCAATTTTGCTCCGATTTTACCCTTCGGAGCAGTGCCTAGAGCAACAGTACTTACTGTGCTTCCGCTCTTGTTACGGAGGGCCTTTTCATCAATTGTGTATATTTATCCCTCTACGAATAGTTGTTTGTTTGTGTGGCGCTCCATTTGAACAGGCTTTTTTGTAGCCTTTGTAATATATGCTCTGGGGTGTGTGACTCACAGAGAGGCCGAGAATGGTTTAGACAAACAGGCTGAGGCCCTGGTCTCCCGCGCATTATCTCTTGCCAAAGCGGCAAGGGACTATATCCATGGAGAAGTATTCACTATGACTGCGTCGGAAACGGGTATGTCGACGTTGCACATCTGCTCGAGTAGAAGGAGCGGTGAGCACGTCCAGCAGCAGTTCTCGCTGTAATGAAGTAGTTGATATGAAGAGCAGGACGGCGCGGCGTGCTCACGTTTCAGTCGAGCTTTGCAGTAGACCTTGAAATGCAAAAGTGAAGTGCACAGTTGGGTTACACAGGAAGACAAGTTAATCAACGGGTATAGGGTTTGAGTTCACGGGCTCAGGGCTCGACATTTGGCTTCGAGACCTTTCGCGCTTCTTGCAGACCATACGGAGAGTCATGATCCAAAGGAATTAGCCAACTTGACGAAGATGCGGCAACAATCAAGTACAAATCTCCAGAAGGCTACTTCAGCGCAGTCTCTTGAAGCAGCTCTTGATGAGGCCCTCACTGAACATGGCAGCGCCCTCAGAGCATTCCCCTCCATCGACAGTGACACGTGAAAACTACTTACTAAGTTGTGTTATGGTTGTTCGCACGAAATCGGTGAGCCTGCCATGTGGCAATGCCCACTGACAGCAACAAGCTTCGCAAGCATGGTTTTTGAATGGGCTTGTAAAGTTGCACGCCGATGCGGCACCTCCAGCTGGAACTTAGATAATGAAATTCGTCGTTTTTGTTGTGCGTTTTGCTGCCACGAGCAAAGCCTGTCTTGGGTCTTGCGGATGGCCACTCGATCATTTCTTGATGGTTCAATATTGCGTCTGAGAAAAGCTATCCTGCTTGCTACGTTAGCAAAGTAGTTAAGTTTACTGGAGCAACGAAAAAAGTGCTCAGGACGTCAGAGACTCTGCCAGGACAACAATAGCATGAGGATAGGGGTTCCATCACTGCTCCCTCGTCCCGAAAGTAGTGGGACATGCAGGGAAAGCTGCTTTTACCGAATCACTTATCACTTCCCACAAGAGTTGCCTGCTTCTATCTCGATAGCGTGTGCGTAGGCTACAGCCACTGCGAGGCACTGCACTGTGTGCACTGGCTTGCTTTAGTGTACTTTGGGGTCCAGCCAATCAATTACTGTTGAAGTGCATATGCGGAGAGACTTGAACTCTGTTGGTGAAATCTGTAGTCGTGCGCGCACTTGCGAATATGCGCATACGAGGCATCATACAAGGTATCCGTGCTGCGCACACATGTGGAGCGCCCATGTGATTCACCCTTTTCTAACGTGAAAATTAAATGTCTCTTTTTCTATTTCAGACCTACTGGGCATTGTACTAGAGGCCTTAGTGGCCTGGGACGAGTGCGCGCATTAGTACGCGCAGTGTAGCATTTTGCCTCGAGCAGAGGCTTCTCGATGAAGGTCTTCTCCTCCTTCTGGCAAGAAAAATTTCATTGTACAAAAGTAATGGAATAACATTTTAGCGAATAGTGCATCCGGCGAATGTGTTTTGGAATCCTTCACCGTTGCCGGCCCCCAGTTGATCCCTGCTTGTCGCATTGATAGAGGCGTTGAACTTCAGACAAACACTCTCCGTGGCTTAAGACACTATGAAATGTAAACTGAGGACAATATAGAAGAATATGGGACGAAGTGAGCAGGCCACGGCCTGTTGACAAGGCGTACGAATAGGAACAGCACAGGTAATGCTGCAACGAGACAGGCCAACAAGAGGATTGGGGAATTCCCCAGATCTTATATGAGCACCAAAATGAAACAAATATCTGCTCGAAAGCATTACAGAATCTTTACAGTGCCTCGTTCGAGTGCCGTACGGGATCGGTACGGGATCGGATGGAGGTGCAGGGTTGCGAAGCTCACCAAAAAGTGAACCCCGCTTCCGCTTTGGGCTAAACACTCTTTTAAACATTGCATGGCGCTGTTCCATGCATTAGTCCCCCGTATAATTGGCGTGTTCAGGACTGGCCCCATGTTAGAACCCCACCAGTTCAACCAGTCTTGATCTCCCTTGTCCACTGAGCGTACAGCTCGAAACTTGAAAGTTCCGACAAATTCTCCGTCCACGATACCAATCCAAGCCTCATCTTTCTCCTGTAATGGACTCTCGCAGCTTCTAAGCAAATTGCGCTGGCCTGATTTGCTAGAGTGTCTCTCTCGCAATCAACGGCGCACAACTGCGGCAGAGACGGGCAACACAATAGAGGACCAGCTTTACAAATGCATCCATGCCCGAAGACGCGGGCAGGCACATGTGGTGCGGCCTGAAACGTCTGATAAGGCTTTCGATTACAGAAGGACCAAAAGATTGAAGGTGACGTGCATGGCTGCGGAATGGCGGCAGTGAAGAGGGCAGGCCTCGGTAACGCCCTGTAACAGCCATTACAACTCTAAAATTTTTGCCGGACACGCATGTATCCCGGCAATGCAACGGCTCTGCTGTTCTCCCCTTCCTGAGAACACGTGGTGCGCGAACCACCCGGGGAAACATTTTGACGAGCTACCCCAGCTCAGCCTACGCCAACTGCTTGCTCTTCCGCAGCACAATGATCGTAGGTATAAACGTCCCTTTTGTTCATGTAGTTTTCTTCTTCAGTCGAATGAGCTGAAAGGTTTTTCGCTCTTCTCTGCACGCAGAAGCGCAAAAGAACCTCTGCATTGGTCTTCTCTCAGAAAAAGATTCGTGCATACGTAGAGGTCTCACTCACTAGTGTGTGCACAGACAATGCTCCTCACGCAGCTTAGCTGGTTACCCACCCAAGTAGTGGGAGTCTACTTTGGAGCCCCGTTTTTTGGGCGCTGCTCATCGGGCCCGCTGCCGCAACTGGGTCAATTCAGTTGCTCTCAGAAAAAAGTTAAAAGTTTATTAGCCACTATGCCGCCAAAATCATACACGAGTGCGTTCGTTATATATCGAGAAGGGGGACGGACCAATGTTCTGCGCTCAGTAAGCACAGTTTACCTTCAAGAAACTACACCATGCAGCAGACCCACGGTTTCTACGCCGAAGTTGTTGGGCTATGGAAGCGCCAAGACATAATTATGCGGGACGGTCAACAGCACTTCTCCTGCTCATCACACGAGATGCGGCACTTTGTCTAGCACATTTTTCGAAGCGAAAACCGGAAGAGACGATATGGAGAAGCGAAACTATGCAAGTAATTTATTTGGGAGGCAAGTTTATGCAGGCCTGAAGGGCAGCTCTGTCGAGAGAAGACCATGGGAGAGCCATGAAAGCGCGCAGAAGCACAGCCAGTGCAGTCCCACTTTGCTAAATTAGTGGCTAGGAGAAATGTTGGTCATGCATCTATTCGACCCACCGTGTTGAGCAAGGCAGCGAATCATTGCGTTTTCAACTACTTCTGACAACTGAAAGCGTTGGTAAGAGCCAAAAAAGAGAGGGTATTTGGGGTAATGGTTCGCCTGAGGCATGTTCAAATGCTCCTGGGAGCATTTGAATGCTCCACGGAGCATTGGCATCTGACAGGGTGCCGAAGCTTGCCGCAGGTATACAGTTCGAACTTTGCCAGATTGCAGATAAATACGCTAGACGTGCAGCGCACTGCAAGTCAGCTTTGACGTCTGGAATTCACCGTTATACAACTGAAGTACTCTAAAATTGATAAAATTGGTGCGTTGTGTTCAATGGTGCTGGCCTTTCAATGAATTCAAGTTGTAGGCGCTGCAAACTTAGCACAGGCCAAAAACTAGAGGAATAGGGAGCCATGCTCCACACAACGGATCTAAGTTGCTTGCGCCGGACTAAATGAGACTGTGTTTCTGCAGCCGTGAGAACGAAGCGGCAAGCTCATCATTATTGCTTGAGGCCAAGCTTTTGCCAAGGCATTTTCAAAATCTATTCTTCAGGTTACATCAAGTCTTCAGTAACCCTCTCATCACCTAACCGTTGTACGGAGATGTACTCCACAGCAGGCCCTGGAGTAGTGTGTAGGGGCTCTTGTAAAATAAGGACTCTTTTTGGAGAGTTCTTAGGGCCAAAAAGGGGCAGCATGCAGTCTTCTAAGCACTAAATATGCTGAAATCGGGGACGAGATGTCCCAATTGCGGAAACCATTAAACACATACGTCCCTAAACGGCACCGGCCCCAAGTGCCTGAAGCCATGACTGAAGCCACGACTCTATGATTCCCTGAAGTTTTTGCCTGTATATTACACAAAGAAAAAACTAAAAATATGAGGAACGCTAGTAACTAAATGCATTGGGAATCGCCAATCCGCCTTTACCGGTGCTGCAGATTCGCCCTTGGGGCTGACGTCGGAGGCTGCCCCGCCAGCCCTTGCCCCAACCAGAGCAGAAACGCATGTCTACAAGCAGTTGCATACAAGCTTTAGTGGCGAAACTGGTGGGTTTGATTCCGATTGTTCTTGGGTTTCCCCTAGTTTTTTGACGATTTTTCTAAGATGCAGATCTTCGTGAAGACCCTTACAGGAAAAACCATCACTCTCGACGTGGAACCTTCCGACACCATCGAAAATGTGAAGGCCAAAATCCAAGACAAGGAGGGCATCCCGCCTGATCAGCAGCGTCTTATCTTCGCAGGAAAGCAACTTGATGACGGCAGGACTCTTTCGGATTACAACATTCAGAAGGAAAGCACCCTTCACTTGGTAGGCTTCCCCACGGTACACGCACCCGCTTTGATTTCGAAAGTTCTCGGTGGACGTGAGCTGTGATGTAGCCAGTTTTGTGTGGAGTGTCACAATTATACGCTGGGTGAAGCAATGGGTATTTGGTCATGGCGTAGCAACCTATTCCTGACGGGGCCCCTGCGGGGCAGCCACCCAGGAGGCACCGTGGGTTCACGCTAGTTGGCGCCGTCAAACTTGTTAAATTATTTGATGCTTGCCATCGTGAGCCACCATGAAAGATGCAGCCGCTCTAAAACATGCAGCGTAGTCACTTTAGCGGGGTCGCAAGAGTCCTGTGGGATGGCGAGCTGTGGGCTGAACACCGCCGGGCGAAGGTGGCGTGTGCATTGTGGGTCCGCACTTTGCTTAAGCATTTCACTGTAATGTGCAATGGCCTTTCGTAAGTGATTCTACATGCAAGAGGCTGCACGGTCGGAAGTTTTGTGTGCGCTCTGCTGTTTTTTACGTGCCGGCTGGATGCCTGACGTGTGTCATGATCGAATCTTCGTCCGGAAGGGTCTGGACTTTGCTAGTGCGTTTCGTCTGTGTTTCTCCAGGTGCTTCGTCTTCGTGGAGGCATTATCGAGCCCTCCTTGGCGTTGCTGGCGTCGAAGTACAACTGTGAGAAGAAGATCTGCCGCAAGTGTTACGCGCGTCTCCCTCCTCGTGCCACCAACTGTCGAAAGAAGAAGTGCGGGCATACTAGCCAGCTCAGGCCCAAGAAGAAGCCAAAGAGCTAAATAGACGGCACCGGTTGGTCGGGGTGCCTTCTGTCCGTCAGGCGAAGAAGACAAAGCAACACTGTACCGTGTTATCACTAAGCGTTGTAGACACAGTAGCGCAGCAGAACCCCCTTCTGGAGCTGTTGTGTTTGAGGGCGGTAGCAGCAGTCATTGCTACTCGTACGTGGCAGCTGCTGGGCTGCCTGTCGAGCACAAACTTCGAAACAGTTACTTTGCGGAACATCAGTTCCTCCTTTCCACGGTGTGGCGAGATGGGAAGCACCGCAGCGTGGCCGTTCGTAGTGTAGTTCGGCACATGCAAGCGAAGCCGAGCACCTGTGTGCCATGCGGCACGGGCCGGCCCCTAGCAGCTGACCGAATATTAGAGTGTGTACGCTTGTTCACCCTGGCAGGGTGTGGCCGCTGTTGATGCCGCCACAAGAGATGCAACTGGACCCCGGTAAAGACTCAAAGTGGGCAATGGGTAGTAGGAAAATAGACTGTAGGGAAGTTAATCGCTTTGCTACTACGCCCGGCAACACTGCTTGGTGTCGTTGCAGAGGCGCAGAACGGCAAGAGTTCTATACCATAAAATGGAAGAGAACGGACATGCCGGCGGAGAGCAAAGCGAAAGAAAGCCGGCAGCTCCAGTATACATTGCCTCGCCTCTTTTCAGCTGATCTGTTTTCACAGCTGCCCGCAAGCTCCTGTGGCCGAATGTTATGAACACACCAGCCATCTTGTATGCGCAGCGAGTTCCACGACGCTGTGCGATTAGCTCCTCCAGTGCATGTTCTTCGGACGGCAGGAACCAGCCGCTAAGCAGCCTTGTCGCAACGAAGCTTGCGTGGAACAAGTACGGACTACATGCAGGAGGGGAACAGTTGAGGTGGTCCTGCGAAGGGCTCGACGGTTCACAACGACGGCAACCTTTACTTGTTACTTCGGCGGCGCCTTTAGCTCTAAATCCTTCGCAGACATACCAGTATTGACTTTGCCTACGGGGCTATGCGTCATACGCCCACGGGTACCTGAAGGATAGAAACCACCGCCTGCATGAGAAGAAACTGACAAGATATCCCGGGAGCACTGCTAGAAAAAGTGCAGCTTAGAACTCATGAAGAGCTAGCAATTTCGGGCAACCGAGAGCCACACATGTGAATTTTATCTGATACATTCATACTTGCCTCTCTAGAAACCATGCAGTTGCCTCTCTGATGGCGTAGTTTGGGACCAATCGTTTCGCATCGCATGGTTCCCTAACCAGTGCACACACATAGGATGTCCAGAAGCGTAAGCTGCTCTGGATTTTATAAATTCGGTGAGCTATGTAAGATGACGGGAGGAGATTCAGACAAACGAAAAAAAGTACCTGGTTAGCGGCTCTGTGGGCCCATTTCGGTGTAAATGCTCCAGCAGAAGTTTATGTTCGTAAGTGATGCCGCTGGGCGTGATGACCGGTTCGTCCATTAGGCCCTACAAGTTCACCAGCAGACACCAAGATGATCAGCAAGCGGGATTACTTGCTTGGCCGAGTGACATTCTGGAACTGCATGCAACTTATGCACACAATAAATTTGGCAGAGATTACTGGGGTCACCATTGAGATCCTGCACGTGAGAAAGTCGGGAATTTCAAAAGGCGTATCTGCCTCTGCTGCCTCGGCTACAAGATGCTCTAGCTGCGCCAGTCTTGAGTCAACTTCTCCTCTGGACAACTGCCGATGTTCTGCCGCTAGCTCGATGCACTCCTGCGGACAGTGGGAACCGGAGCATCTCTATATGTAGTCGAAAGTGCTGTTCTGTATGCGCCAGCACCCTATTGTTGGGTCCAAGACCAAATATGAGACGTAGGTACACGCGTACCTTCAGAAATGCTTCAAGATCCTTACGGTCTGCCCTTCGTTGCCTACAGTGGCGCGCGTGTCGAAGCTTTTTGGCTGAGAAGGCAAGAGAGAGACAGAAAAAGAAAACATGGGTGCATCCGCAATACAACCGAACTTGTTCCAACAGTTTTCTTGCATCAGTGTACCATTAGACTTTCATAAGTTGCTACACCCTTCTCAACCATGAGATGCGCAAAGTGCTACAGCCTTTCTTGCCGTTTAATAAAGAGTGGCGGATCTCCTGGGCTGCTCGGCCAGACCCTGACGACGACGCTGTCTGTGCCTTCTCCAGCAAGTTGACTCCGGCATCATAGTCCCCTACACCAGTAAAGAAAAACCCGGCTCTAGCATCCCAGAATGACTCATTGTGAGCACCAGAATCTGCCTTTCTTTTGCTAAAGGCATGCGACTGCGGCCTACCGCTCCAAGTCACCCTCAAGCAGAAAAAGTGGGAGGAAAAGCCATACCAAGCTGCACGAGCGCGTCGCCTTTAATATACAGCCCCTTCACATTAGCCTCCTCAAGTGCAAGAGCTGCCTCTGCATCTTGCAACGCTTCCGGATAGCGTTTTTCGCGCTTATGGCAGAGGGCTCTGTTTGTAAAATATGAGGCCACAGTGCCATCCGCCTCAATAGCTTTTGAATAGTACTCTGCTGCCAAACCATACATTCCCCGCCTAAAGCTTTCGTTACCAAGATCCTTCAGCCGGTCTGCCGCCTCTCGATTACGAATCTGGGATTTTTCAGCTGGAGTTGCAAGTTTTACAGGAACGTTGGGATCTTTTGGTGCGCTTCCGCTACTGCTGCTACTGCTGGTATTCTTGTCCGTTCGGGCTGGCTGACTGCCTCCAGGTTGCCCCCTCTGGGCTGGCACCTCACTAGCCGTTTCACGTTGAGGCCCTTGGGATGATGCCGGGGCTCCAGACACGGTAGGAGTTGACGCCGCTCGCTGTGAAGAACGGCCTGGCCTCCACAGATTTCCGCCAGCACGGCTAGGGACTCCATCGGCTGTACTTGTGCGACTAGGTAGTCTGCTAGATCCAGAGCTGCTGCTATCGCTGCTGCTACTGCTGGCCCTGCTGGTTCTGCTGCCCCCTCCTGCCGCCTCAAGGACGGAATTCAATGCTGCTTGAAAGAAGGACTCCATGGGAGTCTTCGGACCGGAAAGGTCTCAGAAGCAGCTTAAGTCACTGACGCTAATTCAGCCTATGCGCGCTTCGCCTCAATCACCCATGAAGGTGCTGCTTTCCGCTTGATCCCCTACAAGATCGATAACTTGGACACGTGGGCTCGAATTTGCGGCAGCAAGGAGGTGCCTTAAGAAGAGAACATGTTACACGTACAGACGGAATTGAAGATACCTGATACTTAGACGAAGATCCACACCGGCTCCTGTAAAGTGGTTAACGAGAACCAGAAAAGTTGAAAATAGTCCACCCTGAAGGGCCAGTAATGTAGTCGCTGCTGCTATCGCCCTAACAAGGCTACTCTTGCATACCCCGCCGAGAAATGTTGCAGACTCGATGGAAGTGCTACAAAGGCTTCGATACCTGCAACCATGATGCAGTGAGATTAAGCCTCAGACTTCTCATCGCCGAGCATGCAAGAGCCCCAGCTGCATCAGTTTCTGCAGAGTTCCTCAGCGACAACTTAGGCCACGACGGTCTCTATAGTAGCGATTATAGCTGCATTTTCTCAGCGATAGTCTGCTTCTACCTTTTCATGCTGCTGCACCCATGACCTTCGCACGTTCACTGAAGAAGCATTCCCGTGCACCTGAGCGCCAAGTCGACGCTATTGCCTTTTGCCGTTGCGTCATTGTAATCATTTGGTAAATATGAGGTTCTATTGAGCTTATGTCACTGTGACGCGAATTTGAACGCTGCTTCAGAAGGCGATAAGTGCCAAGTAGTCGAAGCCGCTGCCGGAAGACTGTGTGTAACGGTGCGAGTGAACAGACCAACGAATGCTGTCATATGCCTGCAGCTTGAGGGCAAGTTATTTTAGTTTACTTCAGGCTGCACACGGGTGAAGCATTAATGCTTCCTACGTAGACTTATGTCTTGGCTCACGGGATGTGCACGCCATCCCGTATCTTGTTCTACGCATGCATGGATTGTGTGACGACGCCCCTCGTGCTAAGGCAAATTAAAGACGCACAACGTGCGATCGCTTTTGCTTTGGAAAGCAAGTAAAGTCTGTGACGTAGATCATAGATTCTTTGCCGCACGGGCTGCCTTGAACGCAGTGGACCAGCGGCCGCAGTTTTCTGCGAAAACAGTGTAGCAGCACCAAATCAGTAAAAGCAGGACAACCGCAAAGATAGTCCACCACATCACGAGTGCACCAGCAGAAATAGTGAAATGCATTTTTGCAACCCCTCGTGTCTTGCGGACGGTGCAAGGCGGACTCTGCAGAACCTCGCTGTTCCCCCACTTGACTGTCATAACGCCGGCTCCAAACGCCGTTTCGTAGTCCGAGTCACATGTGCAAGTAACAGTCCCACTGCCCTTTCCTGGTGAAAATGTGCAGGTGCCTTCACCACAAGGGTTAGCTGCTGGGTTGGTGCATGGATTGTTGTGGGTTTCGCAATTATTGCCAGTAAAAAAGTCTCCACAGTCGCATTTATAGTAAGGCTCAGTATTTGTATCTTGGCAGGTCCCCAGGGAGCACAGGGCACTGCTGCAGTCAATGCCTGTACTTGGCTTGATCCCGCACCCGTCTGTGCACATCGATATGACATCTGTACACAAAGGACCTGAATACGGCATGTCGCACACGCAGATTTGCAAACCTCCATTCTCGTAACAAGTGCCATTGACGCACAAATTAACTGTGCAAAGCGCGGCACCTGCGAACAAGACCCCAGACACTAATGCTGATGATTCCTTTTCCGGCAGCGATGGAGTTCTGTCCTTTGGTCCTTCTTGACAGGTAAGCTGCTGAGGTGACGGGATGAGAATAATGCAAAAAACGATTAAAATGTACAAAACAAAGGGGACGCGACGACAGCATCGAGCAGTGAAGCTTCGATGGCATGCAGCGAAAGGGAATCTCTCGCCGAGAAGGGATATTGATGAACACTGGCTCTTCCCACTTGATATTCCATTGTTGTTTGGTTGCGCTCGCGCGAAAATCAGTGCTTCGAACATCTCCAGAGACCCTCAATAGGCTGCTTGGGATGAATTAAGACTTCTGCATTGGAATTATATGGTGTGGCGCTGGGAGCCGCTTTTGTTGATATGCAGCTGGCGTGAACTTCGGGTACGGCCTTATATCATCCCTTCTCAACCGGATGTCTGCAGCTGTGGTGCGCACTGCTTTCTGGTTTCAAATCTCAAGACGATGCCTCCTCACGAGCCTCAGGGAGTCAAATCCCACTGAAGATCAAAATGGTAACAGCAAGCGATCATTCAGCGGTTCAAAGGGAGGCCTTTCGTGCAAGAAGTTGAGAGCATTCTAGATTGTAAGCCGTTGAAGCCCAGGAATCCCATTCTCCTAATACCCCTGAAATGGAGACAAGTTTCTGGCCCAATACAATGCCTGCAGGAAATTGAGCTCAAAGGGAAGCCGTGGTACGACTTCTCCTATCGTCCTCCAGCAGCACTGCCACACAGAGCATCCACAAGGTCAACTAGGCACTCCAATGTCTAGGCTCCTCCGTAGGTTTGATGGCAGCAGCAACTAGGCGCTTGTAAGAAATAAAATACAAGAGCCGAAACCCCGTAGGTTTACAGTTGTGTGGACGAAAAAACGGCGGTTACGGTTGCTGCTCTGCAGGTAATCATGTCTTTGATGATAAGACCGGAAGTGCAGGGAGAAGCAGCTACACAAATTCCGGCTTTTAGCTTCATTGTAAAAAGTAATTTAAGTCTTAAATAAAAATATACAACTGAAAGTACGAAAACGGATGCGCCGTCCCTTTTTGAGGCTACTAAGGGGAGCTCCTAGCGGCTGCCAACTTGAAGTGCCTCAGCGGGCCACTAACCATCGTCTAAAGCAGTCATGCAGAATCACCAAATCAGTGCCATGCATTCTGTTCCTGCACTATTTTCATTACATTCGTTGTTACTTCATCACAGGTATCTGTTAACGCTGGTATTGTCGGACGTTGTTGCATGGGGAACTGGACCACTGCGAGTTTCTCACGCTGCAAGATCACAGCTAGCGAGCCCCTTCTGGAAATCAGCGTTGAATTATTTATGTGGAAAATTGACGTCAAGAGCAAAGTAGAGTTAATCAGGGTGGAAAGAGGTGACTACGCTGGGAGGAAGCCCTGCACCGCCTAGCCTTACCGATGGAAAAATTGCCAGAGCAGAGGCAAAAGCAAGCGAATTCGACCAGCTGAATGATCTCAGCAGTATTTGAGTCCAACCAAGCAGATGAACTGACGAGACACAGCATGCCTAAACTCTCCTTTTGACGAGCTTGCGTACAACAGTCGCAAAATATTGACCAGCTGCACAGAGTGCTTGAGGAAACTGCAGCGATATCGACGAAAATGGCGTGGATTCTTCGTGCTGAATTCGAGTATTTACTGTGCCTTGCATCCGAGAGACTGGATGTGGCGAAGTCGCGAGCGTTGCTTCATGCATCACTTGATGCCCGGCTACTTTTAACCGACGATTTGCTATACAGCATGTACATCGATGCGGGAAAGGCCGCATTAAAACATTACCTAGGGGAAGGCAAGGACAGGCAGGGGCTAGGATGGCAAAGCCGCACATTCCAAGCGGCTGTAATGGCTTGTATATGCGACGATGTTAATTTAGCTCATGTTTTCACCGTCTTACGAGTGGAAGAGCTCTTAGAGAATCTTGGGGATGAACTCTCTCCATCACAGTGCGCCAGAGTAATGCTAGCAATAATCGGTGAGCCGTGTACTTTGTCGTGCCTAGGTTGCTGCCCAACCTCAAGAGTTTGGTACACCACCACTGATATTGCCCGTAACCACCTACACTCTCGTCTCTTAAGCACTTCCTTTCGCTGCTCCAGGCGCATTTCACCTACAGAACCACACCAGTACTTTAGTTGGCCTGGGAGAGTGAAAGTTCCCCAAAATGTTACTGTAACTACGTGACTTTCAAATATCCTGCGCTTTCCAGGGGAGCTTCACCTTGTGCGACGTGACATGCAAGAGGCGGAGAGCTCTGACTCCCCAGAATTTGTCGAATTTAGGGAGAAAAGCAGCAGATTTCTGCAAAAGGCTTCACTCTTACTGATGTCCCTTATTGCAGAAAGCGGGCGGGATCGTTTTTGTTATGTGAAAGAGGCCCTTATTCACCCGGATGCCACTTGCTCGCGCCCGGCTCCCCTCACAAGCACAAACCTAAGCAGACGTAAGCACGTTTACAGTAAACAGTTTATTGACTCCAGGTTGCACTGTTTATCGACGGCGACATCTAGCAATAACTCTTTTATGGCTCTAAAGGCAACGGCGGAAAATGTGATAACGTCGTGATGCATACACCTATCATGCTGTTGCATCGTCTTCCCAGAAGCGGTCGACTTGACAACTCATTCTCCTGTGGCGTTTTCAAGTTCTATTGTACGCAGCTATTTCTGCAGAGGATGCAGCGCTGGCGAAGGCATGGAGGGGACGCGAGCCGTTCCAACTAGCGCAAGTGCTGAGGGCAGATTTGGACGGGAGTGATTTGTACACTTCGTCAATGTATTCCCTCTACAAAAGAGGAGACCCAGTGTTTGAGACGCTCTTGCATAGCGGCAGCCTCCTATCGCTGTGGCATCGCTTGCATTCTATCTGTAGACACAGTGTTACACTGGGCCAAGAGACGATCAAATGGAGCGTTGTACGACAAGCTCCCAGACTGAACAGGTAGGAACTTGGAGCAAATCCGCACAGTACATGGGCTTTGAAGGGCTTTGAGCGTTCAGAGCATGAGAGCATTTCGGGTTGATTCACTGGGATCCCAGTGAATCCCAGCGGGCTCCAGTATTGAGGAAGTCTGTACGCCGAATGGAGGATAGTCATAGCGTGTGCAGTAACGTAGAGCAAAGTTGCTGAGCTTCATGGTAGGTCTTGCATACACGAGCGCCTCGAATTGGAATGTTTTGGCTTGTGTGATCTTGTGGAGTTTGTAGACTAAGGCAGCTGATTTTGACACGGCTTATCCAGTCTTTGTACCAGCCGCAATATACGCTACCTCTTGGTGGCCCTATGAGCGTGGACGAGAAGAGAAGCAATGATTCTGATAGGGCCTTAGCAGGGCTACTTGCTGAAAGCCTTGTGCTGTCAGGTGAGTCATAAGTGGCTGTCTTTCTTCAACTGCGTGACACTTTTCGAAGCCATTTCAGCATGAAGCTTGCCAGCTGATGCCGTTTACTGCATGTCATGGCTGGGACAAAACTGTAGCAAGTAGCCCGGGAAGAACGGCTGGGGAACTTCTGTAGATTGCGACGGACAGCCGCGTAGACAGCATTTTGTGAACAGCGCATCGGGGATGTACTGTTGAGTTTTGTGGGGAGTGGAAGACTAAAACTTTGTACTAAGGAGCTACGTCATTCAGAGTATACCGAGCGGATGTTTTTCTGGTAAAAAAGCTGCGTAAACGCCGTTATTTTTATGCGTAGTGACCTTAAAGTGCGTGCTGGGGTGTATGCCTGAAGGTGTGAAAGTCTGGTGCTTTGAGAGCTTGGCCCAGAAACAACAGATCCTGCAAATGGCAGGCGAAGGCCGAGCAACTCTAGCATCCAAGCTGGACAGTATTTTGTGCATTCAAATAGACCGTGGGTAGGTGGAGCGGCAATCTATTGACTACGGGCCCTTCAAGCTGCTTTCAGAGCAGAGAGCCCGCTTAGCTTCCGAGAGCACAAACTCTTAATAACGCATGCAAGTCCATAGCGTACTTCAGAGTACAAATGTGCTCACGTTTCATCGAATACTTTGTTTTTCAGATTTGTTGAGATGCCTTTGGGGCAAGAGTTGCCTGACCTGGACGGTCTTGCAAGCCTATTTGCTGAAGCTCCGGGAACTAGACCAATGGAGCCTTACGAAGGGATGCACTACACCGACATGAACCTTTACACGCTAGTGCCGGACACATATACCTCAGGTACGCGCCACTTCGTATCTCCTCCATACATGCTCAAGATTTGGAATAGTGCCAAATTCGGAGGTGCAGCGCAACCTGATTTTTAGTGCGTTTTTCGCCAGGTTCCACGGGTTTTCCCCGGTTGTTATTTTCTGTCTCATGCCTCTCTATGGTCACTTTTAGCCTCTACGCGCGTGAGCAAATTGATATGCCCCGCACCCTTTTTACAACAGCATTTCAACCTGCGGTGCACTGCGTAGGTATCCGTTCCTCCAACTGGCCATCTACTTCGTATCGTATTGGCTCCCGTTTGCACCGAGCTACGCCTAACATGGGGATACTGGACGAGTCACGTTTCTTTACCAACCCGATGGTCACTGCCCTGCTCAACAAAAATGCCCTTGTAGAAACAATTAATAGTTTCATGTCGACTGAAGCGGTAGAAACTGTCTAAGTGGCTCCCGTACATGTCTCACGAGGCAAAGCAGAGTTAACGGAAGGACACTGCTTCGCTGTATGGACGTGTGAGCGTGCAGTTTGCACATACAATACAAATCTTGGCAATAAAGTCTTCATTGTAGCTTCTGCCCTTGCACCGGTGGTGCGTGTATCCACGGCCCACAAGACGCTGGGAAAACATAATCATCACGTCATTTGGTCTAGTGGAATATTGCTGTAGTTCCCGCCACGCATGATGGGGCACTTCAACGTGACTGCGCAAAAGCCGCTAGCAAGGCGAAAAGCCCCTGCGCAACTGCGCTGCCAGCGAATCTATGGAGTCTGCTATAGTTAATTGACTTGTAGCATTGCTGCGCTTCACCGTGTGTACACTTTGGATAACAGAGAACGGTAATTGCGTTTTTGGAGCATTAGCAGAAGGCTGAGCCAAGAGAATGACGCGACGAATTCCCGTTGATGATTCTCACTTCATACTTGCGTAACGTATCACTTACAAACCCAATTTAGAGGTATTTTCACGCATTATACCTGTTCTACGCTAGGTAAGACCCTCACTTTGGCTAAGGGCTCTCGCCGAAAGAGCCGCTGTGGTCTCTGCTGGGTCTAAAAGCTCTACGGACTACTCAGTTGCTGCTTCCACTTCTACCTTCCAAATGTGTTCTTGCTACAAAAACTCCCGCAAATAGGGGCGGAGCGTTACCACACACATTTGGCAGTAAACGAGTCCTCGCTAACTATTCTGCTGTTCTCTCGCATTCTAAAGGAAACGTTGGCTTAGTTTCGGAAGCTCAGCAGCGAAGATGTACAGAAGATGCTGATGCTGCAGTTCCTTGGTAGTCAAGAATATCACAGTGGGGAGTCTTGAGCACAGTGAAGGCAAGGCACCTAGTACCGCTAAGCAGCAAGCGGCATCCTTCCCTTCGTCAACTCCTGCTCCAGAGTTGGCTGCTCTTGCAGATGCTCAGAGCGGCAGTGATCTTCATCGCTTTCCTGTCCTTCATCTTCACTTCTTATAGTCGCTAGTCTTTGAGGCAGCTTCGCAGTAGACTCTTCCGAGTGAGCTTTGCCACGAGTGCGCGCCTCCAGTGCAACAGGATTGAGCGCTGCCTGCTGCTTCTGGCCCTCGGCATTCACAGCTTTGAGCTTCTGCGACTGATTGCTGCAACTCCTCGGTGCTAGGGGTACAGCAGCGATCGTGGAGAGCTGCAGCCGCAGAGCAGACATCGCAAAAAGAAGCCTCACAGGAACCTCTCAGTGAAAGTTTACTGCAAGAAGTCGTGCCACCGGTGCTGCTGCTGCTGCTCCCGTATTGCTGCAGAAGTGGGGTGACTTGCACTGTGCTGAACGCAGGGGGTGTCTTCACCGTCGGGGCGATGCAAAGGGCTTTTTCCAAGTCTGTAGCTTGCAGGCGCTGTTCCAGTCACTCCACTGGGGAGCTGTAGTTTAGGAAAGAGCTGCTGCTGCTCAATTTGCTGTTGGTGTTGCTGTTGCTGCTGTGTGTCCACGGAAGATAGACTGTCTCCACCCAGTTGCTTACCAATGCCTTCCGTCTGCTCCCGGGAGAGTCGCGCCAAGAGGCCCTCTATCTGTCGGTGCTGTTCGAGATGATGCTGTTGCCGCTGCCGCGTTTGCTCCAGTGGCTCGTCTTCTTGCTGCTGCTGCTGCGGCTGCAGTGTCAGAGCCGTCATGCGGTTCTGCAGTTCTCTTAGGCTATAGCTGCCGAAAGGTGAAACGGCAGGCGCCACGTCTGCGCTGCACCTTTCAGCCTGAAGCGCCCAATTTGCTTCTTTCCTTTCATGTTCACCCTGTTGTTGCTGATGCTGCTGTCGAAGCAGCTCGACTGCTTGCAAAAGCTCGTGACCTTGACGGGTTAAAGACTGCTGTGGCAGCTTCTGCAGAACCTGGGGCTGCTGCTGCTGTTGCTGTGTTAGTGGCTTCTGCTGTCTCTGCAGGCTTTCAGGAGTGGGCACTTTCAGGCCTTGCTCTGCTTTGCGTACTGCAGCTGCAGCAGCAAGAGATGCAAACGAATAGCAGTCGTCTCCAGTGGCAGTGCTGGCTGTGCTTCGGGACACAGCTTGCCCCCAAGAGCTCAACTCCCTGTAGGTGTATCCTGGAGCTGCTGCTGTTGTCGCAGTTCCTTGCGCCTCATCAGCACTACCTGCAGCTGGACGCTGCCATCCGTGCTGCAAGGCCGTGTCTGGGAAGGTTTGCTGATACCCTGAAGGCAATGCCTGCTGCTGCAAGAGCAGCCTTTGCTGCATTGACTGCTGCCGTGATACAATATCTTCTAGTTCAGACTGCTGCTGCTGCTGCTGCTGTTGCTGTTGCTCTGTGCCTTCTGCAGCGTTAGCTGGGAGCTGCATCATTGGAGGCAATTCATTCCAGTTGTCAGAGGATTGTAAGTTCTCCAATAGTTGCTCCTCAGAGTCCTGCTGCACTTGCTGCTGTGTTGTTGCTAGGGCTCGAAGAGAGAATGCTGGCACCTTTGACGCTGGTGAACGGAAATGAAGGGCGCCCGGGGAACGTGCAGCCTGTAGCAGCAAATCACACACGACAAGCAAACAACTGTGTTTACTTCAGAACAGCAATGGCTCATAGGTCCTCTTCCAGCGCGAACTGAGTCTGCTATGTTCAGCAGAGAATACAAGATTCAGGAGACATACAGATCCGGCCTCTTGCTGTAGAGTTGGCTCCTCCTGCTTTTTCTGCTGCGGCTGCAGGGTTCCTGGGGCCATTTTAGAGTGGTATGATGGCAGGACATCAGGCTGCTCTTGCTGCTGCCCGTGCTGGATGTCCAGCTCAGAAGCAATGCAGCGGCGCTGCGGATCTTGTAACTGACGCTTTAGATGTTGTTGCGGTTGCTCTTGATATTGCTGTTGCTGCTGTTGACGGCGGGCCACTTGAGCTTTTTGTCGGTCTTGTGCGGCTAAAGCAGCCTTTCCCGCGGCTTCAGCCTCCAGCAGCATTAGCAGTTGCTGGTGTTGCTGCAGCATCTGTTGTTGTTGGTGCTGCTGCTGCCTTGCGCTGCTAAAGCTACTCAGCTTCCCTTGCGCCTGCTGCATTGCTAGCTGCTGCAGCAGCAACAAATCTTGGGGCAGGCTATTGTCAGGAAGGAAAGACTGAGTTTGATGCTGCTGCGTCTGTGGCTGCTCGCGGTGGGCCATCATCACTTGCTGCTGCTGTTGTTGCTGCTCGTGAAATGGTTGAGCAAAGACATATCCCACCTCCAATTCTCCGAGAGCATGTGCGTATTTGCAGCTGGAGCCGTGGAGGCATTTGCCTTGAACAGAAACAATAGGAAAGAGAGTGAGATCCATTTCTTTCACCAGAGATAGCGGAATTGCACGGTATATATCCAAGCGGATAGGCTAGCACTAGGCCCCAGAATTTCTCGGCTTCTTTACACTTCGGAGAAACTACTGCACTGGCGCGAAAAGCAACATACATGTTAAATTGTGATTGTTCAGAGCGGGCTATTATGGAAGTGCAAATGATAGGCATTACTACATTTGTGCAACTCTGCTTATTTAGCCCTGCTCAAGGTCAGGGAATCACCAAGTACAAAAAAGTGAGATTTAATTCAGAAGTTTTCTCATTGGACCGACCTTCCCTGTACAGTCTGCAAAGACCTTTCTTTCCTGGGAAGTCCCTCAGCTCCTGCAGGCCATGAGCATAGGAGCAGTTGTTGTTGCTACACTGACCCCCTAGAAATGCGTTGCACAACTTAGTCTTTCTCAGGTCAGGCAATTGCCGAAGCTCCTCCGCAGAATGCGCAAACGAACAGTTGTTGCCGCGTGTGCATTTTCCCCGAGCGTGAAACACGCACCAAGCTGCCTTGTATACCCTACAAAGCAACCAGTGACATCACACAAAGGACGAAACCATAAAGTGCCTTTCTCCTTGGTCCAGATGTGGGGATTACTGCTCTTTCCGCCTTCACTGCTGCCGCTTTAGCTGTTGTTTACTTCAGGAGGTGCGACTGGGTAGTTGAAGCGGCTACTCAAGAGCCACTTCTATCGTAAAAACGCTTTGCTTTTAAAATGTTTTGAGATGCTGACAGGAAAGGGCAGAGCAAAGCGTACTGCATCTTGAAGTTGCTTGCAACGAACAAATGCGCCCAAACCGGGCTGCCTGGACGAAAAATAATGACGCTGCGCCCCAAGAAGCCGACTGTGCTGAGCGGGCCCTTTCGTTTTCATAAAGAAAGCAATGTAGGCTGACCACAAATATCCGCGTGGTGGATTCTGCGCCCGTTTGAAGATACATAAAACTGCTGGTGTCTGCCGTAGACTCAACAGCGCATTTGTCCCGAAACACGAAGCCGCCTTTTGAAGAAATAAAAAAGCACCAAGATCCCCTGGCTGATGGGGGTATTCTGCACGAATATTTCAATTCACTTCCCACAGAAATTTCTCAGCCACTCCTGAAACCCCTTAAAATACAAAACGGAGACACTGCCGTTAACTGCCCAGTATATCGTTCTATGAAGAAAGAATTAGACAGTTAACACAAAAATAAAACAACCGGTAGAATAAAACGAGAAATGCTTGCAACAAAATTTCAGTATGTTGCGTGAAATCCGGTCTTGAACTAGCACCTGTCAGTCGGGCCTAGACTAGCGCGCAAAGCGCAGAAAGGCGAAACTGCGTAGCGATTTGCAAGAGGAGTGAAGGCGAAAAGCAGGTGAGATGCTGAGATTAAACCACGAGGTTGAAGGGAAACGGCCAAAAACCTGGGATGATAGAACCTGAACTGACCGGCCCCGAGCAGCGACTCGTCAGCCTGTGCAGCAATGGCGCAGCAGAACCCTAAGTTAGAAAAAATGGTGAAACTTTCTGTGTTTAGATTTCAAAAACCCCCAATATAATAAAAGCAACAAATGAAAACAAAGCATACAACGACGGCTGAACAATGCAAGTCAGATGGTCCCAGCTCCTGTCAGCGTGCAGCGCTACTGCTGCGGCGCGATGTCACCGTGGGGCACGCGGGGGCTGACGTTTCCTTGTCTAAGATGGAAAATTCAGTAACTTTACGAAGAAGTAAGTGAAACACCTCAGAAGGTACAAAGCTTTTGCATACAGGTGGCGCAAACTCTCCCTCAGTTGACGTTCGAATTAGTATAACAACGAGCTATTGGTTCGGTAACCGCTCCGTACCATGTAGATGCAACGGAGGGAACACAGAATCTCCAACACAAAAAAACGAGGGGGGGATATTAAAAACAATTTTAACATTCTGTTATACATTTCTTCGGGCGTGTCCGCACATCGAACAGAGTTACGGAAATCCTGTTCTGAACAAGTTGGTAATTCGCATTCTCATGTGGCGCCTCAATGTCAACACTTGCTTGACTTGTTTGTTGGAAGAACACATCTTATTTTTCTCACAAACACCTTCCTACGATTCGTATCCCGCAATCTCCTACATGCAGCTGAATTTGCGCGGAATCACTTTCTGTGTCTTACTTGCCGATCCTCTACTCTGCAAAAAGCTTCCCACAGAGGTCCCTGCTACGTCATAAAGGTCCTTAGAGGTCACACTTTTCGAACAAAATAGCCAAAGACGTCTTTCATCCTTGAAATATCAGACACAATCAGAAATGATGGTTCTCTCGGCATGAAGCGCAGCATTTTAAAAGGGGTCTGCAACAAAAGTAGTCACTTGAAGAACTGACTACAAATCAACGCTGAGATTTTGTCCCCCTTTCAAGGTGCAGGCTGCTTCTAGTCCCATCGTAATAATAAGAATATGCGGGGAAAATTATTCAGGTAAGTGGAAGAAGCACCGCATTAACAGCCCCCTTTTTAAGTTCGCTGAAAATCTGGACTGAATTTTCCCAGTACAAATCTGTCAAAAGCATTCACATGCCTGCAATTTGAGTGCTACGCTGAAGTACACACCTTTTTGCAATATCTTACTTGATTCTGCCGAAGTTACCTGCACGGCAAACACTGAGCTGTGAACCAGTTTGATGCAGGAACAAAAGTTACGCTGGAGCAGTCACCAAGCAGGTACGAGGGAATCGTCTCACTTCTGATGACGCCAGAGTAAAGCAGTTACAACAAATTCCTCCCAGCAAGTAACAGGTTTACCTGTTACCACGACTAACAGGTTTACCTGTTACCTCGACCATTTGTACTGGTTTCGTGCTCCTGTGCAGTACGCTTCTGTGTGCATGCAGTGAATGCATATTATCAAAGGAAGCTGCTACAGAAGGCAATACACAGCAGCATCTCCCCGGGAGCTTTATGTAGAGAAACAGAAGTGTTTCAGCGAGCTACGGAAATGGAGGCTGACAGCTGAAGAATTTCGACTAGCTTGCCAATTTGAGCTCTTGAAGTTGGCTAGACTTGAAGGCTACGGCCAACCACTGAACCGCCGGCGCGGCGTTTTGGCTGGATGAAAGAAGTGACACTCCAGTATTTCCCATTTCGAAATTAAGTCGCCCTGAGAAGAGAAAGCTTCCACTAGAGCCTAAAGTTTGTTATTAGGGTTTGCGCAGCATCCTTGGCAGAATAGTATGCTGCGGCTGCAATAGACTTTGGGTCGGTGGAAGTCCACTGCAAGCGCAACACAGTTCAGTTGAATCTAAACGTTTGAGCTTACTGCAGCCGTTACAAGCAAGGAATGCCCAACAAGGTATCATTCATGCTGCATGAAAAGTGTTGCTTCATATCGTTCGCGTAATAGAAGGAATACCTTGCTGAGAGAGATGAACGGCTTTTTTCATCCTCTGTGTGGCCTGCAGCGCGTTTCCATATCGCGTAGTGGGTCTTCACGCCCTCTATTAGCCGATAAATTAGTGTGTCCGGTTCAACACCTCTCACCACCTTACCAAACGCGCAGGATAGATTCTGTTCGCGGGGGTTGAATAGCCAAGTGCACTTCCCAGCCCGGCGATCAGTTCTAGTTTCCCAAACCCATCGCTGTCTCTCTACGATCTGCAAAGCCGAAAAGAACTACATAATTAGAAAACAAAGTTGGATCGCATAGCAGGGCTTTCAAGCATAAATATCGAACATGATCAGACTCAGCGCGCTACGCTTGAACACGAGGACTGCAAATAGTTTCTGCCCAGTAGAGGGTCACTGTCAGTCCACACCTTTCAGCAGAGCTAGCATTATTCTGCAACTTCTAAATCTCCCTCTTAAGCAGACACTCTAGACAGCATGCAGTCCGGGTGTACTGTGTTTAATTTCGTTCGCGCCCACAAGCCCATGCACATCACGCCACTTTGGCTCCGCGGGCAGCCGCCAGGTTCATCGTCCTGGAACTATGACACCCTTGAGAACCGTTACTAAGACCGAGATGGTGTGTGGCCAATGCTTTTTCCAGGCGTGAAGTCTCTTGACCTATGCAGCAGGCGCTGATGCCGCTGCCGTCTGTGTGAGGGGCGCCTGTTTGTGCACCCAACTAGTGTTCATCTGCTAGATAAGCCTTTGTGTTGCACATACTGTTTTGTTTATGCACATGCTTTGGATGTTAATGCACAGAGCAATGTCTGTGCAGTGTTGTACTCTAGAGGATACGTCAGTATCATGCGAAACTTCCGTGTTGACCCCTACAGCCTGGACACCGAAGCTCCAGATGGCCGAGGACAGGCGGGAAGACTTCTGACAAAAAATAGATTTCCACTCGTTTGCAACTTAAAGAAGTGATGCAGATTTGGCAAGGCCATTATTATCCAGTGACTACGCCCATCTTTGGGTAGGCGGCAAGGCAGCGAGAAGAACAGTCAGTTGAGGCCCTAATTTCGCAGAAATGCAGGCAAAATTCGAATGTTATCAAATTTAGAGCGGTATGTTTATTGGACTTGAAAATATAGCCAATTTTTTTGGCGGCTGATCTGTTTAACGTCAGCGTGCGTTCTGCACGTAAAAAGCTATGAGCAAAGAAATTAAGTGATCAGTGTGCGGCTTGATCGCGTATTTCGGCGCTCTCACAAGCTCCAACCACAAAGAAACATTTATAATTTTCTAAAATTTACGAGACATTTTGGTTGTGGTTTAGCTCTTCACGCTTTCACAACCGAGCATTTCAACTTTGCCCCACCCCACCAGAACCACCCTACACCCTACGAATGGTCCATTGGTCCGTTTTACATGTTGAGCTGCCGGTTGCTCTTCCTTTGAGGTCGATTTCTTCGATTCTTACTCTTAAGTCATACGGATAATATTAATTGGCATGGATCGTCTTTCATTTGACGAGTAAGTAATTGACTGAGCCCCCTTCCATCCGACGCAGGCGTGCACTTGGTGTGAGCTCCCACAGAAGTTGCATCGTCTGAAATCAAGGTCCTTCAACTCTAAAAAAATTGTTGCTATGCGAATCATGTTAACTCTACTGTGTGTTTGACTTGGCCCCTCTGATTTGTATTTGCCCAACGGAGCTTTCCACTGGTGCCGGAGAGATTCAATGATATTATTCGGATCTTACTGAGGACGAGCGTGATGAAAGCTCAGTATACTTCTGTCAAATGTAGTAAGCCATAAGATAGAGAGCAAGAAAACAGTGTGTCTGGACGCGGGGGAGCCAACGCCAGCATCCTCTACTGTAGAATATCTCCGGTCTCGTGCCTTGTCCTCCTCTCCAGCCCTTTGGGAGTGCAAAGCTTACTCACGAAGTAGAGGAGGTCTCCAGTTTCCGATGAGACGGAATGGGGCACTACTCGCTGCACGAGTCCTACCCAACAGAACTTCTGGGGGGCCAAGTCATCGAGGGTTGCTCAGTGAACCTCCTGAAACTGGCGCTTGACAGAATCTTTGCTGCGCTTAACAAGGCCAGCAGAATCAATGGATCTGACCAATTGTGGAGTGGCCAGCTAGAACCCGAACAGCATAATTTGCCGTTTGGTTGCCAGCTCCAGCAGCAGCAGCAGCCCAACCAGCAGCAGCAGACGCAGAAAACGCAGGGGCAACTCTCTCAAAGGCACGAGCAAATAGTAAGGGATCTAAGAAGATGGGAGACCCATAAAAATATTGTCGAGAAGCGCCATGCAGCAGACACACATGTGCTTGCCGCCTTATTGCAGCAACGCCAACTGCTTGTGGAATACGGGAAAGAGATCCAGCAGCAACAACAGCAACTACAGCATATAATAATATTTCTACGGCAACACAGAAGTGCCCGTAAAATCTTGGACATCTCTGGGCAGACGCTAGAAGATGAGGTTGCCCTGCTTCATCAGCTGGAGGAGAGGCTGTGCGAGCAGCTTATGGGGGAGCAGAGACAGCAACAGGTTCTTCACTTAGTAGCTCGCCACTGTTCGCATTTGCAGCAACTAACCGAAAACGCTATACAGAGGCGAGAGTCGCACCTGAGGTTCTGCCAATGCCGGATTGAGGCTCTGAGGAGAGGGGAGTTTGGACCATCAGGAGCAGAGTTGATCCATCCAGACCACAGAGCGCAGCACCCGCTCTGGCAAGTGCCTTTCGTCATTGCCGATTGCAAGGCCTCTTGTAAGACTTGTAATGTTTACAAAACGCTAGACGAGCCTTTGGACGACCTCCCTGAAACGTTTGGGGCCTCTAGCACTAATGAAAGCAGCAGCAGCCGCTGCAAGAACAACAGCACACACGCACAAGGTCGCAGCCGGAATACCCTTGGGGATTGTCATTGTAACACGAAACAGTCAAACGCTTCTTATGAGGGCGAAACAACTGCTGGCCATGATAAGCAGCAGCAGAGTGGGCAACTGCTTTGCTCGCACAAGCAAGCTCCTGCTCAGATGTCGGGCGAAAATGATATAAGAGACAGTAGGTTTAGGAGCCTGCCAACTGGTGTCTTGAAACAACAACTGCAGCAGGTGCGAAAAGAAAGGCGCGGCTTTTTTTCCAAAGGGCAGGCTGTTGATGCCAAGCAGGTTCACCTTGGTGTGAAGCAGGCGAATCTGCGGAGGCGTGAACAGCCAGGCGCAACAGAAGGGCTGGTAGCAATGCAGATTTTGCAGCAGCAGCAGGAGTCTAGCACCTTCAGCACTTGCTCGGAGACACCTTTTCAAGACCAGCTGGACGAAGGCGACTATCAAGCCACAAGGTCACCCGCTGTGCTTTTACCCAATGAAGCTACAAACGGACCCTTCATCTCAGTCCTACTGTCGCCGCAAAGCGTACAACTGCACCAAGTAACAGAACTTGGCTCGAAGGAAATTGAGCAGAAAGCTGCAACGTTCCAGAAATCGAGTGCGCGGCGACACCGTCAGTTGATTCTGCAGCTCAGAGAGCTTCAGCAGCTAGAGGGGCTTATTTATGGGGCCCTATATGATGAATGTAATGTGAAACTTGTGAGTCCCGTTGGCCTCACAGGCTCCCTTCTACACTGTTCACAAAGGCGACACCAACAACAGCAGCAAGTGGCTGCAGAGCTGCATCAGAGAAGCAGCAAACTACTGCAGCTTTGCACACGACTAAACCCTGCTCTAGCCAAAAAACAACAAATTGAGGAGCATCAGCAGCTCATGATGCAAGCGGAAGAGGATCAAACAGACGAAGAGCTGAGGATTCTACATCAAACTCATGCAATTTTGGTAACTCTGCTGGACGAACGATTTCAGGGTTCCTCCTCCCCTCACAATTTGGGCCACAATCAACAGCTGCTTTTTGAACTTGCAGAGAAGCTTCGTCAATTGCAGCAGCTGAAAGTTGTCCCTGCTCATACTCGGCGAGCGCTTGCTTGCATTCTTGGAGAAATGAATCACAGCCGCAGCAGTCCAATGCAACGGGAACTCATTCACGGTACGTGGAGACAGCAGCAACAGCACAAGCACCATGAGGTGCTCTTTGCTGTTTCTCTGCGCGAAGTAGAAAGCTTCATTTTGAGTCGAATTGATGAGTTGCAAGAGCAGCCACTGCAGCGGCGACGCCAGCAAGAAGTGCAGCAACAACAGGAAGCACAGCAAAGCCAGGGGGAGCCAGAACACCGAAGACGGCTGTCGAACCAACAAGATCATCAATCACAAGTGCACAAGCAAACAACAGAAATCCTAAAACCCAAACAAGGCAATGAATCTCCTCACAAACAGCTGAGACATGGAATTGAGTTGCTGAACGCTGCAGTGCAGAGAGTAACCCGCCCGAAAAAGCTCTATTCACACTATGGAGATTGCAGCTTCAACGACAGCAGCACTGATAAGCAGGATGTGCAAATGTCACTCAGATCCGAATATATTCCGGTGTACTCTGTCTTCTGTCCAACCCTAGGAATCGCTGTAGCTGCCTCTGGCTGCACTTTCGTACCGTTGGCCTCCCCACGGCTCCGCCCTACAGTGGGCGGTGTGGTATCTGGAACAGCAGAAGCCATAGAGAGAGATACACCATGCAGCTACAACACAAACGCTGCAGGACTGCTGAGAGGAAAAAGGGCGACAGAAACCAGCACACAACTGGCTGGAAGCAATTACCTTGAAGCCCCCTCGCGGCAAATAGAAAAGGCATGTGGAGGAGCTCTCACCTGCCCACCAACAAGATCCCAAACAGCACCGGTAACTAGCTGCCGAAAATCCGAGTTCCGCCTCACTGAAGGCGCAGGAGCACGAGTAGATATATCAAGTGGACAAAGCTTAATGGCACCAGAGAAAAAAGGACAGGGGATTTGCTGGAGGCCACTAGCACCAACAGGAACAACAACTGAAGCAGCGGCAGCAACAGCTGCAGCAGCGGCAAACGCAGCTGCAGCGAGCAGCGATGGCCGCCCAGCGACTGCGACGCTTACAGACGATTTGCGACGGCCTCCTTGGGGACCCCAATCGAGCTTGCAGGGATCTGCAACCACGAGCATTGCAGGAGCTGCAACAGCAGCACAAGCAACAAATGTAATAACCACAGCGGCAGAAGTAGTACGCATCCGTCCTTCAACCCCTCAAGAAATGCGGAACGAAGTGGAACGTCGCAGACAACAGGTATTACAAGCAAAGCACCACGTACAGAGGTTACAACAATGGCAACCGCAGCAGCCACAGCAGCTGCTGCATCAGCAGAATGTGCAGAAGCAGCATTTAGTCCAGCAGCAGCAAACACAAGCGTTTCTGCAGAGGCGGCAGCTTTTTCAGTTTCATCATCAGCAGCACCAGCAAATGGCAAGACAGGCGCAGCATATGCCAACCTTTAGCAGTGACACGCAACACCTGCTGCAGCAGCACCAACTTCGCCAGCATAAGCAGCTGCAACAGCGTTTGCTTCAGGCGCAACAACTTCAGCAACAACCAAACCTACAGCAATGGCAGCCTCTCGAGCCGTCTCTGAGCCCGCCACATGCACTCATGCTGCAGAATCAATGGCAACAGCCCCTACCACAGCTGCAACAGCTGCAACAGCTGCAACCGTTCCAGCAGTCCCTGCCTCCTCACAAGCAGCAACAGCCGCTGTGGCAGCATGTTCAACAGCAGCGGTTGTGGGATATAGAGAACTACCACGTTACCAATCCTTCAACCAAAGACACTGCCGCAGAAATGGCACAAGCAGCAACTGCTGCTGTCTTTGGCGAGAGATCGTGCGACTCTCCGAATCACTTTCAGAGCTGCCTTCCGACGCTCAGCAGCAACAGCCTCCATTGCCTGCCATTAGGTGAAGCAGGAGAAACAGCAGCACAAGCCATGCATACAGTGCCAGAAGCTGCCTTCCAGGAGCGAATTTTGATTTGCTACCCAAAAGCCACAGCAGCTGCGCCTGCTAAAGAATCAAGCTCATCTTTTCCTGGGCAGTGCAGTCAAACTGTGGTGAAACCAACAGCCGCAGAACCTGCAGAAAGTACGGCCGTGGCCTCATCACAAGCAAATGACCAACAGGATGTGCCGGCGGATCACTTGCTCTTAATGGAACTGCTTATGTGCCTATGCAGCCCGAAAACAGATCCCAGCCCAGTAGAGCTAAGAGACGTTACAGCAAAAACAGCGGCAGCAGGCGGGGTCGCTGTCTCCAGCGAGTTGGAGTGCGTGGAGATAGATGATCCACAGCATCCCCTAAGGTTGGGAACACCCTGGAACGAGAAGGCGCTCGCGAGCCGCCTACGGGAAGACGCAGCGCCTATTCCGGCAACCCATAAGGTGACTTGTGTTTCTGTCTGTATCCTATTGCGTTCCCGCTTGCCATTAGTCTCCCCATCTATCTACTCTCCTATATCTGCCCCTTCTTACCTTTCCTTCCGTTTCTTTCCTTTTCAGTGTCTCAGTGCCATTGAATGGCCACTGTTTCAGTGTTGCGAAATTCTACCTGCCCACGCAGGTACCAGTGGTGTTGGGTGAGGTTGTTGGTAGAGTGACAGTTAGCACCAACTTGGCTGCCAATGACGGCTCCTCCCCTCGCTTCGGTCTCTCCTTTTCACCTGAAGCTATCCTTTGTAAGGTTTGACCCACTAAAGATGAAATCGCAGACTCTCAACCCTGTATGCAGAAGGCCTAAACATTTATGTTTTTGGTTGAGAACAAAGTCGAGGACCTTTCCGAGCTCTTTGCCTAACACTTGAATTACGTGAAAAAGAGCCACTTTTGAATGCCTGCGACCGCAGCCGGTTACATGCTGATCGACCCTGAGACTCTGCTGCTGCTGTTGTTGCTGTTTTAGCTGGCTTTGTAGGTGCGGGCGTCTCTTCCGGAGCAGCAGCATCTCCTCTGCTGCTACCCGCGGCTGACTGTTTGTGCCTTTCCGCCTTCTTCACGGGAAGAAATAGGGGATCTGCTGCAGCAGCTGTTAGACATTTTGAGGTCCCTCGACTGGATTCTCCTGCTCCACTCACCTTCCAACAGAACTGTGAACTACACACGGTAAGAGAGTGCTAAAATCGCCCTTGTGATGCGTGGGAAATGCATTAGTTGCCTCTGCAATATAAGGGCAGCATGCTGGGTCGACGAACTTCCTGAAGGAGAATGAACTCCACTGCAGGACGATAGCAAGCGTAGAAAATGACGACCCTTTTGAAACATGCAGCATAACTTGCTCCCGCGGCTGCCCTTGTGCTTTCCAGGTGTATGTGAATGGATGGCCTCACTTTGTGCTAACGTCGATTCCAGGGGTTGCTGTGAAGGCAGGAGACTTTCTCTTTGCTGACTTGGGGCCGCGGCTCTTTGCGAGGCTGCGGCAACGCTTGTGGCAGCAGGCCGCACTGCGACTTGTCGGTACGAAATACACGGTAGTGGCAATCCACGGAAGGGCTGACGCAGCATCCTTAATGTAATGCTAGTTGGTCATTTATTGTGTTTATACAACGAATAAAGCGTGAGGTTTGGATTTTGCTTGTGAGTGTCTATAGAATTGGGGCCGAGAGCTCCCCACCAAGTCGATACCTGCGGCTTTGAAATCCAATTTGAGCAAGGGGTGGAATGTGTCGAATGCTGCTTGGAGGCAGCGCATGGAGGTAGGGCATGCCACAACTTGCCTTTGTTTTTGGGCAGGAGGCAATGCTCGTAACTGCAAACCACCCATTGTCTGAGCCATTCTCGTCTAGACAGTTAGGCTTTCCTTCGTGGCTTCCAATGCGATGCTTGTGTTCTTAGACGAAACGATTCTGTGCTGCTGCTGTGGCTGCTTGCTGCATTTACGCTGCACTACTGGAAGGTCCAAAGCTTTCTCGGAATCTCTGATCTGCCAGCGGTGCGAAGGCCTAAGCCAGTAAGGGCATCTCAACAATGTAAAAAGTAATAAGTAAAGGTGGTGGCAGATTTGGAGGGCAGAAATGAAGGTTGAGAGGTTTCCGATGGAAACAGATATTCACAGCAAAGTCTCAAGCTGCACAAGAATGGGCACAACCAAGGCTATCCCTGCTTCCCTTTATCTCTTCGGTCTGGCTTTTCACTGTGGCAGTCTGCCGCACCAAATGCCACTCCCCCGTGTTCTGAAATACGTCATTCTTTCACAATATCATATCTTCAAAGCTCCCATGATAGCTGTGTTTCCAGCCTGCTATCTGTCTTAACGTGTTTTTATACCTCTTCCACAACTTTCTTCAATGCTATGCTCTGTTGTGCTTCATCAGACGAGTGCACGAGTGGCCTCGCGAGAGTGAGAACCTAACCATGCTCCCTCCCCATTTCCTCAACAAGCCCAACCAGCAGCGGAGACAACAGCAGGAACTACAAATGATGCACCAGGACCTTCAAGATCGGCAGCAACAGCAAGTGCACCAGTTAATGCAGCAGCACGCTTCAACAGAGATTCGGCAGTTAGGCAGAGGACTGCAGCTGCATCGGAGCAGTAGAGGTCCGCAGGCTGAAAATGCATTGACAGAGGTCGCTCCTGATATTTTGTCAACTTTCTCTTCGGTCAGCAGGTCCGAGTGTTTGGCCGCTCTTCTTCACTTCATCATTACAGGCAATGATACACAAAATGGCCCCGTCAATGCTGCTACTCTTACGGCTGTCGCAACTACTACCGCGGAGGACCTGCGTTGCTCGTGTGCCAAGAAAACATTTCCCAATACTCTGCCCCCTGAACGCTTTTCCCTTCAGCTGTCCATTTTTCGCACACAGCTGACTGGGGAAGCGCCGCTAGCAGGGTTGGCTGAGGATGACATGATGGCGCTTGCAGCTTCCTTGGTGCCCTGCGCTAATTGCTATAGAAAGATTGTGCTGCAGCAGCATTACCGCCGCTTGCTGCTGCTCCAGCAACTGCAACAGATGATGGAGAAGCAGCTGCGAATTCTGGGGCAATTTCTCCAACACCAGCAACAACAGCACAGACTGGATCAGTTGGCTTTTATACGAGAGAGACTTTCTGCACTCCAGCGGGCACCCAGCACGGTTTCCCCGCCATTGTGCAGCCAGCTGTGGCAGTTGCAGCAGCATCAAAAGCAAATGTTACAGGGGAGCTGCCAGGAACAACGACGACTGCAGCAGCTCCATGACCTTGCTGCACTTGTGCTAGTTGCGCTAGGAGAGCCGACAGTTCCACAAACAAGAGCGGCAGAAGGGATAAAGCAACTACAACAGAAGCAACAGTCAGTTGCGGGCAAGATTCAGTCTGATGAGCTGCATGATGATTTGCTGCAACTGCTGAATAAGACGCTCCAGGCGGCACACGCCCAGCAGCCCTGTTGCACTGTGCTGCTGCGCCGTCTACTGCAAGAGATACAAGAAGCATCTCTGTGGTCCGCAGACATAAAACGCAACAGAAAAAGCAGCAGTACAACAAGTAATGAAACCGTCGCGGCTGCCTCCTCGCTGCCGGATTGCATAGGCATTCTTTCGTTGCCGGAAAGAGCAAATGTAGCAGGAGTAGCCGACCAACGAGCGGCAGCAGCAGCTATGATTGCAGATAGCAGCCTCTGGCTTGCTAGGCTGGCCCAAAAAGCTCCACCAGGTGCAGCTGCTGTTGCTTCAGCGTTTGGAGAAAAAGGCTTTTTGAGGGATTTAGCAGTGGCTGCACTCAGATGCCGTCTGCTTTCAGGACACTCCGTTGAATCCCCAAACGGTCTCCAAGGGGCTGCCGACCAGGCAGCAAAGACGTGGAAACATGGTACGCTTGAGGCTGCGGGCACGTGCGCCCATGCAAACAGCGGTTTCCTCTATCTTCGTATGCTCTTTATGGATGCTTGCTGATTCAGTAAGCCACTTGCGTCTCCTAGCTTTAAGAAGGCGTCGCTAACTGCCGCCCGCTTTTGTTTCATTCTGGGCCTCCTTATGTTCGTTGTGAATGTCTGCTGTTTCAGTGAGCCATGTGCTTCTCACCGCTTGTAACAGGCGTCGTCAACTGCTGCGAGCTGTTTCGTTCCTTCTTCAAAAAAGTCCTCAGTTTCTTGCGTCTTTGCAACGCGACCCTGAGCAAAGACCACCATACCAGTGGAAAGAGCGGCAAGGAAACTGGCAGAAACAGCATCAACAACAGCACGTACAGCAGCAGCGGCAGCATCAACAAAGAGAATCCCAACAGCATCAGCAGCAGTTTCAGCAGCGGCAACAAACAGGGAGCTCACCTCAGTTATACGACGGCGCTGCGGCAGTTCCTACCTGCGCGCATAGCATCTGCACTGGAAAGCAACAGCAGCAGGAGGCGATACAACAAACGCAGCAACTGGAGATCGCGCAGCACGAGGAGGAGCAGCAGCTATTGCAGCGAGAGCAAAAAGCGCTTCAGTCAGCATTGCAGGGGGCGTATTCTGTGCAGCAGCCCTTGCAAAAGCAAGCCGTGCATCATCAGAGCATAGAACGGCAACAGCCTGCTCACTTGCAGCACTCAAAGCAATTCCTGCATCGTCAATCTATGGAACAGCAACTGAACGAAGACCAACGACGCACGTTAAGCTTCCAGACCTACCAAATGCAACCGCCGCAGCAAAGTCAACAGAAACAAAAGGTGCAGCCGTCCCAGAGGCAGGCGCTTTATGCTTTGCTGCAGCCTGAGCACATACACCAGCAGTGCTTGCAGCAACAGTATTTGCAGCCACTAAAGCAGCAGCTTTTCCAGCCTCCCCAGCAGCAGCATTTGCAGCAGTTGCAGAGTCTTCAACAATTTCAACATCCGCAGAATTTGCAAGCGCCTCAGGTCTTGAATTTCGGGGGCGCATTGGAGGAGGCGCATGGATTGAGAAGGTGGACTAGAGACACCACTGAGCAAGAACAGCTGCAGCGCAATATACTGCATCAGCACATGCACCACGTGCAGCAACAGCAGCATCAGCTGCAGCAACTCCAGAGGCAGCAGCAAGTGGAGCTTCATCCAGAAATGCAGGATAGTGGAAGGCAGCACAAAGGCTTGCAAAGCAAGGAAATGCACCTAGCAGAGCTGTACCAAAGGACGATGGGACACGTAGAGCTACAAGAGAACGAGAAACAGCACAACTACGTTCAAAGAATGCAGCACGAAGAACTTGATCAACAGCGGAAATGCAATATTGAGCCCATTCAGCTATATTGTCAACGGCGGCAGCGCCAGAGGAGGCAACTCCTGCAACAAAGAAGCCGAAGACGCGAGAGAATGTCTCACGGTAGCACCACTTTAATCCGCGGGCTTCCTAAAAGGCATTGCCCTTCAGTTGCTGCTGCTGCTGATCTGTCTGATGAAGAAATCTACCCACAGGTGTCAGAAAGGGTTACCACAAACGCTGCTGAGGTCTATTACCCAAGAGGTCCAGTTTCTCATCTCACTAGCACCAGTGGAAGCCCATCGTGTTTTGAGTTGAACGTCGCCAGAGCTGACGCAGGAATTCCTCGAGGCACAGCTGCTTCAGAAGCTGCCACCACGGCTCCCTCGGCAACTGCTCACCAGCAGCTAGCTGAAGCAGAAGCAGGACGTACTAGAACAATGCAGGAGCTGAGAAGGACAAGGAAGATGCGCGCGTTGAGGTGCATGCTGGCGCACAAAGGCACCAGCAGCGTGGCATCACCCGTTACTGCAGCAGATACAGCTCACAGAGCAGCTGCCGCTGAGCTCAATGATCAGTCCGTTATTGGGGCTAAGGTACAGGAGACAGCGGCACGTTCTCAAGCTGCTGCCGCTGCGTCTGGCAAGAGAACGATAGAAGCTGTCAATACAGAAGATGCATTGCAAGAGCTCCCTGAAGGAAGCACTGTTGCTGAGAACGAGGGGGATAAGGCGGCTGCAACGCAACGAGCTTGTAACAGATCGCCAAGAGGCGGGCTTTTTTCTGTCAGCAGTGGCTTCCCGCATTGCTGCTACGACGCTGCTCAATGCGTTGACGAAGTAGCGGCAGACTCAAAGGAAGCAGAGCGCGCAGAAACGAATGGCATTGGCGTAGATGCAGAAACTGGCGAAAGCTCGGTGGCAGCAGACAAAGTAACAAGAAAGCAGGATGCAACAACAACGGCACTTCCTCTGGCAGCAGCGCTATGCCAAGAACAAGCCTGGGCAGCAGATGCAGGACAGGAAGATAAAAAACTGCCGATGACTGGCCAAATTTTAGCAGTACCAGCGAGGGAAGACGCTAAAAGCGTATTTACTGCACCTTCTGAGCAAATAATAGTAGCATCAGCAACCGGCGAAGACTCTACTGCTGCAGCCGAAGAGCGAATCGCGGTGGCATCAGCAGCCGCCGAAGACGCTACCGCTGCTGCTGCTGCGCTGCTGGACAGGGCCCCTGAAGCGCCAGAGGTGGCAGCAGCGGCAGCAGCAACAGCAGCAACTGACGCGCTGCTACTTTCTCCACCGGCAGTTCTAGGCCCGATAAAGAAACCACTTTTCCTGAATGGAACTGAAGGACTGCTAGCAGTGTCCGCAGCATCAGCAGCAGGTACAAGGAGGGCCAAGAGAATGCTGCCCGCAGGCCTAACACAGCGCCGGCGAATATTTGCGTACTGCTGCCGAGAAACTATGGGAGACGGTTGTGCCTGCATTGCATGTACGAGCTGCAGACGTCAACCTCCTGTGGTGTCCGTCACAGATGCTGCAACAGAGGCGGACTACAGCAAAAGATGTGCAGGGCCTTTGCAGCTGCAAGAGCAGACGCATAGATCCCTTAGGTCTAGAAAGGGAAGATACGGAGCTGCAACACGAGAAGGAGAGTGCATCAGCGGCAGTAACACCAGCAGGAGGGATATGCACAATCAAAGCTTCAGAAAGAAGGAGAAACGCAAAAAGAAAGTCTACTACTATAGCACGAGCGACCGATGTAGCATAAGCTGCGACTCCAGCAGTGGGAGTGATTGGGAAGGGTCTACTAGCAAGCGAAAGAGGCAGCCACAGAATAAAAAGTACCAAGAAGCAGCAAACGGAGCAGAGCGGAAGGCTCCTCCTGCTGCTGCTTCGGTTGCAGCTGTTCGCGCCCTTCGTCGGGTCAAAAAGCTTGCTGTCACAGATGCAAGCACTACTAAAGCACCTCTCTCACAGGAAGAGCAAAGAGAATTTACTTTTGTCGCTGAAAATGTGAGAATGGAGCACTGCACCGCCGATCGTGCAGCTCCATGCTCCACTGATGCAATGGATGCGCACATCGGCGGCACCCACAGCGATGACGACAACCTCACTCCAAAGGCTGCCACAGGAGTAGAGCTTCGACTGAATCAAAAACGAGAGAGCCCACAGCGGCTGTGTAGGAAAACCAGTCAGCAGCAGCAGCAACGTACAGGGCCGACACTGAACCTTTTTCGTGTCCTGCGCAGCAGTAAGAAGCCTCTTGGGGAGACAACAGTAAAGGAGGCAACGGAGACAGCACTGCACAAAAGCGTCGAAGGTAAAGAGCCTCTCTTTGCCGATGGCGAAGCTTTCTCTGCTGTGGTGCCTGCCTCTTCTAAGCGAGCCGATGAAACGGGCCTCCCCGCCTCTCCAGACACGTTTCTGTCGGACCCAGCAGTCGTAGAAGAAGCCACAGATGCGTGTAACCGTCTCCTTCGAAGCAGCTGTAGCGATTCCAGACAGTCAAACGCGTATGGTGACGACGATGAGAGGCTATCAACTACAGACGGCCTCCGCCTGCACCTTGAGAAGAGGCCGCTGCCACCTCCAACGCCGTCATGCGAGATTCCCACTCAAAAGAAACAGCAGCAACGGGTCCAACAGGAAGAAGAACAACAATGTGAACAAGAAGGGCAGCAACAAAGACGCCGGCGCAGCATCGGCGCGATCATCAATTGTACTTTGCGAAGCGGCAGCGGGGGTACAGCAGCAGGAGAAAGAGTAAAAACTGGCAGTGTAGCATGTGCTGTGTCCAATGCAATGGTTCTGCGGAGTGAACATGATGGGCAACAGCGGCGAAGCTATCAGCGCCACGACGATATCTCAGCACTGCCTCTTGAAGCCGCACCACAGATCCTCGAGGACTTCAGGGAACTGGTGTTATCGTCAGTGTCCGGCCCGCATCAGCGAGAGGAGAAACAGTCCTTGGCACAGCATCATCGCACACGAAAATGCACTGCTGCCTCTCTGCTTGCAGCTGCTGCTGAGAGTGGCAATAACAGCAGCAGCTATAACACGCCCAGCAAATCATCGCACGATTCATGCATCCGCAGAGGTCAATCTGTACGTGCTGCTGCCGCAGCAGTCGCTGCTGCAACTGTAGCCCGACTGCAGGAAAGCAGAACTACGAGTCAAGCAACCACTAACGCAGCGGCTGGAGAAGCAGCAGCTGAAATAGCGAAGAACATAACTTGGAACGAAAAGAGGCGTAGCTATGCAGCAAAAATCAAGGGAGTCTCTCAGCCCGTCTGGTTTGCTGCCAAGAGAAGAGGTGTCCCTCAGGCTCTTCAGGCCGCTGCAAATCTCCTTGTCGAAGATATGAATAGACGCAAACAGGAAAATTAGGTTGATCCCCAACACCATGAATTTTGAAGAACAGCGTAGCGGCAGGCGTGGAAGCTGCATCACGGGCAAGCATGCTGCCAACAATAACAGCAACAGCAAACGAAGCTGCTGCCGAGTCTGAAGGAACATACTTGCCTTTTTATAATGCATTTAGATGCTCGTGCTCTGGATATGCACGAACACAGAAGTGTGCATCAGAGCCATGGTCACATTTTTACCGAAGCGCGATGAAATATAGTGGAGGACGCAGAAAGACTTGAAAACATAGTGGCATGCCCACACATATATGCAGATATGTTCCGAGCTATTGCTACAGCTAAGCAGGTGGGGGCATGGAGTCGCCTGAACCACAAACGCAAAGCTAATGCGGGAACGTTAGAGATAGATTCGCAGATAATGAAGGCTTAAGCACGAGAAAAGTACTCGCAAGGCCTAGAAGAAGCTAAGGGAAACCACTCATTTTTCATGGCCTTCACTCGATATGGAGAGTCCGACGTCTTCTCCTGTGAGGAGAGCTCAAGTGGCTTGGTGACAGGGCTTTTAACTCTAGAGATCCCATCAGCACTTCATTAAGTGGCATGTCGACGCAGAAAAGCACGCAGTAACACTAAGCTGCGGCCACTACAGTCTCTGAAGCAATAGGTTAGCATACGGAGCACCCAAACAAAAGTTTATCTGTTGGCTTCTTATATCTAGCATAGGGTGAGTGGAAGAAAAACTGCAAAGGTTCAAAACCTGTGAGCCCGGCATGAGCAACAGTTTGGCTTTGTGCAGGCTTCACAACTGCCTAATTGACTGGCAACGATATACATATTCATAACAAGCCCTCTGCCGTAACGGCTTGAGAAAATGCAGCAAGGCTCGTTACGTGCGGATGCAAACATTCAGTTGGTGAACTATAACGGCCTCAGCTATCGCGGGATCGTAGGCAGCAGTAGCTACGTTTATGATCCCGCAGCCTTCTGTATTTGCCCGGCCAGCTTCAGTTTCTTAAGACAGTTACCACATGTCTCCATTGCGACGCTGTAGCAGCACCATAGTAAGATACAAAGAACAGCAGCGAAGACCGTCCACCATACAATGAGCTCCCCAGAGGAAAGAGTAAATGAAATTTTTGCAAGCCCTCGGCTGACACGAACAGTGCACGGAGGATTCATCACCAACTCACTGCTGCCCCATTTCGTAGTAACCACACCGGCACCCGGAGCTACTTCCCAGTCGTCATAGCACCGGCACGTGACAGTGCCTGTTCCTCTACCTGGGGCAAAAATGCAAGTGCCTTGACCGCACGGGTTGACAGCGCCAGTGCAGGGATTCGTAGGAACTTCGCAGTTGGTGCCTTGAAAGAAGTCCCCGCACTCGCACTTGTAATACGGAGACACGTCAGTGTCAACGCACGCCCCTAATGAGCACAGAGCGCTCGAGCAATCCAAACCACTCGTGCTCCTGATGCCACAATCTTGAGTACAAAGTGAAGCCTTTTCAGAGCATGTGGGGCCGCGAAATGGTAGGGGACAGACACAGATCTGTGCGGTCAAATGCTCATAACACGTTCCTGTGTTGCATATGTTAACTGCACACGGCGCGGCTGATGCATAAATAAGGCCAAAGCTAGCTGTGGAAGCGCCAATCACCGGCGTGAGCCACCGATGAACCAGTGTAAACAGAATTCCGTCTGTTTCCGTCAGGGATGGCTCAGATGGAGCATTTCGGCATCCCTCGGGAGAACGCTGTGAGAGGTTAGCGCTTAAAAGCAGAACAACCATGAGAGGTAGGAGGCGATGTAGCTTGGGAACGCGGAAACGAGAAGAAAAGGCAACTTGGCCATCACTTTCTGGTGACTTGGGTGTCCCCCGACCCTGGGAAGAACTACGCAGACACCGTCTTGAAAACTTTCGGTTACCCTTGCAACAATCAATGCCCTGTGTTGTAAAAGCCTGATGGCGGGACGCTGCACCCGTTTCGTCTAATGAGCAATTGTCAGCGCCACAGCTACGTGATAGTTCTGACTTGGACATTGAGGGGGACCCGAAGTCAGCAAAAACAGCCATTGTGACCAGCGGATGGCAACAGATACTGACTGGTCTTTGTATGGATTTTCATGCAAACATTTCCAAGGAAAGGCCATAACAGAAGAATGCTGAAATTCCCGTGGCTGTCCCTGTGTACATCAAGACCTTCCGGCAACTATCCACCAAAAGCGACCCACTATAAGAAATGGAAGGCCTTTCAGTAGAATTTTTCAAAGCAGAAAGAGACGCTAACTGATCTCACCAAGCAAAGATTTGTCAAAAGAGAAAATGGATTGGCTTTTCTGATGGGTCTTCGCCATCGAAGGCCATACCCTTCAACGAAAATATATACACTCTAGCAAAAAGCATAAAAGTTCGTCAGGCTAGTGAAAGGATCTTCCGTGCATTTGTTTCACAGGACATCTCTGAGCTCCTGAGTGGTCCAATGCGAGGCGCGCCACACTGTTACACGAAGTAAGTGCACAGGCATTCCTCTCCAAGTGACCTAGATTTTGTGGATATTTGCAGCATTAAAATGAAGAATTCTCACCTTTGAAACAAAGCACTTTCCACGTCTACAAGGAAGTAAGGCGAAAGGCAGGAACCGGGCAGCTAGTGGGTGACCACCAACCATTGATCTGGTAAGCTGCGAAGGAATTGTGATTGTCCTCCCCTAACAAGCAAATCCCAGCAACAGATTTTTACTTAAGAATACTTAACACTCCCAGATGCAAAGAATTTTACAATGTTCATTCGCTGACACCCCAGCGCACACCACCAAACAGAACGACGCATTTAGAGCATCGACAGGCTTACCGCGCATTGGGGGTAAAACGATGCTAGAGTGCTTTAACGGGATGTCAGAACTTTTCCGCAGGGCTGGAACCTGCAGTGGAATAACTCCAGGCAAATGAAGCTGCAAAGAGGTCTGCTTTGAACGGGACTACTACTCCAGCTGGTGCGCAAGCTGGGACGTGATAGTACACAAAGCTCAGATAAAAGTGAAATGAGCTGTAGCCTTAAGAAAAGCATTCGGCCCAAAACTATTTATGCTGAATATTGAGTTGTAAAGGTAATACGCTATAAGAGCCTATAGTAGCTTCTCAGGCCGATCTTTACTTGCCAAGCTCAAGCATGTCAATCAACACACATTGGGTGGCCTTCATGCAATACATGCGCAAATTCACCTATAATCTGTTTGGGAAAGCCAATAGCTAGAATGTGCATTTTGCTTTTTCTTCAAAGCCTCCTTTACATCATACACTGTCTGTTAGATTATCGATGTTCCCCGGCACCTCCCCCCATAATGAAAAACTGTAGCAGGTTCAGGCTTCTCAAATAATAGCCCTCGTAACTTTGAACATTCGAATAATTAAGAGCCCCACCCAGAAGATAAAACTGCTGATAAAACTGCCGGATTTTACGTTCCAGAATATGCGCTGAGGAATCTGGTCTTCACCTGCAAGCACAAAATAGCGAGAACTTCCCGAACAAGGGACTTCACCAGCAGCGATGAGGGTCTCCCCTGCTGACGCGAGTTGTATGAGAGCCCTTGCCACGCCAACGAGTTAAATTTCAGAAGCTTGTAAAAATCCTAAAAGTGCTGAGGATATGAGATGTGCAGTAAAACATCTCATACTCTCGCGACTCTCGCATTAGGGAGCTGCATACACGTAACAGAGTTAAAGCGGAATGCGGGCTGAGTGCCATCGGTTTCTCCTTTTAGCTAGACCGCAGCGTTTTTGGTGATTTAAGCCAGTGTATTGCATTCGCCGTTTTCCCGGCGCCGCAAGGCGGGCAGCCGGGAAATTGCCACGTCGACTGCCATCGATCTGTACAGCCCAAAAATGCCTCAGCCAGTTCCAAGCCAATTCCCTAGCTGCAGGTGCGCAGGGCTGCTATAGCGGAAGCAGTGCCGGCGGAGCAGCGGAATACACAAGTAATGCCTTGCAACAGAACTTTGCAAGCAATAATTCTTGTCGCACCATGATTCACGAGCAATGTTTTCTGGTATTTTTCAGCCTGGCTTGCTCCACGCTTTGCTGGTGCTGAAAAGAAACATTTTTAGAGCAATTCTATATTATTTTGTAGAAGGCCAACATCCTGAAACAATCGCGGTGTGACTTGAGCGTTTAAGCTCTTAGACAGGCTCGCACTACCAGTGGCTGGAATCCATGTGTGCAGGACTACTGAGTTCTGGATCCTCAAGGACACACTTTGACAGTAACCGAACAATTCGGTTTACTGTGGGGGACAAGCCTAGATTGTTGACCGGAATGGCTGCGTCACTTGACCTCGAATCATCTGGGAGTGAGCCATCATTGATCAAGATTTTCTATTTTGCGGACCATCCTTTCAACATCCCTAAATTTGAAGAGTGGTTCCAGTTGCAGGTTCAACCAGTAAACGAAATGCTATGCCCGCTTGCTACAGAGTATTCTAATCGAGAAGTTCTCGTGCTGGAGATGGCAGGTGCTCGATAGCATGCCCTACAATGCCTAAAACGGACCAAAAAGAGGGTTATTGAGATGGCAATGAAACGCTTTTGTGAAAGCTGCAGATGAGTTAGACGTATGCACAGATTCGTGCCTTGCTGAGTCTGGACGATGCACGTTTCTGCATCAAGGCCTAGAGAAGTGGAACAAAACTAAACTTGGTCGAAACAACGAGCATATGCCTTTTACATTGCAGCAAAAAGCATATGGGTTTCCTGGAGTGGTAACAGTAAGTTGCTTGGCTGAGGCCTACAGGCCTCATGCGGCTCCACTGCCTGAAGTTGCAGGCAGCGAGTTTTGCTGAACTGGGGGTATTCTGCTTGGAACAGGAGGGTACTTGTGTTCAGGCATTCTGTTTATCTTAGCAGAAGATACGGCGAACTATCTGACAGCCTTCGGGAAGGCTCTGAACACAGGAGGCAATGCTGAGGCGCTGCAGCTGCCACCAATCAAGCAAATTTCGTGGGTAGGGGAAACGAAACATACCGTTCTTCTTCGCATTCTGCACACCTACAACACTTTTTCTTCAGTTTCTTCGCAAAACAATGCCTAGTTCGAGGGGACAACATAATTCAACACTGCATTGTATCAGTTTTTCGGCGGGAGAATTGAGTAAATAAGGTAAGGCCTTTGTTCCGAACTGAGCGATTTTGTCTCGCTTCTCTGTTAAAAGCAACTAAATGTTTCTCAGTTGCATGCATTCATCATTTTCCTTCGTCAAAGTAGCCATGTCGCTGCCTTCGCATGCCATGTGCCGCTTGAGGCCTCAATTGGGGCGGCATGGAGGCTGGCGACTTTATGAAAAGATCTACACGAAAATGTCGATGGCATGCCCGTAAGATCTATGTTTATCAATGTGTTGGTCACCTTTTGTTAAGCTGCGTGAAAGCGCGAGCTTAGCAGCCTTGCAGCTCAAAACAGCGCGCTTCGGCAGGCACGCTTCCAGGGTCACTTGCGAGATGGGTGCCTGAGCGTTGCATGCGAAGGTAGACGATGCTACAGCTCTCTCCCCAATGTATATAAATAATATCACTAACATAAAGAAGCGTCACTTTGCTGCTTGGCTCCCTCGCAACCTGCATTGGGTTCCAACAAACAGCACGCTCGGTACACCCATTTGCACCTGCAAGTACACAAAATATGCGAGCCATCAGAGGACGGAGCTGATTTGGCCTTAATGAGGCAAAATAAAGACGGCTTCTCGCAGCTGTGGAGAGTAGTCGGCTTTGAATTGGCCTACGGCGTATGTTCTATCAGGAAGGCAACCGAGAAAACGGACTGGAATGGAGAGCCTACAACGGCATCTAAACAACTCATCATGGAGACCAGCCCCAACTGGTCTTCGGTCTTCTTTCAAAGACCCTAGCGCGCAGGCTACAGCTCTACGAAGCGCCTCGGGTCAAAATGCTGGAGGTGCCCTTACACCTCAAGGTTGCAAGAGAGCCATGTCAATAATCACCAGACAGCCCCATTCCAGTGCCCGGGAAGCTCCTTCTGATGTTACTGCTGTCTTTCGTAATTTTGCACATTCTACAAAAATTACGTCGCGGCAGCAGATGCAGCTGCAGCTGCGAAGTAGCCAAGTGCAGTCGACACTTCATGGGGCGGAAGCCGGCCATCGTTTTCCATTCCTTACCAGGTGCTTCACTAAAGCATATTTTCCTATGTGCCAATACTTCCTATCTAATGCTGGCTTTTGCGTGCTCCATTTGCATCAAAACAATGTTGTCCTTCTGCACGCTCTTCGTTAGTCGTTCCAAACGCACATGCCGACATGCTTTACTTGCATATTGGCTTACGCGGTTTCAGGTTTGGTTCCTCTCCAGAAGTTAATGCAACTGCTCAGCAACGAGTACAGCATCACGCGCCTGAACGGGGCTCACAGCAGCAAACGCTCCAGCATGAAGTCAGCATAGTCTCAAGCAGCCCGGTTGCCTCATGCTTCGAAGGCCAACATATGCCATTTCCCCTTTTTGACTCCCGGGCAGCTGCGGCAAGCGCTGCGTCATGTTGCACTAACGCAGCAACGGCAGACGCTGCAAGCCCAACTAGGTGGGCACGCAAAATCATGGTAAGCAGCAGCGGCAAAGGACGTAACGGCATTGATAATATTCAACGCCGCAGTGGGTCATTAGTGCAGCGAGAAAAGAGCAGCGGGGCATTGCGAGCGAACAGCGAAATTGAAGCTCTTTCGCAGTGGCAGGAAGATGCGAGTTCTTCCACAGCGAATACAGCTGCAGCACAAGCTACACAACGAAGCAAAAATCACGAAGCAACAAAAGCTATTGGTTGCACTGCCTCCCCCAGAGCTATTGATACCTTCGCAAAGCAATCGCAGTGCAGCAGCACCTCAGCACCTCGCAGCCGAATGTACCCCTCGGCGCGACGCCACGAGCAGGCGAATTCGTGCGACACATCTACTGAAGGTCACCCTTGCGCAAACCACGGCATCCAGTCCAGCGAATTTCAAGAAGACAACGTGGTATCGGCACAAGCTTCAGGAACGTCAGGAAGTACTGAACCACCCGTAAGGGGAAGAAACACGTTCGTCGGCTTCCGCTGCATCTGAAGCTTGAGGAGGCAGCGTTTTTTTAGACTTTTGCTAATGCCTCTAGCGCCTTTTGTCACACAAAACCTATGCCTGTAACTGCGCTGCCAACACTTTTTTTCTCTCTCGTGGCGCCGGGTGTGAGTACCTATTCTGTGCCTTTAGGGAAGCCAAGGCACTTCGGGCATCAACAAGGTTACATGGAGTCACGAGGAGCGTTGGGAAGATGATTCATTTCCCCAAACACCACTACATATGGGCCTTGATGCCTCTACGCAACGTCAGGAGGCACGGCTAGCCCTTATGCAGCACTGTTTGCTTGCTGCTGAATTGTTCATTTTCAACATCGGCCACATGGCCAAGACTTATCGTTGTATCTGAGTGTGAAGCGGAGGTCAAACAGAAACTTCATGAGTCTCTGAGCTTGATTTGAGAAGCATTTCCCCCCTGAAACGCCTCGCACTCCAGGTCTGTGCTCCCCCATGATTGCAGCTGTAGAGGACAACGCTGAGCAGTTTGAACAGATGGCGGAGCCGATCATAAAACTATTGGTTGCAAAAAGCGTTGAGCAGGCTGTGGAAGAAGCCAGACAAGAGCATCAGCTACTTGTGCTTCACATGCGAAAGCGAGAGCTGATTCGGCACCAAGAGGAAGAGCTGCGTGAGCTGGAACGAGAAGAAGCACGTAGGCATCTTTTGGCTCAGCAGGCCATGCGAGGCCAGTTGATCGTGTGAGTCAATGCTTAAAAGTTTACTCAAAAAAGGCGTTTACGCTAATTGGGAAAGTTTCCACTAAACTACTGCAGATCCTTTGCGCGCGTCATTAAGTCACAGGGTGGAGAGACAAACGACGCATAACTGCCGAATGTTCCTAGTGTGACGGTCACGCGTTTTGCTGGCAGGAAAGAACATGAAAGACGGCTATGGCGAAGGCTGTGGGTAGCGCACATCGGGACGGCTGCTCTGGGTAGTGGCCTCCTCAACAAAACTTTAGACCGTCTGGACCAGGTATCAATTGTTTTTCTGGTGGAAGACGGTAATAATCATGCGAGCTCCCCAATGCTGTCTCCATTTTGTTACTACAACGAGCTTGAGCGGACCCAAACGTGACCTCACTGAAAGTGCCTGACTTCCACAGCCTCACTAAATCCTAATATTCATCCTCGCCTCACGTTGTTCATGCATGTCAGATTGCTGCTTTGTTATCACAGGAACAGTTTTTCCTATCCACGAGGGACATTGCTGTTGGCGAATTTTTGTCGGAAGTCGCTGCGGCAGCTTCTCATGAAATAAAGAAACGAAACGTGGGGAGAGCCATAGGCTCCCTGCCTTATGCAATATGAGCAGATGCGAAGCCATACGACTGTGTTGAGTGCCCGTACTTGGAACACTCGCATTTTTATCCTCCATAGTAACCGCTTCTGGGAAGGCGGCTAAATCTACAAGCGCAACCAAGGCTTTAACTGAACATTGGGGACAGTACTCGAGGTCTAGAGTGGCTTATTTCACGTTCATGCTGCTTTCAGAAATCTTATTACGTTGCAGGCGATAGCTCTTTCAGTTTACTAGACTGTGCGCGGCCTCAGGAAATTAGTGAGGAGCTAGTAAAGCGATGGTCGAACAATGAAGCCTTGCAAATGGCATGCCGGCGGCAGCAAGAACTGTTGCTCTGGCGTCAGCACTTGAGCATGAGGGAAAAGCTTAAAAGAAGAAGAGATCTGCAGCGTGGTGTTGTGCACATATTTGTCACTTCCGCAGGTAAGCACAACATGCTGATTCAGGGCTTCCGCGATGGCGAAAAGCCTTGCAGTAAAATATTTCAGACAGGCTAGCAACTCCGTCCCAAACAACCCTTGTAGGACTGCTTTAAATGCATTTTGCAAGCGGAGACGAATCTTCCCCACAAACACAATGTGCTTGTCCCTGCACAGAGCTTGAACGTGCTGCCAAGTTGGGGTCGTCAGGCAGGAAGTCCACAAAGATTCTGAAACGAGAATCCTTTGAATCACCAAACAGTGAGGCTTAAAGAAAAGCCTTGTTCCAACCTATGCACGCCGAATGTCTCGTCAGCTCTAGGTGACTGGTAGATCAGACGGAAACGGAGAAAAAGGTGTGAGCCGCGAAAGGATGCGCGTTCCAGGCGCACTCTGAGCTTCTTGCAGCGATGGCCGCAGACTTCTGTGCATTCTCTGCAGGTTTTGAAACGTTGAACCTAGCCTTGCCTTCCTCTCAAGAAGCCGTGCAGTTTGACGATGCCGCTGAATTACTGCAAAAAGCGCAAGCCACTGTGAAGGCTGCAGCTGACCTTGTTCAACTTAGCCTGCCTAGTGATTACGTCCGACGAGAAAGACTTAACCGTGGGCAGACCCTTAAATCGGAGGCAAAACGGCTGACAGAAGCATTCGAAGAGCAACACAGGCATTTATGGAGTGCACGGAAAAACAAACTAGCCTCCGCAGCAGACAAGGAATGCACAAACGTAGAAAACACCCAGGGAGATAACGAACTCGGCAGCTCGGCAGCCTGTTCCGCCATGATATGTATCGGCCCCTTCAAGGTGATACGAAATCAGATTGTGCCTGGGCTTTCAAAGAGCTTTATTGATATGGAAGAGCTACAGAAGGAAGTGCAAAGAAGAATGTGTAACTGCTTCAGCAACATGGCAGGGATAATTCGAAGTTCACAAGTCGCCTTCGAAGCAAAGGGACAAAAAATAATGGTGCATTTGCTGATACACTGTATTGTCATGTAATAGTTGTCAAGACCGTGTCAACTATGGATCGCAGCTTCCAAACTCTCCTTGCTAAGCTGTCTGTGCGTCCATGTTTACTCAGAAAGTCCAAACCTTGCTAAATTACGAATTCGGGGATCTGCGCATTCGGCTGGAAAGAAAAATAACATTTGCTGACCCGAGTGATGAGACCGAAAGCGAGCTTGCGAGTGAAGAGTCTAGAGAACGCGAAGGCAACTAGAAATGATTTTCTCTAGTGTCCACATTTCCTTTTGCAAAGCAAATATGGTATTTGCCTTATTGTGTTCATGACCTGATGTGAGCGCCTCTCTTACTACTACGCGGGCCGGGTGGTGTGAGCAAGACAATGCCAATACGCGAAAAGAAAGTTTAATGATAATTTACTACAGTGCTTTAACGGCGTCCACATGCAATCGTCTCTCTACCAAACAAACAGACCCTAGTAATACGCTCGAGACAGCAGACTGCAGCTTTTTCTGGCTGCACGCTCTAGCAAACTGTGAAGCAGCAGAGCGTTGCAAGGCAAAAACTGCAAGCGACTACGTCGAGGAACCCGAATGAGAATTCGCGACTATAACGAAACATTCGGGTGTTTCTCCTGATTCGACAAACTGCTTGAGGGTAGCAGTTATAAAGCCTTTTCGTCGCAGCCACCACACTCTGCAGTTGATGAGAAGACAGAAAACGACACAAGAAGACAGGAAAACATGAAGTGGCTTTTATCTGGGTTCATAGAACGCTAATCTACTACACTGAAGGATCAAACTTCTAAACCTTCATTTACTTTCGTGGCTCGGCCAGTGATAATCTGTTTAGGCATAGGGTTCGAACTAGTAGGGCTTAGTTATTACCGGGAGATGTCCAAAATTTTTTTCACCATTTTTCCAACTTCGCGCTTCCTGTTTGCTGCCCCAGTGGCCCACCTGAACAAAGCCACAAGTTAACGGCAGAAGAGAAATCGGGCAGGAAAATTGCATGCGCTGAACAATTGTATACGAACAGTATTTACGATCTCCTCAAGAAGGAAGGAAAACATCAGCGTGGTGGAAGCGAACCCAGAAAGGGAGAATAAAAGAGGAATTTCATCCACCGTAAAGCCACGTTTAAGGAGAAAGTCTGTCCCAACAAAGGAGTCCACGGTGCATCTGCGCAAAATGAAAAGCCGGTCAGAGACAAAGTTCAACAAATCATCAGAAACTTCATATTGCGTATTGCGCAGAGGAGCCCAACAGAGTCAAAAGACATTCTTCGCCACTAAAGGCGGGGCCCGCTGGGTAGCACGTTCGATATTCGCGCAACCCACTTCAATAAGTGCATGCTGTGTTTGCGTTAACGAATCTTCTGGAAATTTTGGTGCTTTCGTCTACTGGAACTTTTAGCTTTGGCTTTCTTCCTTAGGAATATGTACCGGTGATGGCAGCATGTTGCAATGCAGACACAGAAATTCAGCGTTGAATGAGTGGTATCTCGCGCCGATGCGAAGCACCTGCAGACGCATCACAATTCCCATGGCCTAAAAAACGTACAGTGCTTCAATATATGATGCCTGCTGATTGTCACTACTGAAATTCACAAGCGCCTCACAGCTTCGCGTTTACGGCATCTGAAGACATAAATTCAATACTTTTTATCACGACGCACCGGAGGGCAACATCCGATCCACCTCCACACAAATGCTTGGCTACGCCTACTACAGTTGAAATGCCACTGTCCCTGAAGTGTTCCCTCAAAGTTTCGTCGATTCTGTAGGCCAATGTAAAACAAATGAAAGAGCACACTCTCACCGCGCACGCTGCACGGAAAATCGCCATTCTTCACAATCTAGTTGCCACAAGTACTTCAGCCATAGCATTCATGAGCATTGAAGGATGCGCGTATGGACTGCATCCAGTGTGCCTTTCAATTCTTTAGCTTGGCAAAGACTAAAATAAAGCGCTTGTAAAAGTGTGAACACAGATGGGCACGTCAAATTAATTGTTTATTGTCTCCCTGAGGTCCCTTAAGGGCGCGTACTTTTGCATATCAGGCCCCCCACCTTCCCCCAGCGTCTGGGCGAGAGTGAAGAAGTCATCAACACTTCCGTCCTCGGTAGAACACAGAAAACATGGTTTAGGCCCCCGCTTGGAAGCGCTGACGAACTCTTTTGTTCTTGCCTCCTGTGCTTTTGTAACCTTCAGTCGGTCATCATCTTGCGCACTATTTTCAATCCTATCTTCATCTTTGACAGCGTTTGTGTCCTTCTTGTCGTCCGGATCCTCTTGTAAACGTTGTCCTGGAGCCAGGAAGCGGCATCCATAACTGAAGAGAGTCTTAAAAAAGGAAGGGATGTGGGGCCTGAATGAACATTGCGCAATGCCTCCCACCTCCATTCATTCCGGATAAAGACAAACTACGCTTCGAAATCGCGAATTCGCATGAGCAGATCTATATAAGTGGTGATTCAAGACCTACACGCGCAAGGAACCTCTGCCTGTAATATAGTCAACGAGAGCTACGAGAGAGAAATCCGCGATATCCATTCGAAGCCGCACGGGGGGCACTGGCAAAGGTGCAGGAACGCTGCATTCATTTGCGTTGCTGTGCCTCTCAGCGCAGGCACAGCCAACTGCGCTAGGAAAAGCAGCAGCAGCTGCGGCACTATCAGCAGGGGGCCCATCATCAGCAACGACCCGCGTGAGCTCCCCACGGCGTACTGTTTCCGTTGCTTCCTTTAAAGAGTTACCTTCACATACGAACGAACCAGCTGTGCTGCTCCTCTCAGCTGGTTTTGCTGTTTCAGCGCCGTCGACGGCTGAGAGACGTCTTTCAGCAGCTGCAATCGCCGCAGGATGAACCGGACGCGTGGAATTGGGGTTGCGAAACGTCTTATCCTTTGCTTCCTTGCAGTAGCGTCGCGCTTCTCGGTCAACTGCGATGCATCTGAGGCCCCTGTATTTCAGGGTAAGTGCAGATTTATCATTACACTCGTGTGTATTTGCGTGTGCCTCAGATACTACTGACTCTGTTCCCGAATCAGCTGCAACAGAGACGGCAGACCAGCAGCTAAACCACCGAGTGAGATCTCCCTTCCCTGAAGATAAATGCAGCAACCCAGAAACCACTAAAACAGTGCATTGCATATCAAGAGCAAATTTGTGACGATTTGACGGAAAGGTCAGATAACACATTTGGGGTGCATTTAAGCCTGGCATCCTAGGGATAACCGGGAATGCGTTGCACCTGCCTCACACAAGAGCAGCTCATACTTTCTGGACGCCTAAAAGAAAAGCATTACGAAATGGATGGTAGCGCAGTTCCCACATAATCTGCTTCTATACTTTGACATGCTCCTGAATCCGTGAAGTCGCGCACTTTAGACTGACGGAAAGCAGGCTCCAGGAAAAGTGCCGCGTTTGCTATATACTGCGAGGAGCGACCGCGCGCGCCGTTGCCTCGCCCGCGCCTTTGTGAAAACAAACAGAAAAGGGCGAAGACTGTGCATCTCCAAAGACGGCTCACCTGCCCCGAGCTCCACAAGTAGAGTTTTGTCGCAGTTTCTGGGTTCCAAGTAGTTGTTGTACAAGCACAACGCCAAGAGTTGGAAATGCTGCTTTTGGTGCCTGTTTAGTCTCTTCTGAAAGTGCTTAAGCAGCTCCAGCAGCGCATTTAGGCGATCCTGCTGCGGCAGCAACAATACCCCTTGCACTTCAGCCTCGAAAGCCGCCGTCGACGGTTCCTCAGCTGCGGCAACCCCACTAGCTAGTGGCACTTTGCATGCGTCCACTGCTGCGCGTAATAGTAGGACGGCTTCTCTGTCTCTGCTGCCCTCCCTTTCTTTGGGGGTGACGCTGCAGCATTCCGAGATGAATTCTGAGGCAGGCAGGTGTACCGTAGCCTCCCAAGGATCTAGCGCAGTTGCTGCGGCCTCTGCTGTTTCTGCATCTGTTGCCAATTTCTCGGGTGAATGTGGTGTATTCAAGTATTGAATGGCTTCTCTGTAAGCCCTTGTAATCTTCGCTTCGAGCTCTTGTGTCAGAAGCGGCTGAGCATCTTTCGCCTTGGCAGATGCTGCGTGTTGCTGTTGATGCTGCTGTCGCTCTTCCTGCTTTTCTCTGTCATGACGCTGCTGAAGGGGCAAATTTACGCCAGGCTGCATAAACGGCAGGCAGTGCGAGAAGGCGATGTCTCTTGTCTTTGTGCATTTCTTCAAATGTGCCTGCAGCCGGAGTGCGTAGATAGAGTGGGCTGCGTCCATTGGACATGGTATGCGCTTGCCATGTCTGCCGGAACTGATTCTGTTCCGATTTTGGGACTCCCCGTCGTATCCTACTCCCATCGTTGCTACGCTGTCTCTTGACTGCTCGCTTGCCGCTTCTTCTGAGGCTGATTCTGACTCAATCTGCGGCATTGCCCCTGCTGCCATTCTTGATAAGGTAAGCCGTTCTGATTGATGCGAACGCGACGCATCACCAGGTACGCTGCATGTCGAGCTGGAGGGCTCCACTGCTGCTGGCTTGGGCTTCTTCACTGGATTGCCCATATCCTCGCCGGAGCCCGCTGCATGTGCTCTGAGGCCAACAGCCACGAAATCTCCTGATCCAGATTCACGCAGGCGGACCTCTGCATGAATCGTGGGAGACTCTTCGTCTGCAGTCAACACCATGGCGATAGAAACCCTGAACGCCAAACCCCACGAGGGTCTACAAGCGTCGAGTTCTATCTCTGACTCTTATTGAAGATGGCTAGAAAGTTGGAGCCGCGAACTTCGCTCTTCAACGTATGTGTTACAATATGTTCATCTTCCACGTCAAGTGATCTCCAGCTTGTCAGGATCTGAGTGAAACCCCCATTGAACGATGGAGCCAAGCAGATTAAAAGAAAATAAAAGTAAGGGCACACAATAATTCATATTTTTGCCTGTGGAATTCGAAGCAAGAAGGTCTCTTTGTTTCGCCGCCATGGAGAGTTTACGCATTCTCCCCTCGGGCTTGACGCGTATCGACCCCTTTGGCAACAGTGTGTTAGAAATCCCGTGGAAAAATACAGATTTACGCTCGTCCATAGGTGACAAAAGTGTATAGGCCAACTTTAATTCAGGCTAGAGAAGTACAAAAAGATGCTGCTTTCGTCTGTTCGCTGCTAGGACTGTGGTGAAGGAGTTTGATTCCGGGCCTTCTTCGTCTGAGCGCTGCTGTCTATCTTCTGACGACTCACTCAGTGCTGAAAAGCAACCCAAAACCAGTTGAAACTTCGGCGAAGAAAAGAATAAATGGTGCTTGGTTTGAGGGAAGGTAACGAAGCACACGCCCGACTGCAGTGCATTGAAATCAGAATGCTTGTAGGAGGCAGAAAGCAAAGAATGTCTGCAGCTTGGCTCCCCCGTAAGCCTATTTTGATGTAAGAATTCAGAAGCTGCCATCGAGCCGTAACAGGCGTATACACTGAGTCTCACATTAAGTCAAATGCGCACGCATAATGTGTGTACTTCCGCGTAAGCATCAAGAGCAAGCACTTTTGCCCAGCCATATCTCTCCATGCGTGAAGAGTGGCGATAGGATATAGAATGGACTGAAGGCTCAGCCAAGAAAACTTAACAAGAAAACTGGGCTTTTGCTGGGCCCCACAGTACAGAGATCAAGTGACCATCCACTCACACGCGCTGAAGACACTTAATCTGTACACTATCTCTAAGCATTTGCTCATATTCCAGGGTATTTGCCTCTCATCCACTGCCCGCACCCTGCGCAATACTATTGGACGGAGGTCACACCGGCTGCGTTCGCCACGCATTTACAAGTTAGCAAGATCGGAAGCCACCTGCAAGTTGCTTTCCTCCATGCGTTATGTCGACAACGCATCATACAAGTTGGAGTCGTAGCTGACATGGCAGCCTTAAGGAACAAGGCAGCAAAAGCATATTGGCTACGCAGAAGAACCTGTTTGAGCATCACTTTGTCAATTCAGAAAACGAAATCACATGAAAGAACGAACTCCATTGACGCGAACTATAATTCAGGCTAGACTAGCAGCTCGGTGCACAGGGTACGGGGACAAATTGCACAAGTTGCAATGCATACGAAGCACAGCAAGCAACGAACTGAGCAAGCTGAATTCAGAGCGGAAGTATATTGCGGCAAAAGCATGCGTACAGACGGCTTCCGGCAAATAACACGGAAACGAAGTTGCGCAGTGTGAAGGAAAAAGCGGTCTACAGCAATGTCGCATGCAGCAACATCCCTGCAAATTCTCCATGCAAACTAAAGCAGATTATTACAGAACGTATGGGCAAATAAAGGAAAGTAAAATTCTACTAGCCCACAAGAGTAGCTTACTAATCTTGCCCGGTAGAAGAAAAGGAGCAAAATGCAAAATACATACAAAATCAAGTTTTCAAGCTTAAGATGATTTGATGAGCTAAGGCGCCAAATCAGTGACGAAAGCCAACAAATCAAAAACACAAGGCATAGAAGGAAGAGCAACTGCGACACAACCAAAACAGCTCAGCCAAAGTCTTACCACATCTTAGTTGAGTTGGAAAGATTCTCGTTGCACTCTCCACTTGCATGCAATGGATCAAAAGAACCCAGAGGAGCACATAACAAATTTCAGCGTGGACCAACAGACGCGCGGGGCAACAGGCGGACAAACTATTGTCAGTGCATGCGCCCAGTTGCTTTCCCGCTCGTCACACAGTTAACAGTTGCAGACAGCACGCACTAAGGAGACTCTCCACAAGCAATGCTAAATCGTGCACAGGCTTTAATCTGCATGACCGGAACTTACTAAGTATGCTAAATTACAATGCACATCCATGCTCACGCTAACTCAAGCAAAGACAGTTGCTTTTTAAGGCGCAGCACGTGGAAATAATTTCAGCAATAAAGCTAAGCCACACCTAATAATACCATTATCTAGTATGCATGCAACTACTTCACCGGTGGCAAATGAATTGGGACGCAAACGGCAGGTAGGACACTTCTGAGTAAGAGGCCGCAGGAGTCAGTCACGTGGGCATTGCAGCATTAGCCATGTTGCTTTTCGGTAATCCATAAAGCCGCAGACAATTTTGCATAGAGTACTGGCGTAAAACCACTCAGCGATAGCCATATGTACGAAGACCAGCCAGCACAACACCTCGCACTGAAATTTGCCTCATGGCCCTCAGCACCCTCAATAAAAAGGCCGTCACAGTGGAACGCATTAAGAATGAGCATACAGGAGCCACAGTAATTCATTGAGGCATGCGGTGATCAAAAAGTGATGCCAGTATGAGCATAACAAGTGCTCTCGAGACGCACGCAGAATAAAACGGGGTCGCTGTAGAGCTAGGCACTACAACAAGCAGAGAACTTGTGCAGAGTAGTCTTAGTATGGAACAAATATATATTAGAGCACAGTACACCTAAGTTTACATAATATGTCCGCTTCGACCTGCGCTTGAGGCAAACAAGGCACAATTGGGGCTGGGTGAGATCGTGTGCATAGTGTGGCGGTGCGCTTGAATGAAAAAATCCAGTTCTATTTTTCCTGAGAACTCCCGATTCTTAATTCAGTATAAACTGTTTTTTTCTGTGTGTCTACGATGATATCAAGGGTCTAGCGGGAGTCCGCACCTAGAACAGAGTCGGTACAGGGTAACTGTAGCAGTGCAACAAACGCGCTGATCACTACAGTATTTCTTATTTGTGGCTTATATATGGCATGTCCATATCGCCGTGAACATTTTACGCAGCTTGTCACAAGCTCCTTTGGCGCAGAGAACGAGGGACATCGGGGACGCCTGAGCAGAGGAAAGAGGCCCTAGAGTTCTGAGAAACCCCAGCAAAACGGCAGGCTCCGTCGTGACTCGAGGCTTTTCTGGTTGCGTGACGTTAGGGCTCCTGACTTTGAGGCCGTAGCAACGTTCTTCTTCCGAATTTCTCCCAAATATCTTGCTTTTGCCCCTTCAATGCATCCACAGAACTTGGCAATGTCTTCAAGCAAAGATTTCAGTTTGAGTTCCTCAATGGATACCGAAAGGGAGGCCTGTGGTCGTCAGCACCAGTCAGTGAACCAGATTATGGCTCTTCAGTCTCCCAGCAGCCTGAGACTCCCCCTGCGTTTCCCTCCTGATGCTTTCGCTGCGCTGCGTCTCCCAGCCCACGAGATACTCCATGGCAGAAACCGCGCAGCTGTTTGCAAAGCAAACGGCTGGGGATTCAAGGACACATATATATACTTTATTGACAAGGTTACACTGACAATAACGGGCAATAGGTAATGTAGCCCCCAGGGCAGACTTTAGCGGCCCTGTCCAATGAACGCATGGCCCCTTCATAGGTTTCCTACGCTCCAGTTCGCAGTGGTTCTGCCTAGAATATGTTAAGTAGATTGGTTCTAAAAATAAAATTGCTTTGAGGAAGGTCAAGGCGCGACGGATCCGACTTCCAGTGTAGAACGGACAGTGTTCACCCAGCGCAACTCGACGATTCGAAATTGTGCCAGGAAGTTCTTTGTGAAACAGACTTGTGTGCATCTTTGTCCATATCCTTCTGCAGGTACCCCTTGTGTGGCCATAGGCTGCAACACTGGCAGGAGTTTACAAACTCTATAGAGGGTCTGGATCTAGAGAAGAAATCACTTCCGAAAGAGGAAATCGTCATAAGCCCTCAAAGGCTCGTCAAGAAAGAGTTCTTAGACGACCTTCTGTCCAAGGTGGGTGTAGACCAGCGCTGTCTCACTCTAAGGCGATATCCTGAGCACACAACATAGCGTAGTTCTGCGCTGGCAGTCGATTTCTGACTGTGTGGCGTCTAGATCTTCCCGTACAGTCCTACTACACGCACATGCCCCCTGAAGCATTTCCAGTACTTTTTATATGCTGGGATCGTAGAATCATGCATTTCTTCCAGTGTGGCCCGCCTAGCGAAAGGTCCGCACAAAGCCAGCTACTACGGCGTATCCGGGAGCACGATGCCTTTGCCTAGAGAAGGCACACAGTTCTGGTCTTACTGAGTGGAGAGTGAAGGGTTACTGTGGGTTTCAGGAGCTAGGGCGTGTTTAAGCACAGCTTCGTGAGCTGTTCTGCATATGTCGGCCTCTCTTATGCTTTGCAGGCTCCTGGTGTAGAAGTGTCAGAAGAGGGATTGGAGAGGCTCTATCATGGGCATGGGCATACGTGCGCAGAGATATTTGCACTGAGACACGGACAACTCGAGCGCCTTCCAGATGTGGTGCTGTTCCCCAAATGCCACGAGGTGAGTGATTTTTCCTGTTACTCCCTCTGCCTTACTGTCCGCACCTCAATTCTGCATTGACTTGCCACTTTTTGCTGGCCACGCCTCCTTCGGCCTCACATTGTGCTAAATGACGAGGCACAAGGGCCAGGGCGGGTCTCATGCGTTTAGGACGTTGAAGCCATCGTTGCGTGCGCAGTTCTACACGGAGTATGCTTGATTCCATTTGGGGGTGGGACTTCTGTTACACTGGGACTTGCAGTCCCTGAAGACGAGGAGCGGATGGTAGCAACAGTATCTCTAAGTTATATGCAAAGAATACTTTCCCTAGATAGAGAAGCTCTCCTCTTGACTGTAGAGGCAGGAGCTGTGGGAGCTGTACTAGAAGAACAACTGCGCCACCTAGGGGTCACTCTAGGCCATGAGCCCGACAGCCTGGAGTTTAGCACCGTGGGTGGATGGGTTGCCACCAGGGCATCAGGTGAGCCTCTGTCGACGCAGCGCTTTTTCAACCCGCAACCCTGTGATGCTGCGCGCGTGGTATGCTGAGCATTGGTCGCTGTGGAAACGGAGCCCCCGACTCTGAATTCCTTGCGTTCCGGGCCGTGTATGAGGCACCCACTGTCTCTTGACATTAATGTGAACGGCTGCAACTGTTACTCAATTTCTGAATTTAGGGATGAAAAAGAACGCGTATGGAAACATAGAGGACTTGCTTATTGATGCAGTGGTGGTTACACCACAGGGAACCTTAAACCAGCGTCTTGCTGCACCCCGCGTGTCCAGTGGCCCATCTGTCCAGCAACTAGTGCTTGGCAGCGAAGGCACATTAGGGATTATTACGCAGGTCGTTCTGAAGGTTAAACTGCTTCCAGAGGTGCGGTTTCAAAACAAAGTATTCAAACTTTCTGAGTCGCACAGAAAACTGTGTTCATAGGACTCCCGCGCCTTCCGTCTGTCATCCAGGCAAGGTTTGGTGTGCCTGTTGTGATACACGTGTATTCCAGAAAAAAGTCTACGGCTGCCTGGTCTTCCCCAGTTTCGAGATTGGTGTCGCTTTTATGAGACATGTGGCGCTCAACAGGTTGCAACCAGCGAGCATCCGCCTTATGGACAAGAGACAAACGCAATGTGGCGCTCTTTTTAGAACTGTCCCCCCTGGTAAGAGACAGGCGTCTGTCGTGGCATTCACCTCGCGAACACTGCTTGCCTCTGGCTTGTCTACGAACTGATGTCTTGCGAATTGTTATTTCGGCAAATCTCAGGCGGCCTGGGTGTTAGAGATGCGGTGGCAGACGGCGTGAAAAGGTTTTACCTTAACAAAGTAAAGGGCTGGCGGGAAGAAGACCTGTGTGCATGCACTCTTCTGTTCGAGGGTTCTGCTGAAGAAGTAACTTGCCAGCAGAGAAACCTTTACAAGGCTGCAAAAGTGTTTGGGGCCCTTCCAGCCGGTGGTAAAAACGGGCAACGCGGATATCAGATGACGTTTCTGATTGCTTACGTTCGGTGAGGCACTTGCGCCTTCGTAAGCATTGTGGCGAGGTTGTTTTCAAGGCTTTTTTCCCGCAACTAACGTACTTTTATGTTTGTACATTACGTAATGTCTACAGGGACTTTGTTATGGACCACTTTTGGGTTTTCGAGTCCTTCGAAGCTTCTCTGGCGTGGCCTTTGGTCCTCAAATGCCGAAATTCGGTGCACAATTATATCACGAAGGAATGCAAGAACAAGGGCATTCGATATCCTCCTCTCATCATGACCAGGCTCACTCAGGTCTACGACGCGGGGGCTGTTCTGTACTTTTACTTTGGATTCAACTGGGCAGGCATAGAAAACCCCATGGAGGTAAATTACTAGAAGGTGCTAAAGGGCGTCGGGAGACCGTATTCAGAACATTCTCTTGTGCCACTGGAGGTAGCATCAACATTTTGTCGACCGCGATCGCTTAGGTCATTTGTGAATGTTCTTGCGTAGTCATGTTACAACCGGTGGCACCTTAGCATCCTATGATGCTGACCTTCCTTCGAAGGCCACTGCGTGGGCTTCCACGAGGAGGGGTACAGCTCGATGTCTCATGAGCGTTTCCCTATATGTCCGCCAAAATTCCTGCCAAAATTCATGAACTACGGTGCAGGTGGATTGGAAAGCGGTGCATGTGCAGGGAACTGGAGTATCCCCATGTCACAGGCATGAACCGTAATGTTACAGTACACCGAAAAGTGTGATTCGTAGTATGTTAGCCATGGTAGTCACTCTGCTGCAGGTCTATAAACATATCGAAGACGGCGCACGCAGAGTTATCATGAATCTTGGCGGCAGTATTTCGCACCACCACGGCGTTGGGAAATTGCGCCGGGAATTCATGGCAAATGCGATAGGGGAAACAAGTACGTCTTCGGTAGACCTGCCGTGAGCCCAACGTCTGTGCGAAGGCTTCAATACACAACCAGTTTGCAGAAGAGGGTGAGCGCGGCATGAATGCCAACAACCCAAACATGGAAGAAGGCCTGTTGCATCTTATGCGTTGACACTGTTTTCAGGTATGGCCGTCTTGCGCGGTGTGAAGGCTTGTGTGGACCCGCAGAACATCTTTGGATGCAAAAATCTGCTGGATGCTTGAAGTGAGCAGCCAACTGGTTCCTACGTAGGCAGCTTAGGAAACACGATGCACCTGTTAGCCGACTCGTACCTAAGAGTCGTGAAGGGGCCGTAAGGCCGCCTTCTCGCACACGAAAAAAGAAGCTGAACGATCGCACCCAAATGACAGCGCTGCTTGGGGGATGGGAATGAGGAGGGAAGAGCTGGGTGTACGTATCCCGCCTTCTCATCTTCGAATTGGTCTAACATCGCCAATGATAATGATGGTCGAGGAACGAGGCAGGCTGACAGGCCGGCCAGGCGTAGGTGTACGGCGTCAGTACATCAAATGACTCTACACTTAGTGCCTTACTGCGTTGTAAAGGCTTTTTTTAGTCTAACAGTGCCTGCCATAAGCTCCAGTTTCCGTTGCCGTTCTCCAGTCTCTTCTGAATGCAACGGACAGTGTCTTGGGAGAGATCCCTAGTGGTGGGGAACTGTCGGCGGCTTTTCGCTACTGTATCCATGTTCGACGATGTGGAATGTAGGAATGCCATGTAGTGCAGTGCGTTCCCTGGAGCCCTGGCGGAAATCCGTTGCAAAGGTTTTCGTCTACTTTTCCCGCGGGACATCGAATCCCCTCCACACACAGGGCACAGGCGCTCGCCGGTTCTATCTCATAAGTGGGAATAGCCGAGACAGGAGGGTAGCGTGCAACGAAAAATGAGATTCCTCGTCACTGGGCGTTGGCTCCGAAGCACTTTTTATGGGTGATTACTGTCCCTGTGTGGGCTTTTCGTCCCAAAGCTCGAACGCTCTTCTCTTCCTCCTTATTTGCACAGATGAAGGCGACAATCGCAACTTGAGTTTCTGCTTCCATAGAACTTTCGATGATGTGTGGCCACGAAAAATGCGCGCAGGAAATATCGTGAGCTAAGCTCTTCCATAGCCTGCGAGTACCGTAGTGATTGACCAACTGCTGTCTTGTTGCCGACCTTCATGGGCGCAAGAGCATCCGAAAATACGCCTTCGACTGCAGTCGTTCGTGAGCCATACGACCGGAATTGGAGCTTCTTCCTTCGGATTGAATGGCAAGTTAGCCTGAGAGGTTCTTAAAGCATTAATGAAATTGGTTACTCACGTTGCCACTACGAGCAGTCCCAATGAAGCGATCTAAATCCCTTTAGTGAACGGCATCGGCACAGAACCCGGCTAGCGAGGAGTTTCCGTTCTTCTCTCTTTCCTGGTCTTACTTTAGGATTATTATGTAAATAGCCGTAAATGGAGAATTATGGCTAATGAAACCCAGAAACAGTAAGATGTCACTACCTACCATAGCGGAGGAAGTGATCAGTTTTTGCCCATTGGCGTCGTCACGCCACAAGGCTCATGCGTCCAAATATCATGGTTATATCGATCGCGTTAAAATGACTGTAACATATTCAGACAACATACATTCTCATCCCTTGCCCAAGTTTTTTGTAGAAGAGTAACCCATGCAGACGCTCCCGCCATTGACGACGAACCCCACACCCGGTCTATCAGGCATTTGGTTCAAATCTACAGTAATGAAAGGAATCTACGATCCACTCTATAATATTGTCAAGCTCCGCATCAGTCTCAATTTTCGAAGTTACAACTACGTGCCCATCCAGTATCGCCGCACCTGACCCATTCGATGCAGAATGCTGCACAGAGCCCACGGAAGGCCTGGTCATCCAGAATGGCACGATCTAGAGTGCTGCTACTCAGAATACTTCTTACGGTTCACAGGTCAGCCTGTGGCCACCACAGCACACACCGGTGCAGTAGGAGACGTTTACGCGCTTGTCCTGTCCCTAGCAAGTAAGACGTGGTAGTGGCAGACAAGCAGAGCTACCGAGGCGTCCTGGCAAGTGCAGGTGGGCCGTCATTCCCATATGGTGGTCAGCTCAACGCCGCGAAACAACCAACAATAAACCACTCATGAGCCGTTCCCCCACGTCAACCCTACGGACTCCTCGCGTGCTTCTAAATCCCGACAAAAGGCCCAGCACAGAATGCTGACACCAACGTACGCATTCCCAGGCCACCGAAAATCCTACTCAAACCAACTGAATGATGTGCAATTCAAGGTAGCAATGCGCAGGTTAGCTTGTTTCTACAGTATTGACCACTGGCGCCTGCTATCTCCAAGCGGCAAGCAACTTAAGTTCACCAGGTGCAGAAAAAACGGCTGGTGAAAAATAGTTCTCTTTGTGCATACCCTGTGACAAATGCGTACACAAGGGTGAAAGAAGCGCAAATGCTCTTCCAATTGGTTTCTGTCGTCATCCTCTCGTCACTTCCTGTGCCTCTAAAACAACCTGAGCGGCAAATCGTTTTATCGTCCGCACTACGAAAAAACAAACGAGAATACCCCCACAGATCCCTATCACCTCCAAGTGGCTCTTTGACATTGTAAAGAATCCGAAGACGTCGACGTCAGCTCCTTGCAGCTCAAACGACTTTGCCGCCAGTGCGTTGTCTAGGCTCTGCAGCTGTCCCCCGATTATCGCATACAACACGGCGAACGGAATGCCGGTTACAAGGGTGGACACAGCAAATGTTGCCGCCGAGATCGGGGTTGTGCCAAGGAAGTAGTTGTTGAAAGTAAAGGGTAAGATCATCCTTGTACAAAGAACAAGCTTGACTGAATCTTTTTGCAAAGCCAAGTCGATGGCCTGGAGCTGCTTGCTACGACGCACGAACCGATTGACGACAAAACGCCGCAGCATGAAGCGAGATATGAAAAACGCCAGACATGCTGCGCCCATACTTCCACAAATAATGACGAAAACTGCGAGAAGCGAAGGACCCATCAACACGCCAGCCAAGACCGAAAGCAATGGAGCTGGTACCACAAGCCCGGCCACGACGTACGTAAGCGCGTACGTCACTGGACTGCCCTTCTGGTGCTCAACCACCTGCCTTAGCACATCTTTAAAAGGCAAGAGGAACAAAATAATAAAGCACGCACTGACGGCAACACCCAACAGACCAAGCTGCACGCGGCCACAGGTTGGAGGCAATTCATCAGGGTCGTCAGACGAACTAGGGCCACTGGACGCCGAAAATGATTGCGAAAGGTTGGTAACTGTCAACAGCTCCCTTTCGCGGGGGGAAACTGCCGCAACATCTTCAAGGCTACTTCTCCTGGAAGAATGCCGCTGGCTGAAAAGACGGAGAAAAATTGCCATTAGCGGCTCAATGGCGCAAATCGTCAGAGGCAAAAAAAAGGGGGAAATAAAAAAGCAGGGCGCTTGTTGTCTTCAGCGGAGCCCATTGGCTGGACTTCAGTACTGGAGGGAGTCACACGACCTCTGCCGTAGCTCAGTGAACCGCTGAAGACCCCGCCCAGAGACTCCAAACTTTTCTCGGGGCAATGCAGCGTGTCTCCGAGAGATCAGTTCAACAAAACATGTTAAAAGGTAAAGTGCAAACAGTTGCACCGAGGGTGTTCTTACAAAGTGGATATGCCCGGTTGGTTCGTTCGAGCAGCCCCGTATTCATACATACGCGCCCCAAAATCACTCACGAAGCAAAGGACATATTTTACACAGATTTCAACACAACATTAAACAACAGTGTTGATTTTGGTAAGCGAAAGATTAATTTCTCGTCCACGTATGGACGTACAAAATCCCTGACGCAGAAGTTCCTTTAGGCTTTGACCATCACGGTACTCTGAAACATTGGCCTCAGTTGCCCCGGAGTCATCTGGGGCCACTCATGTATAGCATGCTACTGTTTTGAGGTCAGTCTCTACGCAGGTACCGTGTATACCGAAGTTTCTGCCACCGTGTGCAGTCACCAGTGGCGCATGTAGATTGCGCCGCGGCACACAGCGTCAAACATCACACTTTGCTGCTTTGAGCTGCGCAACACATGTTTAAGGCCTTTTGAACTATCTTGGGGGCTAGTTCCCTGAGAATGCGATGGCCGATAGGACCGCAGTCCTCAGTGACCTGGGGTGTACGGCAGCAGTGAGTCCGGCAACTGGAAGCTGTGTAGCGTGATTCCAGAGTTTTGAAAAGACCGTAGTAGTGTTTAATTAGTTTTTGGCCAAACCTGAAGGAACCTTTCAAGTTCATGAAGGGCTAAGGCCCGGTCACTTTTACCTGAAACGCAGGCTATGGGCAACTCGCAATATCTGTTTCTAAAGATACAGCGCTACCTAGACACGATTTTGCATATGCATCACTGAGCGAGGTACACAAGCTGGCGCTCAACTCTAGGGGAGATTCCCCAATGAAAAGAGTTATGAGCTGAGTCTTGACACCAGAGCTGCGGCCTGGTTATTTGCGGGAAGCGTTGGTGCATAATATATGGAAGAACTCCGACGGTATTCATGCAGCTTTTCTTTGCCCTGTAGGGATGTAAAAGGCTTTTCTCAGGTGCTTGGGAGAGAGTATGGTGCCAGGCTTTTCTCCGTGAACAGTTTGCCGAATGCAGGGTGTGTCGGGGATAATTTTTGCAATTTCTCAACCTTGTCTGAGTTTCCATAATGCATACGTGCATTAAACTTTAACTCCTTCCGAAGGCACGTCTTGCAAGCTGGTATTCCAGCACAGCAGCTGCTGTCTCTTGTGACCGAGCACTCAGCCACAAGGCAACTGAGAAATAGCAAAGGCTTCATACTTGTACATTGAGACTTCACTGCAACGACATTCCTTATAATCAGAAATGAACTTTGAGCCTTCTGTTGAGAGATATGAGGCAAGCAATAGTACAACTGGTGAATCTTTGAGGTAATACCCGAAGATAAGACAACAAATATTCTTGCCACTAGTCTAGACGATCTAGCTCAAAGTAATGCCGCTGTAAAAAAGCGGGCTGCCTCGATCTCTCGGTATTCCCTGAAATCTAGCTGTAGTAGGCAGCTAGTATTTCTTCAGAAACGGCTTGCACGCAAACTTTTGCTCCGCATTAAGCGTCTAAATCAAATACGGGCTCTTTGGTCCTGGTGCTCCTGGTTTCTCTCGATGTCTGCATGCGCAGCAATTACGGGTCCATTGCTTTTGGAGCTCCTAGCTGTCCTCGAGGCTTGAATCAACGAATTAAGAACAAATAGTAGCCACATTTTGGGACTTCCCAGATGAGAACACTGGCATATGCCACACGGTAAAAGCAACGAAAGAATAAAGAAGTGAGAGGGCTCTACACGGAGACCAAGCAATTGAAGACTAGTGTAGCTTGGACAAATCACCTATCAGGAGTGGGTATTGTGACCTCCTAGCACCGACTGTTGGGTAATCATGTGTAGTCATCGTCTCATGTTCTGAAAATGATTTTCCTTAAAAGTCTCCCCACTCAGGGTTCTTGCGTCCTTGGCCGTCTGGGGAGGAGGCCTGCACCGGTGCCCGCGATATCGCCAGCCCCAATCTCCAGGTATTCACAGACACGTCTAGTTTATGCATGCTAATTTGCTGATAAGCTGCCTTACTTCGATACTAGTAAGAAGCTCCTGTCCTCGTTCAGCATGTTAACCGCTTATAGGTCACCAGCTAGCTATCTTCCTAAGGTCACCAGCAAGCCCTATTGTAGTGCCTGTGCACCTCTCTGACAGCCTAGCTAGTTTTCACTTGTGGAAGTTCAGCTTTTCTGCTGGCGGGCTTTCTAGTTTGATATTTGTCCCGGTGGTAAGAGCAAAAGACGTACCCACACGCCGAGTCACTCAGCAATAGAAGTGCTCGTGAAACTCAGTCATGCTTCTATGTGGGGGAGCCTGTAGTGCACAGGCACTACAATAGGGCTTGCTGGTGACGTATAGAAGACAGTTAGCTGGCGACCTACAAGAGGTCATAACACGGAACGAGGACAGGACCCTCTTACTAGCATCGAAGTAAGCCAATTTGTTGACGAATTAGCGTGTATACACTAGACGTGCCTGGAAATACCCGGAGATTGGCGCTGGCGATATCGCTGGCTCCGATGCAGGCCTCCTCCCCACAGGGCCTAGAAGGCGAGAACCTCGAGTGGGGTGGATTTTGAAAGAACAGATTTTGAAAGACTATGAATAAAGGTATTCCCTGACATTTGGGTTACTGTTTCAAGGAAATGCGCCGTAGGTAGACGGTCATCGTAGGGCCCTACTCGAAGGGGGCAGGTAGCAGGGTAGTGCCTGTAGTGCACAGGCACTCCAATGGGGCTTGCTAGTGACCTAGAGACGATAGCTAGCTAGCGACCTACAAGGGGTCGCAACACTGGAGGAGGACAGGAGGGACCTACTAGGATAAAAGTAAGGCAAATTGTCTATGAATTAATATGCATACGCGAAATGGGTGGAAATTTTGTGGAGACTGGGGCTGGCGATAGCGCCGGCACCAGTACAGGCCTCCTCCCCATAGGGCCTAGGAGGCGAGCTCCTAGAGTGGGGCAAGTCGAACAGACATATTTTGAAAAACTTAAGAATTATTGTATTTCGATAAAAATAAGCTACAGTTTCGTCCTTTTGGGCCTACGTTAGGTGCCGTTTGTAGGCCCTGCTCGAGGGGCAGGTAACAGCGTAGTCGCAGCAGTAGGCGCTGTGCACTACATTTGGGGGCTCTTCTGGGATGAAATCTTTGTTCTTCCCGGACTTGGGAATAGAAATACCATGTTTTAATAACTCGTGCCTAGAAATCTTCGCTTGGTAAGGGATGCATCTCCACAACGGACGCGTTATCGGCCCCACACCGCAGGAGACTTCTACAATGTCAGTAAGCAAAATGCCGAGCGGGATGCCAGCCCATCATCGCCACGCGACTCCGAAGCCCACCGTGGCAGAGCGGCCGCATGGGCATAAGGAGGCGCCCCCACAGGTGATACCTATGACCAATGTTATGCCAGGGGACAGTCCCTTCGTCACGTGAAACCAATTCCAGTCCGATATGAGTGTGATAAGAACTGTTATTGGGGGGACCGTGGAATCCGGCGCAACGACTCCCATACTACCAGAAGACGGCAGCACTATGCAGGCCTTTCTGCTGCGCATCGAGCGCCAGTACACCCAGATGGGATTGGAACCGCGCGAGTGGGGAAATGCACTTATAGACCACCTTGTGGGCCCGGCTCCAACGTATTGGATG